AGAATGTTGAATAATAATAAATTCTGTAAATATAATAGGCACTTCTCCTCTTTAGTAGCAATCTTTATTATATCGGTCACCAGGGTTTCATTGCTAATTTTCTATTCTAGAATTGCTCTTATGACGTTAACCAGTTCTTAAATAAATCAAATTTGTCTCGTAAACCACAGTCATCTGATCGTAGGAATTTTTTTTTTTTCAAATGTAAAATGGGCGGCTAACATAAGAGAGGGAAAATATGTACCCAATCAATTGTTAAGTCCAAGTCAAAGAGTGTTGCTAATTGGGTTAAAAACATACCCTACGCAGAATCTTGTTTTTTTTTTGTAGTTGTATAAACATAGCTTTTTTAAATATTTTTTCCTTTTATCTTGAAATAATTCTTCAAAATTTACAAGTCGTTTTGACAATTCAAAATGAATCTTAAATGGTTAAATTCAAAGTGAATTAGGACATAGAAAGAAAAGAAAAAAAGGACAGTAACAAACAAACGTTATGATTTATTATTTTAACAAAAGATATTTTATTATTGAATAGTTTTTTATATATATTTTGTTCAGTAGCAACAGAATTATTACTTTCATTCCTTCAATATCATCACTATTTCTTGTTTTTTCTTATTTCATAATAAACCCTAACTCTAAAAATTCCATGACTAATCATCACCTATTCAGTTTTAAAAATAGCATGAAAGATATAATTCAAGCTTTTATAATTTTGTTTTTTTTTAATTTTTTATTTTTGGAGTGTTGATCATGTATAAGAAACTAAGCGATACTCTTGACCTCATTTTTTTTTTCAACACGTTTTTTAAACTTTTTTTATGGTGCCGTCGCAGGCTGACTAAAATGTAGTCCTTTTTTTTTTTTTTTTTTTTTTTTTAAACTTTGAGTGTATGTTTCTCAGTGCTTTAAGTGCCCACCCACACAGACACGATCTTAATAATATCCATTCACCACTCTTCTATCTATTTCTACTCCGAGCCTCTCACCTCCTCCTTTTTTTGGTACACTCATGCGGAAAGGATAAAAGAAAAGAAAAAAGTTTTTGCATACCGCAGCTGGCATATAGGGGGTGGTGGTGGAGCAAGAGAGAAAAATGAGTTAAGTAAAGAGAAAAAGGAATTTTAATTGAAAAATATATTTGTAATTATTAAATACAAAAAAAAACTTATTATATTGAACTATAATACCTAAAAAATAAATCAATAAATACAGCAAGTATTATTATACAAATAGGGTTTGCTAGAGTTATTGGACGTCTATGCTTTCTATTTATTTTAATTTTACTAATATGCACTTATTTTTTCTCTTAAAATTAGAAATCAGAGTTCTATAGCCAGAAAAGATACTTGAACTTTTATTCAGCTTTTAAAGAAATCCCTTTCAGCGTAAAAAAAACAATATCAGCGTAAAAAAAAAATAAAGTATTAGAAACTGTTTTGAAAACTCATTTAAAAGAAAATATTGAAAGATTAGGTTTTTTTATTACTTTTTTTTAATCTTTAGAATCTTTTCATTTTACTGCATTTTAATGGCATCTTCTTTTTTCATTCAATATACAGTTTCAATTAAGTCTCACTTTGAATATATTTACATCTTAGGAAATATCTTCACATATTTTGTGCTTCTAGAATAGAACCATAGCCGTGTACTTAAACCCAGGTTTTCTAGAATCTTAAAAAAAAAGTTGTATTATTTTTTTTCTGTATCTTTCCCTAAAATACAATTAACCTCAAAGTGCATCCTCTTACATTTTCACACTTTTTCTTTACCTCGACTCTTTAGCCCAAAAAAATAAATATACGCCTGCTTTTAAAATAGACACGCTATTGTGTAATTAAAAATGGCTACAGAGTGGGCCCTAAATATTGTGTTTTTTTTTCTCGAATAGCATTTTGAGTGCACTGCCAAACCCATTTCTTTTGTGCATTTGCTTTTATTTATTTTTTTTAATTCAAGACATTAAAGAATTTTAGTTTTAATCCGGTCAACAGTAACAACAGCAATAGCAATAGCAATAACAATAACAACAAATAGCTTTGCTGCTTGATAACATCATATATAGTCAGATATGATCTTTTATTCCTTAGTTTTCAAATGTTGCCAGCCTGTCAATACGCCATTATGTCCCTCAATGCCTTTTGTATTGTTTTTAGCATGTGAGGCTTAAACCTCTCATTTTTATTCAACAAGTATGTGCATAGCCAAGAAATATGGTATAATGTTTACATCTATTAAATATTCCCTGTTTACTTTCTACAAAAGTGAATATCTTGAATCGAAAGCAAAGACTCATATTCATTGGTTAGTTTGGATTTTTTCCACCACTATTTTTTTTTAATTTTCAACCTCAAATTTTTTCTATTTCCATTTCTCTTTTTTTTTTCTTCTTCAAATATCAACCATTTTCCCTTTCAATTGAGTTTTGATTCTATATAATTATGAAAATTCCTTCTGTTTTTATTAATTCTTCCGTATGTTAAAGCCCTTCGCCCGTTTTTGTAAGATCCCTCGTCTACTATGATATCAGCCTTAGCAAGGCTTTAAAAGTTCTCTTCAAGCTCATTAAACGGCTGCTACTTGTATCCACCATCCGGTTATAAAACTCAATATATAATTATCATTTTTTTCAAGTCTGTTAATGGTAAAAGGAAGTGCTTAAAAAGAATCTATTGTCATATACTTTAGCTTTTAACGGTTAGATAATCTCACCAAAAACAACCAGAAACTAAGCCGCGATTTAATAACTTTTTTCCCAATATTCTAAAAAATTATGTTAAGCATAAAATTAAGAGATTTTATTTATGAGTCCTTCAGCTCTTTTAAAATAAATTGAACAAAAGATATACTATGACAAAATTAATTGTAGATTCAAAGCTAACGAAAAACTTAAACTGACTTTCATATTACTTGAGCGTGATAGCCTTATGGTTATAGACTTGACCATATATTTTTATATAAGTTCAATGTTTGGCTATTATACTTTGTTTAGATATTTCATGGATTCTATAACAAAGCTTGTTTTAATCCTTCCCCTTTCCATTTGTTCTAGAATAAATTATAATAGTTGACTGGATTCATGCGATAAACTTGAGTGCTTCAAGTAAACCAATACTTCCTGTTTTTTTTTCATTTTCATTAGAGATAAAACGTACATTCAGCCGTTGAAAACTCAGTGAAACAAACAAAATAAAAAGGTGAAGTGAAATAAAAAAAAATGAAACTGGAAAAAACTAGTCCGATTTCTATTATATTTATTTCTAACATTTGCTTTTTATTTTGATTATTTTTAATAGAAAATTATCTTGTAACTTTTCTAACCTTTTCTTAAATGAAAATTTCATTTTTTTCTCTTACCATTTCCTTTTTTTTTTTCACAAACATTTTATTACCCCTTTCATTCTAATAACTTTAGTCTAAAGCTTCCCTAAAGCTTCCCTATATAAAAGAGTTTGTATTAGAAGAAAAGAAACATTTACAGGAAAGTCAACACCGGGAGAGTTTCTTGCACATGATCGATTGTTTGAAAAATAAAAAAAAAGTTTAGTGTTTTACGATATTGTTTAAACATAAAAAAAAAGCGAATAAAAAACTAACATCAAAAAAAAAAAAAAAAAAAAAAAAAACAGATTTAGTTATAATTGATCCTTCCCCTTCCCCTTCCCCTCAGCATCTCTTTTTTTCTCTCCATTTTTTTCCTTGACTATATTTATTATTTTAATCTTTACACAAATAAAGCTTCATCAGGTTTTAATAATGTTTAATGTTCATTTGTGCTTTCTTCAGTATTATTGAAAAATCAAAAAACAAAAGTGATTGTCATTGTTTCACTTGACTCAGTTTCGTTTAAGTTCCCCAAAAGGCCAATCATAATGTTATGAGCTTAATTGCAACCGCATAAGTTTAGTAATACCGGGCCGGCTTTTAAAAATTCTTATCAAACTGTAAACAAATTAGCACTCATGAATCAATTCTTCATTATGAAGAATAGCTGATAGCTAGTTACAAAAAGAAAAAAATATATGTTGAGCGATTCTCAACAAACAAGGCCAATTATTGTGTTCAAAGTTTGAATTAAAGGGAAGTCCGTATAAAATGAAAAATGAAGATATGTAAACAAGTTCAACTCATTGACTTGATTTATTTATTTATTTATTCTTTCGAAACAAATTTATTCTTCAGACCATGAGAAACTTTAAAATCATCTTTTAATAATAACTTCTTTTCTTCCGGAAATAAAAAATAAAATTAAATTGAGGAAAAAATCTTGGTGAACTCATGAATATTTTTATTTCTTCCTTATATATTTCTATTAATGGATTCTTAAAGAAAAAAGGGGTATCTATTACTTTCTCAGAGCTTTTAGTTCAATTTTGAACTCGAATCTTTAATTACAATTAATTCTAATATTAGAAATTAAATAGATAATATAAGAGCATATTCATAATTATTATAAGTAAAAATAAATTTATTTCAATGATAGTATTTAGTTTTTAATTTCATTAAGAAAAAAAACATACCATCTTTCAATGGATTGTCTTTCAACAACTCTCCCACAGCTCTCAAAACTTCTTTTAATCACCCCTGCCTTTGTCTTTATTTGTTTTTGAGGAGGTTTCTTTATGAGATCCTTTATAAATAAACAATTTCTGAGTACATTCCATTCTATTTTACCCAATACCTTTATACGGCGGCAACAAGTAAGCAAACGTTAAATATTTGTTTTTCACGAGCTTTTCTTAATAAATTCGACAAGCCTTCTAGCATCCTTTCTAGAAATTTATTTTTATGTCTTTAAGCTTTGAAAGGCTAGATTAGTACCTTAGTTCTTCAAAATAAATTCATAGATTAAGTGATTTATGAAACAAAAATCTTAGTACAGGCTCTTCGTTTTCAAGTTTTTTTTCCCTCGATTGCAGATCAAATCAATGAAAAGAAAAATTGCATTACTATAACAAAATAAAAACTAAATTATTCACATAAAGTTTTGCACTAATATCATAAGTCTTCTCCCTTCAACAGTGAACAGTTTTCCTGACGCAGATAATAGTTTGTACTCTTTAGATACATGATGTAATTTGCTGCTCGCTCTAAAATGCTCGATTTATTTGGGCGCACATTCTGCTCAACTGTCCGCTCAACACAACCATTAATCATCATATCATCTTCCTCCTCTGCAAGCACATTCTTGTCTTCCTCAGTAAGTTGGTCAAAATCTTTGACCCCAAAATCTGTAATATATGACGATGGCATCAGATCTTGTAGCCCAAAAATTTTTTCATTAATATTGGTGCGGTACTTCTTTTCAATTTTATTATGTGCAATCTTTTGATGAACAGTTAGCCGCCGGCGAGTAGTTCTTTTCCGCTTGAGCTTTGGTACTGGTGTGTTATTTATAGTAGATTTAGAAGATTCTGACTTGATTTCCGTCGGAACTTTTGTGCTAGTAGATGTAGTGCTTGCTATTGTTGCTGCAGTAGTAGTATTTGTCGTTGCTTTTATAGTGGAGTCGCCAATAGCATTAGAAATCCCAATGGACAATGGCGGCTGCTCCTGTTTCTGTTTCTGATTCTGATTCTGATTCTGATTCTGCTGTCGCTGGTGCTGGTGCTGTAATCTGTTAATAGGGATGACTGCCTTCTTTTTAAGTTTTTTGGCACTCGTTTTTTCTTTTGGCTCCTCCTTTGGCTGTAACACATTATCACTATCAACAACTGGCTCCGCGGGCTTTTCTTTCAACCCTTGGCTCTTGCAATCGAGTTTACTGCTCACTTCTGAAGCTACTTTAGCAGCAATTCCCTCAAGTTCAAATCCGGCTTCTCTAGAAGCGTCATTAATTCCCCCCACTAGCTCTTCAGATATATAAGGGTGGCAGTATTTAATATACCCATCAATATTATGTCCAGAAGAATGTAAACTATTAATGCCAGTCGAAGTTGCCGTTACGCTAATAGAGCCAGCATTCATTGTAGAATTTGCCGCTACAACCCCTTCCTCAGAAGGGTCTGAGATATAAAATGGAGTGTGACTATATGTAGTGCTGGTAAAACATGATTCGGATGAAATTTGGCCTGGAAAGTGGTGACGATGGCTATTGAAGTGCGTGGGGATATGGCCAGGTATTGTCACAGGCTCATCATTCGAGTGATTTGTTGATGAAAAAGACGCAACAATTGGTGCTGCAATCACCGAATTTTCCAGAGTGGTTGGGATTACATGCGATTCAAGATCAAAAAACATAAGATCTGTGTGATGTTGTGAGGCTGACGTCAAAGCCTGAAGAGCTGAAGTATCGGTTGTGGTAGGAATGACAATAGAAAACTGAATGTCTTCCAAATATGGAAGAGGAGATGTTTCATTTGAAGAAGAAAGCGATATGGATTCAGAGTAATGTGGTGAAGCCAATTTTTCAGACATACCAGGCTGCGCAAAAGAATCCTGGCCTAATTGGCAGGAAGGAAATTCAAATGTTGGTAAAGAAATAGCTGATGAGTCTCCATTTGAATTAACGATACAAGAAGAAAAAGCAGCATTCTTTTCTGGTGGTGGTGTAGAAAGCGGGGAAGGCATAGTAAAAGAAGAAAAGAATAAGAAACAAAGCAGATTTTAATAATAAAAGGAAAGAAAAAAGGGAAAGTTTTGAAATTTTGAGTCTATGCTAAAAACCGAAATTGTTTCATGAAATTAAAGATTCAATTAAAGATTCAATTAAATAAGTAAAGCAAAGGGGAACATATATAAATACGATACAAATATTTTTTTTTTAAAAAAAAAATAAAGATTAAAAAAATTAAAAAAAAGAAGGATTTTTATGACTTTATATATTTTTTGTGAGGTTAACAAGTAAACTTTAATCAACATCTATGTTTTACATCCCGCATAGAATTCATACCTTCCATTTTGAGATAACACAAGTCCAATTTACCCCGGTTCTCACAGTACAAATAAATTGAATCAAAATAAAATTTTGAATTTTTGCAAAAATATATACTTTTATATATGAAATGAAATAAAAATAAAATAAATTTCCTTGACCCTTTTTTTTACAAATAAATAAAATTTTAATGATGGTAAAAAATTTGTATTCCTTCTTACACAATTTAAAAGGAAATATTTACTCCAGCAGCCCTATACATTAACGTGTTTTTAACAAATCTTCATTTCATCAATATTAAAAAGAAGGAAAAGCACCAAAAGTATATTTCATATACTACATTAATTCATTTTTGTAAAAATAAAAAAAATTTAACATCTGGGAAAAATAGAATAACCAACGATAACATGGATTTCTAGAAACTCTTTTGTCGTTTTTTATTTAAATCTTGTAACTATTCCAATCCTTTTATTTCAACATTTTAATGATTCTTTAGCCCTAAGATTTTAAGGAAAAAATTCCTAAAAACAAAAAGATGCGTTTTTAAGACACTTTGTGCACTTTCTGGAGTTTCTCGGTTTTCCCTCTTATGCTTGTTTTATACACTGCTCATTTCATGGATCACTTTTATCAAAGTTTATTTTTTTTACACAGCTTTACGCGTCATTTATGTTTTTTCTAGGAAGATTAAGTCATCCCCTTCCTTATTCATTTTTTTTACAAAAAGTTCTGAATTCAATTTTTTTAAAAAAATTTATTTTTTTTAAAAACAAAAAAAAGCCACCAAGTTTAAATAAAAAATAATACCAATATTGACGGCTGGAAAAAAAATTTTTGTCAAATCCTACTTTTAAACCATCTGAAAAATTTTGAAATCCTTTATATGCTGTTTGTTCTTTGATCAATACTGTAAAAACAGTTGAGTTTTTAAATACTGGCAAATTTACTGCACTAAACCTTGAAATTTAAATTAATATCCGTTAGCGAAAAAATTTGCTACCAAAGCCTGTGTTGAGAGAGAAGCCTTCTTCAACAAGGGCATGAATAACTTGGTATTATAAGTAATTCTTGTCGCTATGCTGCTCTCTCTGTACACCGGTACACTAATCGTAAAATACACAGCGAAGTTTGTTTGCGGATAAGAAATAGCTTAATTACATTCAGCGCTTTTCTAATAATATTTTTCATCTTTAACTTATCTTAAATAGATCATTTTAATCATCTCTATTATCGATATCTTTACAAGATTCAGTTCCCATTTGTATGCATAGTTACATTGACGGGCTATAATGGACTTCCCTTACTCTCTCCCCAAGTCTATCTACGATTTCATATTATATCTATTCTATCCAAGATCTACCTTCATTATAACCACCATTTATTTATAACTTCAATTTTTTTCACAGCGACTGAATCTAGCAATTGCTTGGAATAGCTTCTTTTGAAATTGTTTAAACTTTTATTTACCCTAAAGTGAAATCTTTTGCAGATTACATATCTTCTAGAAACTATTTAGTTATTAAAAGTTCTTTTTTTCTAAAAACTACATCATTTATTTCTTCTTTATTTCTAATCACTAAAGAATGAATTACAAATTTTATTGTTTTCTGCCTTTCACTATTACTGCTTGTGGAGAAATTTTCCAGCGGAAACTCGGCCTCTGAACCCCCTATCTTAATTGTGAAACCTTTCACTCAAAACTACTACTGAGATTATTCTAAGGTTTGTTAGTGAAAATCTAAAGAGTCTTCTTGAATAAAAAATTTCTGGTATAAAATTATAGCGACATGATGTAATGATTGATGTCCTGAGAGGTTTAAGCCTCTGTTCCACGTTATCGGGCTTATGTCTTGTATATCTTCTTCATTCTTGGCTCGTCCGACAACATCTAGTTCTTTGATGATGTCACATGACTATATTCCCACTATGGCTAATATATATTGGCATGCCAATGCGCATGGCATCACCACCAAAGAGCTATCACGAATCATAATACCGTACTTCGTTGGAGCGCCAGATTATCTAAATCGTGAAACTAACAGCTAAAACAAATAAGATTTGGTCTCTCAATAATAAATTTTAGTTATGGAAATTAATTATTTACGGAATGGAACTCAATAACAGATAGATATTGTTTCTAGACTTTATTTTTAAATGCAGTGCGCTATAATAAATATTTTACTAAAGAAATAGGGCAACTCGACAACGAGTAAAGTACTTTGATATTTTTTTTTTGACCTAAATCATTTTCTCAAGTTTTTTTTGTGTACTTTCAAGAAAAACATCTTTTTGCGTACACCCCAAAACTGATTAACTTTTAAGACATGGCCCAAGAGATTTGGAAAATATCAAGTTTTAAAATTATATTCCAAGTGTTAAGGAGGCATCCTTTTTTAGTAATAAATTTTTTTAGATTATAAATTTTGTGCCTTTTTTTCTATTTGTTATTATATCTGTTAGCTTTGTTGATTCTAACGCCATAGAACCACTAGTCCATATTTGTTTTAAATTAATTAAATTTAAACGACCCCTCTTTTCTATTAAAGGTAAGTGATACCATGTCTATTAATTATATATAGAGAATCTTTCTAAAATTTTTTCAATTTTCAAACTGAATTTTAAAATATCCTGTATATTAAAGTTGAAAAAAACTGAAAATAAACATTGTCCAATTAGGCTTGTCGGCCTATCCAAAGCTTCGAAAGACTACTCATCTATAAAATCAAAAACCAAAAAAAAAAACTAGTAGCCGTATCATCGTTAACTGGAAAGGCTTTTTCCATAATTCAAGCCATATGCTTAGCCATATACTTAGCCATACGCTTAGCCATACGCTTAGCCTGGAATATTAAATATGGGATATCGTTAAAATTTTGTTTTGAAAGAAGTCTGCGCTGATCTTTTGTTCTTTTCATTTTTCCCACATAAAAGTATGTAACACCTTTAAAGGTATTGCGGAAAGCTTTAAGGCCAATACACGTTTCTCTGTTTAAAAAAATTTCCCCCCTCATTAATGAAGCACTTTCAATATTTATCAAACTTCTTTTCTTTCTTTTTAAACTTATTCTAATTTTTTTCTAATTTGTTGGTTTTTATTATAAATAAATAGGATTTATAATTATAAATCCTAAAAATTATTTTTTTCTTTTTTCTTTTGTTCCAACTTTTTCGCTCCATTTTTTTTTTGTCGTACAATCGCCGCATGCTTGATATCAGTATTAGGCTTGAAAATCTTATTCTATATGATATATTTAAACCGTATTCATTAAATGGTTCTCAATGACGTATTTTTAAAATAATGGTTAAATAGAAATCATTCGATGCAAAAAAAGTCATATTTCAACAATAAAAATTTCTTTTTCGTTCCTACTAAACCTAACATCCAAAAAATGCCAAAGGAAATACTTGAAGATTTGTTTGACTTTCCAAAAATGACTTTAGATCATCATAATTGTGAATAGTTTTATTAGTTTACTCATAAAAAATTGATCCGATCAAGCTGAAAAATTAAATGATGAACCCACATTGGATGTTAAAAAATTCATAAATTTTGAGGGTTTATACAGCTTACTTAACTTTTTTTCCTTACACTGTTTCTTCAATAGTCTATTTTCTGAAAAAAAAAATTATCAACCACTTCTGTACATCTAATGACTAAAAATCCTCTCCTGTTAAATTATCTTGATCTCATATTATTTTATAATTGATAAAAAAAATATAGCCTTTTCTAAATTCTTTTCATCTTTTATCTTAAAAATTTTTTATATTATTTTTCAACTATACATACAATTATCTCACTTAAGCTTTTATTAGTTTATAAATTATTTATGAATTAGGAGGATCTTAAAAAGTACAAAAACAGAGTCTCATGTCGTATAAAAACTCAACAATGTTAAACGGTACCGTTAATATACTATTGGTAGAATTTGATAAATTTTTGATGAAAAAAAGCTAGTGATTATTGACTTTATAAGGATTAAAAAAAAAGTATTTGTTATTAAATTGTTCTTTATTAAAATATGGTGTAATAAAGAATTCTAGGCTTTTTTATTGTTGTATGTTTTTTTCCAATACTACAAGATATTAACATAATGTCCCTCTAAGTCACTAAACTTCTCCTTTCCAAGCTTAAAAATACTCTTGTGATTGAAACTTCACATTTTGTATGTGAGTTAAACTCCTATATAATACCATGCAATATATTGTAGGATATTCTTATTTTCCTAAACTTATTATATTGGCTGGCGACTTAAAGCTTTTTGCTAGTCTTGGGAGTTTCTGACTATTACGGTTACATGGGTTAATATGCCTGTGTTATTTCCTGATTTGAAGGGGTTTTGGGAGTATCTAGATATCTAATAAAGTAAATTTCAAATATCATTTCTTTAAAAACGTAGACTTCAGTTTAAAACTAATATAATAACAAAACAAAAAAACTAGAATAAATCAATTAAAACCAATAAACCAGGATATTTTACAGTTCTTAGAATTCGACACCATCAAAATAATAAAAATTATTTTTCAAATAATAAATTTATCAACACACTTTTAATCAATTGTAAATTATTATAATATATAAAGAGGAAAAGGAACTTATAAGCTAATTAGGAAACATTTTCTAAAATATTGTTACTGAAATCATCCACCAGCTTTTGATAAAGTTGGTTCCCCGTCGAATTAGAGATGTTGAAGCTTATAAGTGTAATTAGTAATGTCAGGCAAAAGAGACTCAAATTTACTTAGAAACCAGTATATTTCAGACTTTGTTTTGAAATTTTTTCTTCACAACACAAATAAATTGAACATTTCTTTCCATCTTTTATTTTTTTTTTTCTTCTTCTTCTTCTTCTTCATCAAGAATTTACTCAAATGGTATGTATATTTTTTAAAACACATCAAAATCAACCGTCCCTCTCCCTTCTTTAATGATGAAAAGATTGCTATTTTTTCTAAACCCAGCTCTTCGATTATTTTTCGCATGAGACTAATATGTTTTTTCAACTGATAATTATTTGAGAGAAGATGTTTTTTTATTGTGTATGGCTCTATTTTGATAACTTTTACTAATAGTTTACATTTTTCAGGTTTTAATGAAAGTAGTTTTGAATAGAATTACCATTAAGAGTTAGATATCTTTATGTAAATTACAAAATTTTAAAATAAAAATAAAAATTTCCTAGAATTTAAACCTTGACCACATACTCAGCCTGATCAGCGGAATTGTCCAAAACCTTGGCGGATTTTAAAATAGTGATGGTTTTCTCGACTACCTCAGGGTCAACCGAGGACGTGTCCTTTCGGAAGGTGACAGTTTCAAGCCAAGCTCTAGCATCTTCTGCAGAATAGTCAAGATTGGTGGAAATCCATTCAACGGCTTCATCCTGATGATTCTTAAAGTATTCAATACCTTCTTCAACACTTTTGGTGAAGGCTGCAAGGTCTTTGGCGTTTGAAGAAATAGCATTTGTGGATGCAGAAATAACCCAGGAAGGCCAGGGAGTGTAAATGCGACCAATGTTCTTGATCTCGCCAGACGTATAGTACTTTTTGGTGGTGAAAATCTCCCACATGAAGGCATCAGTAGGCTCCAACCCTTCCTTGAGATTAACCGCATCTCTTAAATTCTTAAAGTTTTGAAGAATATTGAATTTGTACTCATCAGTCCAGCCCTTTTGATAGGCTAAGACAAAGGGCATGACATAGGAACCGCTAAAAAAGTTAGTAATGTTGAAACACATTTAAGATTAAACGTACCTTCCAATTCTGCTAACACCAATTCTCTTGCCTCTAATGTCGTCTTCATTGGTAAGCTCAGCACGATTCTTACCAGTGCTAATAGCCCAGCCTGTTCCATGTTAGGCATCTCATTAAAAAAAAAGGCTTTTAAACTTTTAACTTACATAGCGGAGACTCAACATAAGTGCCAATAAGTTTGTACCAGTCGGCCCCCTTGCCAATACCAGCAATAAAGGCTTCAGTCAATCCGACAGCAACATCTAAGAATTGTCAAGTTAGAATATAATTATAAGCCAATACTAGTAAAGACAAAGGAAAAGAAAACCCCATACCAATTGTGTTGTCTTGGAGAGACTGAATCAAGTGACCAGATCCCGAAGGATAAGGCAAAAACTCAACTTTAACCCCATTTTTTTCGTAAAAACCTTGTTGTTGAGCAAAAAACAAAGGAGTGGAGAAGTGTTCAGGGACATAACCAATTCTGAGTGCGGACATTGCTGTTCTTTTAATTGCTGTCATTTGTGAAAAAATACCTTGTTGGGGAAGTTCTGTTTTTTATTGTCTTTTTTTTCTAGGAGTTTGATTCTTGATAAAAATTTCTAGCGTCATTACACATGAATATGACAAATAGCTTGCATAAAAAATATATTACTTGCAATTACACATGTGCTTTGTCTACAAGAAAATCAAGAGATATTTTAAGAAAATAAGCAGTTTAGTATTTAATTTTTTTTCTAAAAAAATACTGTTGAATCTATATAGGAGAAATGAAACATAATTAAAACAAAGTGATTTAACCACGGACGGAATTGTAGTGCTCACCCAAACCAAAACTATGCTTATAATATGCCAGCTTCAGCTCAGAGTGTGTCCCGTTTTCATTTATCAGTAGTGGCGATTGCCCGCTAATTAGGACAGACACTGGACAGTCATAAATTTGGGCAAAAGCTGTTATTTCCAAATCACCACCCCAAAGAGGTGTATTCTCTAACTCATTGGTATATTCATCAATGTCTCGGATGGTCATGGTATTTTCATCAAACAAAAACGGACTGAAGTCATCAGGATGCTGCCGGATATGATTAGCAGCTTCTGTTCGTAGTTCCTGAACCGTTTTGTCAATATTTCTTCTGACTCTAAGCTGATCTGCAATCGAGTTAAAAAGACAATGTCCGTCAGCTGCAACTTCGTGCACAGTAAGACCTTTAATTTTTAAAAGCTGATCCATGCTTTCCATTTCAATTTTGCGATAGTCTACCTGGTTTGCAGCCTCAGCTTCAGCTTCTTCAATAATTTTCTTTTTTTCAGCTTCGCGAGCCTCAAGTTTTTCTTTTCGTCGGTTTCTCTTGACTTTTGGCTCACCCGTCACAGGTTCTGGTTTAGGAAGTTCTGGTGTGGACTCTTCCTTTTCTTGCTCGATCTGTGCAAGAAGTTTTTCGGGGCTAAACTCATCATCGTCATCATTATTGCTATCGTTGTCATCAACAATATCAAAAGTCCCAGATGCACTGGTTCCACTGATATGAAGCCCAGCAAGTTGTTTTTTAATATCCTAATGGGTGTTAAAAACCAAAAAAAAAAAAAAAAAATCAATAAAGATTATTCAGTCAACTTACATTTAATTCGTCTTGATGCCGCAGTTTCATCTCTTTTTCCAGGGTTTCAATCTGCTTATTTATCTCTTTTCTTTTCTTCTTTTCACCTTTAGTGGCTTGCTTCTTCATGGCTGTGGTCTTGGTTACCAGCTCTTTTGCCTCTCTTCGATGTCTAGCACGCGCTTGCTCTTCAGTCTCCAAAGGGGCACTAGAAGTATTTAAAACCTCCCGGGTATCTTCTTCTGAGCTCATTTTAAATGAATTATCAGTGATATTATAAATGGGCTTTGATTATTTTTGATATCAAATGTTAACAAAAAATTAATTAAAAAACTAAATTAAAAATTGAATATACCGATCTGTTAAACATGCACAGCACGTGATACAGTTACCCGGATTAAAAAGCCGTCCAATCCTTGCCCGGCAAAATTTTCAGCTTGGAATTAATGGCAAATCCATTTTTTCTGGTGTATATATTTTCACTACCGCCTTTGAAAAGAGCTCTTTTCAACAATTGCAGCCTCCCATACCCCATACTTGTAGGCCGTTTCAAAAACCTTTAACAACAAACATGCTTTCCAGATCCTCTCATATTTTGAGAGCTGGCATCATTTCGCGTGCCAGCCTTTTTACAGCTCGGTCTGTTGTAGGTTCCTCTTCAGTCCGTACGCAGATTGCCATTGGCTACAGAGCTGCATCTACAGCACCCGCCACTGCTACTACTACTACAGCACCCGCCACCTCCACTAAAGCCGAACTTGATGGTGAAAATACGGCTTCTGCTCCTAAACAAAAGCGCATTCGATCTAGACCCAGAAACCAGTCTTCTGGCTTTAAGAGCAAATACAATGGTCCTATACTAAGCATTGATGAAAAGAAGGCTATCGATGCCCAGTACGACAAAATATACCAAGCTCTCAACGAAAATAATCTTGTTGATGCTTCTAAGTTTTTCCTTGAATCATACAAACCTGAGGAAACATTTTTATTTAGAAACTTCAAGCAACTTGAGGGCAAGGAAAGACTTCACATCAAGCTTTTCCACAAGGTTCTTGAGGCACACAAACGTAACGACAAATTAGAGGGTGTGATTTCTGTCAGCGACCTTTACTCAAAGTACCTCGATGGTGGTATTACTGTTGGGTGGATGTGCTCTGAAGCTATTATTTACGAAATTTCCAAAGGCCGACCTGAACAAGGTTTAGAACTATGGGTTAAGTTTATGGAATCTAGCAACAATGTTACCAATGTTCAAAATCACGATAACAAGGAGGCTGCTCATTCCGCTTTAGCTGCTTACATTTCTAGTTGCCTTAAAGAAAACACTGAGCCTACTTCTAAGATTGCTCTAACGCTTGTCCCTCTTAAAACCATCCCTGATAACACTGATATTACCCGTCTCTTTAGAAATTGCAACGTCAAGCTTAATAATAATACTATTAACAAGATCAATCAAGGATTTGATACTATTAGATATGAGTCTTTAGATCCCAGCAATGTTGATTTTCTCGACAATCTTCCCATTGACCAACCTCTTGAGCTTGAAAACAGATATGCAGAGTGCATTAAGAAGTCAGCAGACAGTGGCGTTGCTCTTTCTGAAAGCACATACGCTCGCTTTATTTTTTGCTTTGCTGAATCAAACCGCTTTGACCGTGCTTTTGAGATTTGGAAGGACCTTGTCAGCAGCGGCATTTCACCTTCAGTTCAGTCCTGGAATATGCTGTTGAAGGCTGCCGCTTTATCTAACAAGAAGCAGGTTACTTTGATTGAAGCTCTTCTTAAAAAGATGATTGATTCTGGTGTTAAGCCCAATTCCGATACCTATGGAATTCTTATTAACTCATATTTCAAAGCTGGGCTCTCTGACACTGCTGTTGAGATTTACGAGAAACTCGGCGAGGAAAATATTCCCGTCAACTTGTACATTTTCAACATTATGCTTAATGGTCTTTTGAGATCTGGACAAGAGGAGGCTGCTCGTTCTCTTCTGAAATCTGGTATGGACGTTGGTCTTTCTCCAGATATTATTTCCTTCAACACATTTATCACTACCTACATTCGTGAAAAGAAGTACAAGGAGGCTGAAAAGATTATCACGCTCATGAACGATGTTGGTGTTACTCCTAATGTTGAAACATACACAAACATCATTGATACCATCTATAAGGTTGCCAATAAGGAACAGATTGATCCTCATGAGCAAATTGAAAAGATTATTAAGTCGATGGCCGAGCAAGGTATTCGTCTTAGTGTGCCTACCATTACTGCCATTATTGATGGTATTGCCAAGTCTGGTAACGGCAATTCATCCAACCTCCAACTCTACAGACTTATGCAAAAGAAGCAATTGAGACCAAACATCCGAACATTTACCGCTTTGATCAACAGTGAGATTCTTGCTGGTGACATTGATCGTGCCACATTCTTTTTTGATGAAATGAAGCAGTATAATGTTATTCAAGCCACCACCAACTACAATCAGCTTCTTAGAGCCCTCACTCCACGAAACCTCATTCAAGAAAGCATGAGGCTTTTCCGTGATCTCCAACACAGTAAATACGCATCACCCAATGTTTACACCTATTCATTTGTTCTTCAGTGTGCTCTCAATACTAACGACATGGTTAGTGCAACTGAAGTTCTTGAGGATTTAGCCCGTCAACCTAATGACTTCCGTGTGGGCTCTTCTTTATTGAAAATTCTTCGCAAGCTTAGTGATAGAGGTCTCAAGGTTCCTATTTTCAAAGATCAAAAGCAGACACCATATGCTAAGAAGCTTGCTGAAGAGGAAGTTTAGATTATACCAAATGTGGGTGTAAGATGAAGAAAAGACAAAAAAAAAAGCAAAGTTGTATAAAACGTCATTGTGTAAATTTGAACCCTGTTAATAACATGATTGTAAATAGTAATAACCAGAAATATTTAGAAACTATCGTGCTTTTGTGCACTTTTGTATTACACCAAGCAAATTCCAAGCAAATTCCAAGCCGAGACTCCCAACAAGGAATAATTCAAGACCCCCAGACCTTTACAATTGGCTTATGTTTGACATAAAACTAAAGTATGATAGATACAAGGAATAGTTGTAATGTAACAAATAAAAGAAAAAAAAACAATAGAGAACTTTAGTACTTATAACACGGCACCAAAGCTCGCCTGTTTATTAAGATCTGGGACCATTTCATGGCTGAGATGCCGGGCTTTTGAATTGCAGTTCAAAAAGGTGATTTTTTTTGTAATTATTACAAAAGCATGTACGATTTCTTAAAAAGTCACTGATTTGAAAGATATCAAACCCCATCTGTTCTTAAGGTCTTAATTGATATGTGAACCATCACACGATAACTTTAAACAACAAGAGATTCTTAGAAACCCAGCATCTCGGCTATTCCGGGACTTATTCGGATAAGGATTACTGAATGAATTTGGATTTTTCATATTGCCTCTGATTGTTTATGGTGATGATGTTAAGGGTGAAAAGGCAAAACCGGGTGCAGTATTGGCGACTAAGCTTAAATATTCTGATTACGTAGTGAAGACAGTGCCGTGTGGCAGGCTACAAAATCAAACGGCACTAATTTTTGAAAAAATACAAAAAAAGGCATTTTGTTCCAATGACAACCAACAAAAAGTAGGCTTTGTATAATTGCCGAGTATCTAGGTTAAAAGTCACGGAAAAGAAATTAAGAGAAATCCGGAATTGGTTATTTTTTTTTTTTGGTTGGTTTTAGTGGCCACATGGCAGAAATTTCAATATTGCAACTTTTAAATTGATAGTAAGCTTATTTAGTAAGAATATTGAAAATTTCAAAGTAATTTGCAAGCCTCAATTTTTTTTAAAGCCTTAGGCTTTAAAATAAGTTTTCCGAACTAGTTTGATGGTATTCCACAGTACCCTTTTTTCAAAATAATATATCATTATGCCGCTAAGTAAAATGGGTTTCCCAATGTAGCAATTTACGTATCCATCACAAATTTCAACAAAATCAAGGGCTTGTTGATATTATCAATTGGATATTTCTTATAGTGATGCTAAAGGATTTAAACGGTATTTTAACCAGCCAATCCTACAAGTTTTTTCTTCTTCAAATAAACTGTTATCACAATTTCTTTTCACCGTCGGATGAGTCCCAACCCGGGTAAGCAATACTTACAACCTTAAGCGCCTACCAAATCACATAGCTATAGCTTTCACCATTACCCGTTACCATTAATAATTATTGTCATTGTCAGCCTTTCTTTAACTATCAAAAAATGCGGAGAGATGTACCGATGTGAATATGATGCCGTATGTAGTCATGAATCATTTCAAAGTTTTTTCTTGAGTTTTTAATTCAAATTACTTGCAAAGATCTATTCCATCTCTTCTCTAATATTCAATTAATTATAAGGTTAAGATAGTTTCAAACATATTTCAACTTAATTAAGCTATTAGATATGTTTGAAGAAATTGAGTTTAAAAAAAACAATTTGAAATTTGGGGTAAAACTCGTGAACAATGATTGTAATGGATGACGGCATTCAGATTTGACAAGTGGAGTAAGTCTCATCAACATTTACTGAGATTTCATTTGCCAAAAGCTTCAAATAACTATACGGCGTCGTTTTTTTCTTTAATTGATTTGTTAAGAATCAGTAAACTACTAACTGTACGGCGCCATAAGGTTTCCTTGTTAGGTCAAGTTCTTTCTTTTGCTCTCCCTGACTTCCTCATTATGTGTATGGTACCCACAACAAAACAGTATCATCGCACACAATGATGTCCTTATCAGTGCGCCAAATGGCATCACATTTTTCTTTTCTTTTTTTCAATTCACTCTGGTAGCTTATTGTGATTTTAATTGATTTAATAAGCTTTTGTGGAGGATTCAAAAAGTTAATGCAGTTTCCAACTCCCCCGCAACTTTTTCAAGGTCTAGCATAATGAACTTGAAAGCATTAGTCTAGTAAGAAAAAAGAACATCAACTAAAAAGAATATCTCAATCAAGAAACTGAAAAGAGGTTTTGAGTTCAAATTTCACATAATACTGTAAAAATAATTACTGAAAGTGTTATTTTTTCTTTGTGTTTATCATAGTTTTCATTTAAGAAACATTTTGAACCCAAATCAAGTGCCGTTCATGTACTTGAATTTTCATTTTAAAGATGTTTTAAGTTCTAGATAAGAGCCCTATCAGGAAACAAACGGCTCCAAGAAATAATTATAGATATCACAAGTTTTGATGCAACCGGATTAAAAACAGAAACATATATAAATGGTTCTTTCAAGACCCAAAATCTCTTTATTTCATTTTTTTTTATTTCCATCCATAATTTTCTTTATATCCTTTTCTTTATATCATTTTATTCATTAAAATATTCATTCATAATACCTTATTACTTTTTTTATGATCCTTTAAAACAACAATGAGTCAACTTGAGTCTAAAAACCACGACTCTACTGTCACATATACAACAGATATTGATTATGCAAGTTTCAAAGAAGCATCTGAAAGTATCCAAGACGACGATGTTTTGGTCAGATTTGGTCAGGATCCATCTTCAGATGACGAGGACCCTGTTGCAGCCTATCTCTATAAGAAGTACCGTGAAATGACACTTTCAGAAGCTGTTGAGATCTTGAAAGAAGCGATTGTCTATCACGAAAATGATGTGAATTTTCCTATGGATGTTTTAAACAAGATTGAAAAGATTGTTGAAGGACCTGAAAAGTATGGCGAAGACATTGCTATTTATCAGCGCGAGGCCAAGATTGAGGCCACATTTATTCGTTGGCATTCACCTTACCCTGAGGTGCGAGCCATCACGGACCCTTTTGATGATCCCGATACTCCGTGTGATACTATTCGAGCTTATTTTCTTGGTTTTGTTTGGTCAATTATTGGCACTGGTGTTAATCAATTTTTCAGTCCCCGTCAGCCCTCAATTTCGCTTTCCTCTGGTATTTTACAAATTTTATTGTTGCCTTGTGGCAAGGCATTAGAATATGTTTTGCCAAAATGGAGCTGGTCTTTTCGTGGAGAGCGATACTCATTGAATCCGGGACCTTGGACTTATAAGGAACAAATGTTTGCAACTATTATTTTTAATGTGTCTATCGGTGGTGCTTATGCTGCTTTTTACAATATCATTGTTGAGAAGTTGCCCATGTACTACAACAATCAGTGGGCCACAATTGGTTATCAGTTTCTCTTGGTTTTTTCCACTCAATTTTTGGGCTTTGGATTTGCTGGTATTATGCGCCGTTTGATTGTGTATCCTGTTCGAGCTGTTTGGCCCACTATCCTTCCTCCTGTTGCTTTGAACAAGGCTCTTGCGGCCAAAGAACCCAAAAAATGCATTAATGGCTGGACCATAACTAAGTACAAGTTTTTCCTTATTGTTTTTTCTGCTGCTTTCCTTTACTTTTGGCTTCCCAATTACTTGTTTGCTGCTCTTAGTACTTTTAACTGGATGACTTGGATTGCACCAAACAACTTCAACTTGGCAACTATTACTGGCTCTATTGGAGGTCTTGGAATTAATCCCATTGCGTCTTTTGACTGGACTGTGATCAACTATAACAGTCCTCTTACAATTCCATTTTATTCCTTTTTGAACCAGTACATTGGTACTTTGATTGCAGGCTGTGTGCTTATTCCTGCCGTTTTCTGGACAAATTACAAATGGACTGGCTACTTCCCCATTAACTCTAATCACATTTTTGCCAATGATGGAACAACTTACAAAGTTAGTAAGGTTCTCACCAATGGTCTTCTGGACATCGATAAGTATCAAAGCTACTCTCCCCCATTTTACACTGCTGCTAATCTGGTTGTTTATGGCTCTTTTTTTGCCCTTTACCCTTTTGCCATCATTTATTCCTTTGTAACGGACTGGGTGGCCATTAAAAGAAGTTGCCTTGATCTCTGGGAAGCAATTAGAAATCCTCGTCGTTCAAACTATGCTGGTCATGACGATGTTCACAGTCAAATGATGTCTAAGTATAAGGAGGTTCCTGATTGGTGGTTTTTGGTTGTTTTAGTCATTTCGCTTGCTCTTGGTATTGCTATGGTTGAACACTATCCTACAAATACACCTGTCTGGGGTATCTTTTTCACTATTGGAATTAATTTCATTTTTCTCATCCCCATCACGCTCATTTACTCTGTTACTGGCTTTTCTTTTGGTCTTAATGTTCTTGTTGAGCTCATTGTTGGTTATGCTATTCCTGGAAATGGAACTGCACTTAACATTCTTAAGGCATATGGCTACAATATTGATGGTCAGGCTCAAAACTATATTACTGATCAGAAGATGGGTCATTACGCTAAAATCCCTCCCCGTGCTATGTTTAAGGGCCAGATAATATCTACACTATTTCAGGTTTTGGTCTCAGTAGGTGTAGTTAACTGGCAGATTTCCAATATTGAAGACTTGTGTACTTCTCATCAAGAACAAAAGTTTACTTGTCCTGGTCCTAATACTTTCTTTTCGGCTTCGGTATTTTGGGGTGTTATTGGTCCCAAGAGAGTTTTTGGTGGCCTCTATCCCATTCTTCAGTGGTGTTTTTTGATTGGTGCTCTTCTTCCCATTCCATTCCTCATGTTACGCAAGTTTTTCCCCAAGACTATGCGATACTTCCAGCCCACCTTGATCATTGGAGGAATGCTTCAGTATGCTCCTTATAACTTGACCTACTTCACTGGTGGCCTGTATCTTTCATACATTTTCAACTACCATATTCGCAGACGTTACCTTGCCTGGTGGGAGAAGTACAACTACGTTCTTTCTGCTTCTTTGACCGCTGGTGTGGCTTTTTCAGCTATTATCATTTTCTTTGCTGTTCAATATCACGACAAATCTATCAGCTGGTGGGGCAATAATGTTCCTTACAATGGTCAAGATTACGCTGGAAACCCATTGTTAGAAATTCCTGATGGTTCATATGTCGGACCACGCATTGGAGCATTCCCATAAGTTTTATTTTTATATTTAAAGTATTTTTTATTTATATTTTTTATTCATATTTTTTATTTAGATTCTAGAATTTAAAAAGTTGATTTTTCAAAAATTCCAAATCCATTTTAGTAAGTATGCTTAAAGCACCAGCAGTTAGCAATTGAGTAACATGTAACATTGTTTTATCGAGTAACTAATGTCGATGTTAGTTTTTAACGACCTTGTTAAATGTAGAGAAACAAGTCATGCTCATAACATCAAAATAGTGGCGTACCCTTATGCAGACAAGCTACTTTCTAACAGGGCCTTTATTTAATAACTGTTATTTTAATTTCTCATATTTAATTAGGAAAAAACAACTAACGTTTTAAAGGCATATGATCACAATATTGAAAATCAGCCCCAAAATTATATTACGAATCAAAAATTAGGTCATTATGCTAAACTAAACTTCGGCCCCAGGCTATGTTTAAAGGTCAAATGGTATCAACTATCTATCTGGGGTTTCCACTCCTTACAAACACAACTTCACAACTCCACAACAGAAGAACCACGAACCACTATCAACTATATTTACATCATGTTGTAATTATAGTTATGATCAAAAAAAAATAAAAAAATGCGTCAGCCCGGAGTCGAACCGGGGGCTCGTCGATGGCAACGACGAATTTTACCGCTAAACCACTAACGCTTAATAAAAAACAAAATTTAAGATTTAAAATAGAACACGAATAGCCTGATCACGTGACAAACAATGAGCTAAAATTGCCATGGCCTGCGCAAAAATGGGTATTTCACTTAAGATTCTTTGATTTTATTTCTTAATAATTACTCCTGTAACCATTTAAGGAAATTAAAAACAAAAAGCTTGTATGTTTGTTTTTATTCAAGGGCTATAGAATTATATAACATCAGCATCTGAGCTATCCTTTTATTGTCTGACTATGTGACTTGCCGTTTTTCATTTGTACATTTTAAGTACGGGTGGTTCCTGTTCTGTGCGTCTCCGGTAGCCCGGAAGATGGGCCCTGATGCCAGCTTACGGGGAACAGGGATAACCAGTCTGTCGGTCCCAGAACCTTCCCAATCCATTTCCACTTATCTTCACGGACACCCGTATATTTCTTAATCTCTTCAGCCAGAGATACGGCCTGCATTCACCTGCAGGCTAATTAGACTGTACGGACGGGTCGGAATTCCTGTAACCAGGGTAGCCTGTGGTTTTCAGTCTAGGTGTATACTCCCATACATATCCTCAGGAAAAGGGGGTATTCTGGGAATCAAACCCAGTATCTTCCGCTGTAGAGCGAATTCAAGGGTAAAACAAAAAGCCCAAAAATATAAAAATAAGACATGATGTTAGGATTGTTGTAAACGGTTTTACTTTTCATTCACTAGCGACATGGCGCAGAGGAAGCGCGCAGGGCTCATAACCCTGATGTCCTTGGATCGAAACCAAGTGTCGCTATTTGATATCTTTTTTTGTATTTGTTTAATTTATTAAATGGTTTTATTGTAGGTTTTTAAAATCACATAGAACCTTAGAAATCTTGAAGATGGGTTTGCAATTGCAGTTAAGTTTCAATTTAGTTTATTGATGCTGCGAATTTTTTCTAACCAACACCTTGCCAATTGTGCCCTAGCAAAATAAAATCCTTATTAAGCATTTCACAAACTCTTAATAACGATACATTACTTTTTAATTATTTTTTGCAGGTTAAAAACAACTTGTCTAAACAATTCTCATTAGGCTATATATAAATGCTCTAAAATCACCATCTAATTTTGTAATCTAACCATTATATACAAAATACCAAAAGGAAATTATGAAATATTCATTACAAGTATTCCAAAACTTCATCTACCACACGTAAAGCTTTCCAAACATCCTCATCACCAGTCTTACCCAACCGGCGAACGTACTGTGCACGACGCTCTATTGGAAGCTCAACAAACCGGCGAACGAGATTGTAATCTAGCAGCTGTCGTGATTGCGCTTGGCCTTGTCCGGATACTGGTCCACCAGAAGCAACACCCATGGCATGATGCATGCGGGGATTCAGTCCCAATGTATGTTCTTCACGGTCCGAGATTTGTTGTTGAATAACATACAGTGCACGGTATGTGGCTTCTGTAACTGGCACTATTGTCATCAGAGAACCGTCACGGGCACCACACAGTGGAATGAAACCAGGAGATGCAGTTTGCGAAGAGGTGTATGGTAGCAAAAGCATTGTGTCAATATCGCGACCCAAAAACATTTCTGAGCGTCGAAGTAGCTTTTGACCAGAAAATGGTGAAGGATCTTCAGGATCATACTGTAAAACATGGAGTCGTTGCTGTGTATCTGCAACAAGAATATGAAGTGTTTTGTCAAAAACAATAAAATCACATGAAGTGACTTCAACATTACGATAATCTTTGCCAAAAAGTGTCATGCGATAAGGCTCTTTCTAAACAATTTTGTTAGTAGTGCAAAAAAAAAAATAAGTTTATAAATATACTCACACCAAAGCCGACTAGCCAAACACTGCGAATAGCATCTGAAAGAAGGACCATGTATTTGATGCTTTTGCTGCTGGAGACATAAGTGTTCATATCCATAAATGCTACAGGAACAACAGAATTGTCTTCCTGAATATTTCTTACCACCACTTTTTGAGCTTGAGCAATAAGTAAGTTACCACTGACTTCGCAAATGGAAGTCACAGCACCCTTGGAAACTTCCGAAGAAATTTGTTTTAGTTTATGACTTGTTTCGGGACGTCCAGGCTCTGGTACAACTTCAATAATTTCATAAATATAGAAACCACCTTGAGCCGCTAGATCCTCTCCACGAATAATAGACGTTCCTGCAACAATGAACTCTTTCTTTTGATGCGTTTTTTCAGAAACCTCAAGCAAGACCGACTTTAGTGTCATGATAGACTCATTAACTTCGTACTCAACGACGTCAATGACTTTCCATGATTCTAAAGACAGAAGTTTCAATGAGCTTTGATACGACACCGGTCGTGGCATTTCTAAGTTCAAGTCTGGAATGGGATTGCCTTCCGGGTCCAGAGCTTCAAACTCATGTTTGGATATCAGTGCGACAGCTAAAATATTGGATGTTTCGTGGTATGCAATCGAAAGAACAGGTGCACCAAGATTGATTCTGCGAGCGGGCCATGCGCAGCCAAAGTCAATCTCACTAGGGAGTGTAGCAATTCGCAAAACAAAGCTACTGTCAATGTACGCCAGACCAGAGTAAACAGAAGCTGTGTTAAACTGAGTGAAACCAATAACTGAAGAATTTTCATGAACAGCAAGTCTATGATACATTATTGGACTCTGAGGTGGCTTAAAGATAATAAGAGGAACAGGGCCAATTACAAAAATCCCAGCATATCCAGAAATGTTTGTGAAAGGGATTATTTTTGGAAGGAAGTCTGTTTTATCATCACTTAAAGAAGGGACACCTAGAGAATCGCGAGATTTGACTAGAATCATATCACCGTTTGGTGTTTTAAGAAATTGATAGAGTATTAAGTGAAAGCTATCCGACGTAAGTATTGCCAAATATTCGCTTTCTTCAATTTCATTTTTGATAGTGAAATGAGAAATCTGATGAATTTTAACAGTAGGAATCTGTGTAGGAGCAGTTGTTGCTGGTGCTGTTGTCGTTGTTCCTGTTCCTGTTGCTGGTGCTGTTACTGTTGAAGGTTGAGCTGCTGGTAGAATAGAATCGTCGACAAAAGTTCTGCCTTCCAGTCGCAAAACATTAGGCAAATGCATAAGAGCAGAAATGTCAAATCGCACAGAAGAGTCAGTAAGATATACAGCATGAAGAGTTCCTTCTTGGCCAACTGAATAGAGTATAGGAACCGAAGGTTCTTTTTGTAGGTGCTCAACTTCTTTCTCGTTAATCTTACGCTTAATTCGTTTGGAATCACCAATAAGAGCCGAGGAGAATAAAGATGAAGTACCTGCAAATAAAGCACTAGGTGGCGGGAGTTTGCTAGAAGGAACGCGCTCAGTAATGTCCCATGTTGTGATAGTTTTTGTTACTGGAGCAGTTGCAGATGTGGGTTCGGGTTCTTCGGGTTCTGGGTTTGGTGTGCCTTCTAAGTCTGCAGGGGTTGCAGGTGTGGTATCAAAAGAGGGCAGAGTCTCTTCTTTTATTTTAGAAATATCTAAAGGAACAACCTTTTTCTTTTGCTTGACATGATAGATAGTCTGAGTTTTTTCATCAAAATTAACAACAATATACTCATCAGCAAAAACAATGTTTACTGGGGGAGCTTTGAGTCGTTTACGAGTAATGTAAGTGAGCTCGTAGTCGTAAAGAATGATTCCAGCTTCGCAAACAAAAACAACTATTCGGCCATTGAAAACTGTAGAACATGCTAGGGTAGACCCACATGAACGTAACTTGGAAATTTTGGAGGTAATATCCACAAACTCCTGGCCAATTTGAAAAACAAAGGTATTTTTATCGTTACTTCCGACAAGATAAGTATCGAACAAACCTTCTTGGTCGGCAGTATAAGAGTCACTAGAAAGACTGGCTGGTCGTAAAGTCCAAATGCGTTTAAAACTATTTTTAAGTTTCAGGGTGCTGGCAATCTGGGGCCGAAGTTTGCGTGTAAAAACTGTCAGAGATTTGTCGGTGCCTGTTCCGGTAGCAGCCACAACATCTAAAGAAGAGTCATCTCCAGAATCGTATTCTTCTGGAGAACGACAGGTTACCATGTCGTTGATAGGTCCGTAGTTACTGAGTTTGTCAGTGATGCGAATAACTATAGGGAGATCAGAAAAGCCGGTATTTATAACGGCGGCACTCTTTTTGACTGGTTGATCATCCAAGTCTCCATAAATGTCGTCAATGTCATCGTGGGTCGAACCACCGTTTGTTTTTTCTGCAGATGGTTTAGATGTTAAGACAGCTGTTTTTGTATCATCGTCTGCTGTAATTTCACCTTGGCGCTTCCACTGTATCAGATTACTGTCAGCTGTGGCACTCCCAACAAAAAGATAACGTGTTTTAAGAGAAGTAATTAAAGTAGGATTTGGAATGCGAATATCTTTAGGAACTTTTAAAACAGTCAGTTCGTGGACTTTCCGAGATTCAATGTGGAAACGAAGAGTTAGCAATTCACCAGACTCGAGAACAACTAAAACTTGATCATCGGCACCTCCATCAAGTTGATGAGCTTGGCACTTTTCTAACGAAAGGGAGAGAGAGGATTGGTCTTTGAGCTCAAGTGCGGAGGAAATTGAATGAAAGGGGTTAACAAAAACACCATTGACACGTCCCTGCGAGTCAATGTGAATGAATTCATTAGTGCCGATAAGAAGCGAACCACCAATGGGGTCACGTAAAGGAATAATCGTGCGAACATTGTAAGGAAGATTGTTTACAGAGAAAATAGATGTGAAGGTATGTGCTTGGAGATCCACAGAAAGCACCAAATAAGAAACCGTATCTTTTTCAAGTTGAAGCCGGCCAGCCCATGTGCGAATTGGTTCATAAAGAATTGCGATTGTAGGTTCGCGATACTCATGAAGATATGTAAGGTCGATGATATTTGTGATAGATTCGTGCATGTCAATGGCCCGAATCAAAAAACTTGGTTGAGAGATTGGAGGCAATGGCTGTTGTTGTTGTTGCTGCTGCTGCTGTAGGCTTGATTGAGACTGTGAAGAACCTGTATCCTTTTGTGCCTGTTGAAGAAGTTGAGCAAAACCAGATGGTGCGGAAGATGATACTTGCGGGGGTGCAGCAATTGGGTCGTCGAGCAACTCATCACGAACAAAGGGAAGAAATACAAGCATGTCATGCTGATAAAGAAGTGTTGCAGCTGAACTGAGAGGGTCGACAGCAAGCTTTGGTTGAAACATTGGGTCGACAAAGTCGAGTTCAAAAAAATCTTTTTCATAGTAGTGCAAGCTTTGTGTGATTATATTGTATTGAAAAGGGTCCCATGAGACGATAGACATTTTGGCGTATTGGAAAGATATGACAAGAGAACATTTTTTAATTCCACCTGATTTTTTGGCTGCTGAAATGTCTGAATATGTGTTAATGGCAGCTAACCCAGTGATTTGACCTTGAAGCGTCCACTCAGCAACAAGAACGAGTTTTACGGAAAACTCTTCGCGTGCCACTTCAAGTGCGGTCTCTGATCCAATGAACGTGTCGTCACCCTCCAGCCGGCGGTCCTCAATAGCAGCCACAGCCTCAGTTTTAGTCAGAGGATCTTTTTCAGTGTTTTCTGAAGGTTCAACGACTTGTGTCTGTGTGCGTACAGTGTGGTAGAGCTGGAGAAGATTAGATCCACGCACAACAAGCAGGTCAAGGTCTGGGGCGCCCGTAAACGCGCAATAAAGCGCGTGTGTGACAGTTGAGGGCGCCGTCAGCGGTTTGATTATCTGCATTAAGTATTTGGTTTAGTCCTGAGAGTCTTTTTTTTATCAGTCTCGCAAAATCTTAATGGAAGAGTTTGATATAGATAGCAATGGTGGTGGTAGTGAAAGTTTTGACTATCCTGGAAATTTCAATGGAGGGAAACTTTGCCTAAGAAAAAAAAAAAAAAAAAAACACAAATCACAGAAATATTATATCACGTGAAACTCACATGATAAAAAATAAAAATTGACACGTGACCTTGCACCTTTTTATTTTTATTTTTATTTTTATTTTTTTTACTTTTGTAGACCTTTTTGACAGCCCCGAGCCTGTAGGTGTCCCGGTCCCCCACGCTCGGGTCGGCTAGGTCGGAGCTTGTCTCATTGTTTCCCGCTCGGACATGTTTTCTTCCTAAGATGACTCTTTCTAAAACTCCACAAATTTAAGAAATCGTTTGCAAAACCCCTTTCAATGATGACACATAAAAGATTCCTGATACTCCGTTACGCAAACCTGCAGACTTTTTGAAAATTTTCCAGCCTGCTTATTAGCCGCCATTACCGTTATTTCCGACATAATATCATTTCTAAATTACTACTAATAGCGGGCATATTTTGGTCTCCCCCGCAAAAAAATTTTATAAAGTTCTTCGTTTTTTTTTGTTTTCTCTCTCTCTTTTTTTTTTTTTTTTTTTTTTTTAGTTTACTTCTATTTTTTTTTAAAAAAATTAAACAAACCCGGATTCTCTAACTCCTCACCAAAAAGAACCCGCTCCGTCCCATCTCTCATCATGTCTGATAGTAAGGATCACACGTTTGTGCCACCGTCTGTTGACGATATGCCCATCGAAGACACCCAGCTGCCAGTGGAGCCCAAGCAATTATCTACACTCGGTGGCTTCCTGGCTGGAGGCGTGGCTGCGTGCGGCGCCGTTACTGTCACAAACCCGATCGAACTCATCAAGACTCGAATGCAACTGCAGGGCGAGTTGGCGGCCCGCGGAGAGGTCAAAAAGGTCTACACTGGTTTGTTTCAGGGTCTGGTCACCATTATCAAGCATGAGGGCATTCTCGGTATTCAGCGGGGTTTGTTTGCTGCTTACATTTATCAAATCGGTCTCAATGGCTGCCGCATTGGTTTATATGAACCCTTGCGCAACATTCTTAACCCCCTATGGGGTCTTAAACTGGACGCACAGAGCATTCCTGTCAACGTCGTAGCCGGCGCCGGATCCGGTATTATGGGTGCCATTATGGGATCACCTTTTTATCTTGTCAAGACACGCATGCAGTCTTATTCCCCTGTTTTCCAAATCGGCGCACAGACCCACTACAAGAGTGTTTGGCATGCGCTTAAGACTGTTTACCGTGCTGAAGGTTTCCGCGGTCTATATCGTGGTGTTGATGCTGCAATTCTCCGTACCGGTGCTGGATCTTCGGTCCAACTGCCCATTTACTATCACACAAAGAAGCTTATTGAACATTATGACATTCCTGATGGTCCAATCCGCCATTTTGGTGCGTCTGCAGCCTCAGGTCTCGGTGTCTGTATTGTTATGAACCCATGGGACGTGCTCATGACCCGCATGTATAACCAAAAGGGTAATCTCTACAAGAATCCCATTGACTGTTTAATCAAAACAGTTAGCATCGAAGGCCCACTTGCTCTGTACAAGGGTTTCATTCCTCACCTTATGCGTATTGGACCTCACACTGTCATAATGCTCATGTTTATGGAGCAGACCATGCGCTGGGCCAAGATGTTGGAAGGTGTTCCTCTCGACTAAATAGATTTTTGTTTTTGTTATTTTCATTTTTATTCCTTTCTCTTAATTATAAAATTTACTACTCTTTTATTAATTTTTTTTTTTCTTTTTGTTTTTAATAACCTTTCCATCCATATGTAGCAGCTAGTCGTTTCTGCAAGTGTTGAAGTGCCGTCATATAAGAACCATCCTTTTGTGCATTAGATCCACGGTGCGTGCCAGCGGCCCGCACAATGTCCGAGGGTATAGGTTCAAGAGGAACTGAGTTTTGCGGGTGCAAAAAGTAAACAATCGAATATCTGTCTGCACCAGATTCTTGAACCTCTTTGGGGAACTTGACACGGTGAATGCTTGAACGCAACACACCGGAAGACCAAAAGGATAAAAGATCAGCAATGTTGACCACCAAAGGAGCAGCAGCACCAGGAGTTGAAGATTGGATGTAAGGCACAGGTGTCCATTTTTTAGTTACAGGCGAGAGGATTTCCAACCCGGGGGCCGTTTGGAACAATAATGTAAGGGTTCCGTAATCAGTATGTGCACCCGCCCGGATTTCAGTTTCAGGATCTTGGGATTTTTGGCCCGGATAGTACAAGAAACGCAGCACAGAGCCAGACAACTTTGCGGGGTCGTGACGTGTAGCCAGCCAAGTTTCACCACCAGAAGCTTCATCAATGTGGAGGCCGCGTGCAAGAAGCTCCAAAATACGAACGCCGACAGCGTGGCATTTGAGCCAAAGATCTGTGGTTTCTTCGCGATGAGATTCGAGATATGGCGGAAGGGGCATAGTCAAACCGCCATCCTTATCCTGTGTAATATTAAATGCTCTTGTAAAGTTAGAGAAGCCATGTTAATTAAAATCAATTGATACTTACTCTTTAGGGTCGCCTTTTTTTTGGGTTTCAGGATCAAGGCTTTGTAATTGTTAGTAAAATGTTCACTGCGTAATTTGTTCAAAAAAAAAAAGACTTACACTTCGAGATTCATTGATGAGTATCCGTGATTCCCTTCATCAATTATAACTGACTTTTTAGATTCCACTGGCTCAGCAAAAAAATCTTCAGACTTGTAAGAAAAAGTTAATAAATTGTTTATTGGCTTCTATGGTTTTCAATGCTTACCAGCTTGAATGCATCTGCAACATCTTTTTGTGAAAACCCTGATCCTTCGATATAGAAAAAGCCAAGTGTAGAAGCAGCTTTGACCAAGGCTTCAGCAGTTTCCAAATCGTCTTTTGAAATATCAATGATTTCGAGAGTAGGTTGTTGTTTTTGGTCTGTCATTGGATTGTGATAGAGTGTTGTTGGTAAATAGTCAAGTCAAGAGAATTTTTTTTGTTCTTAAAAGATAAGGGAACAATTAGGTCCGGCTGATAGGAAAGATGTGAAAAAAAAAAAAAGAAGAAGAAGAAGACCGAAAAAAATTAATAAAAAAAAATATAATTTCATAAATATTTATAAATATATGATACTAAAAACATCTTAAAAGAAAGCCTAAATGATATAAATCTTTAACCGTTATTTGATAACAATCACAACCAACTGATAATTTTGTAGTTGAGTTGATGATGAAAAGCCCGCCGGGTGAAACTTCCTAGAGAGTGGAATTGGCCCGCGGTTTGCCGTACGATTATCTTTTTTTTTTTTTTTTTTTTTCAAAGGCCCACCAAAAAAAACACAACATGCCATATTAGTCAAATCAGTCAAAAAAAAAGAGTTTAAAACGAAGAATCTAATTGATCTTATATATAAGATCAAATCATAGAGAAATATATATAGCAACATTGGATTTAGGGGAACCGGTGTTTGTTAACATTTTTATTTAGATGGGTAAATTTTTAAATGGAATTCTAAGAAACCCATAGTTATAAGGCAAAAAATAATAATATGAATATTTAAATGACTTTCTCAATAATAATTCTAAACCAAAATGACTTCATATGAATTGATAAAAGACAAGAAAACGTTAGGAATAATCTCTTTCGTTATTCCAACTTCTTGTTAGTCTGTTTAGTTCTTTGTCGCACTAGTCATTGTGACTGGTATGAGCTTAAACTTCTTATGGCCATTAAACACCAACATGTTATTCACTTCAAACGGCTTTTTTTTTACTTTTTATTTTAAATGCCTAGCAAACCTTCTTTACCAACTTCCTTTTCATCACCTTTACTTTATCATCTTTTTTAAAAAATATATATATATATATCTATATATACACAACGATGGAATCCTACGAAAGTGTTAGAAATCGTTCCAAAGAATGGAACGAAAAAATTGCAGGCAAAATCCTTGTTTCTCAAGAAATTGTAGAAGCAAAATCATTTCCTGGTTTGGTAGGTAATAATAGATTTACATTTAAATGTCAAAAAAAAAAAACAAAAACCTCAACACTAACGTCAATCAATCTAGGCGGAAAATGAAATTTCTGAGCTGGATTTACCAAAGCCAAAACGCATTATATTCCCAGGATGTATGGTAACTTGTGACTTTCGTCCTGAACGACTGAATGTGACTTGCGAAGAGCAACAAACTGGTAAGGCGATCATCAAATCAGCTCATTTTGGTTAAAGTAATCAATCTTAAATATCTATTTATAAAAAAAAAATTGATAAAAAAACAATAAAGGACAAGGAAAAAACAACAACAACAACAACAACAGCAACATTAAATAAAAGTTATTTTAATCATTTTATTTTCTTTTTATTAAATACTTTCCTATTTTACATTTATTATCAGATCACGAGTTAATCCAACTTGTGACTTGACGTGCACCAATTCGAGAGGCAAACTTGAGGGATTGGGTGCCCATAGGGAAGTAGCTGACGGCATACCAAATTGCTGCAATGATTTGGCACACACAGGCCAAGATTGTAAGAATCGTAGACTTCAAGCCCAGAGAGAAGACGAGGGTGGCAATGATGGAGCCAAAGTATGTGACAGTGAAGGGAAGGCGAGCAGGTGACGTGAGGTGGCGCAGGTACGAAATTGGGCCCTGGAGCACACCAAATGAAATCATAAAGAGGAGGGATCCTAGAGACCACAAAACACCAAACTTGCGCGGTTTGAGCGCGAGAACTGGCATGATGAAGAAGCAAAGCGCAAAACAGGCCACAGCACCAAGCAGACAAATGCCGAAAATGAGCAGGCGGTCCCAATATGAGAGATTGAACCACGCTGGCTCCTCGATGGGGGCAGATTCAGCTGCAGCCTGCGGCGACACGCCGTTGGTGGTTGTTGTGGACGAGAATGGGGTGCTGCGGGGCTCAGTAATTGGCAGCGAGATGTACTTGTTGTTTGCAAAGGGGTTCCAGCTGGCGACCTTATCGAGGATGGAATCCGATGAATTGTTAGTGTTAGTATTAGAGCTGCTGGAGGCACCCGAGAAGCCTGATTGCAGCGACCCGCGCCACGATGAGAGCTGGGACTTAAATGCCTGTTCAAAAGATCCGGACATTAGTGTATATATATAGAGAAGAATGTTAAGCTTGAGTGATGAAAGGCTTTGGCGGTATTTTGGAGTTTTGAAGAGATCAATCGACTTTGCCTTTGATGATTAAAGACGACGCGTGGAGGGTTTGGTGTTTTTGTTACAACATGAGAAAATTAAATGGTTGGAAAAAATAAGTTGTAACAAAAGTAAAATTAAATTAAAAAATTAAAAAATTAAAAAATTAAAAAATTAAAAAATTAAAAAATTAAAAAATTAAAAAAACAAAAAAACCCTAACCACAAAGTCACATGATAAATATTGCACGTGCGCAGACGCTTTTTTTTTTTTTTTTTTTTTCACCCAAACGCAGCAAAGCCGGCTGCCCCCCCCAAAAAAAACCGCCAGCCAGCCAGCCAGCCAGCGAGCAACCAAAACCACCGTTAATTCCTTCCTGCCATCACCACCACCCACAACATCACCATAACTCCAACCCCTCGGTCCCAAACAATCTTTGCGACCTTATTAAAGACTCCCATAATTCTTGGAAAGTCTCTTTCCAGTCTCAATACTCTACTTCCGACTGCTTATTTTTTTTTAGTCCCTCACTCATATAGAAACCTTATTACCACAGACTTTTGTTCTCTGTTTCCGCCCATTATTGTAACCACAAATAAGAGCTGATACCATCTTTCTGGAACTCACTTTTCCCCATATCACTTTATAAAACTATTTCTACTGCTCACAATGTCTTCCAAGAAGAAAGCCATTTTGAAAATCATCATTCTGGGTGACTCCGGTGTTGGTAAAACTTCGCTCATGTATGTCAAAAACAAAGAGAACAAAAAAAAAAAAAGATTACCCTTTATCCCTTTTATTTCGTTCTAACAAAAATTTAGGCAGCAATTTGTCAATAAGAAGTTCTCCTCACAGTACAAGGCAACCATCGGTGCTGACTTTTTGACCAAGGAGCTGGTGCTGGACGACCGTAAGGTCTCTCTACAGCTATGGGATACAGCAGGCCAGGAACGATTCCAGAGTCTGGGTGTTGCCTTTTACCGTGGTGCCGACTGCTGCGTTTTAGTCTACGATGTTAACAACCAAAAGTCCTTTGATAACCTGAACGTTTGGAAGGACGAATTTCTTGTCCAGGCAAATGTTACAGACCCAGAAAACTTCCCATTCATTGTACTTGGTAACAAAATTGATGTGGAGGACAATAAGCGTGTTGTTTCGGCGAAAAAGGCCCAGGCATACTGCGCAGCTAACGGTAACCTGCCTTACTTTGAGACCTCCGCGCGGGTCGCTATTGGTGTTGACAAGGCTTTTGAGGTTATTGCACGAAACGCCCTTGCTAGAGAAGAGTCCCTCGATTTCACTGAAGACTATCCAGAAGCCCTGAATATTCGTGTCGACACTGGGTCCCAAGGTTGTGCTTGTTAAAGAAGGAAAAGAAAGACAACCACAACATAAAGTAATGATGAAAGTAATGAAGAATGGATATCAACCGCATTTGCACCAACTCTTTTTTTTTTTTAATAAAATTTAATATATAAGTGACGATTTTTTTCTTTTTTATACAAAGCAAGCCGCGGAGATGGCAGATCAGCCGTGATAAGAAGGTTAGTAGTGACAGTACCCTTTCGGAACCTTATCAGTAGGGCACTTTTGTTTTTTGTTTTTTTTTATTTATTTATTTCTTTCTTTCTTTCTTTCCTTCCTGCACAACAACGGGTTTTCTAACTTGCAAGTTCAAAACGATGTTGAAAAGATGTGCTTTTTTTCTTTTATCCAAATCTGATTTTTATTTTGAAAAAGGAATCAATCTAATGTAGTGGTTTCCGTTAAAAAAATAGCCAATAGATATAAAAAAGCGGAAGCAACAGTACACTTCAATTATATTGTATATACTTGTAGAACTCCGGAGTTGTCCGAAAAGTATTAAAAGGAAAACTTAAGATATATCATTATAATTATTTGATAATTATCAAATAATATTCGGTCGTTTGATAATTGTGACTCTTTTACAATGTTAAAGACTATCTTTTTTTTTTCTTCTTCATAATGCCACTCTTTTTTGCTAGTGCTATATCGGAAACAGCTCAAAGGCGAATGAATTATCATTGGAATCTAAAATCCAATAATAAATTCGTCTAGATCAATCTTTATTTACATTATATTGAGTCGATCAAGTTTTTTTTTTTTTTTTTTTTTTAAATGCAAAACTTTTCAATTAATATATACAATCTATTTTAAAGATAAATTCAGCAACTGCTTTGCTGCTCGATAAACCAGTTCTTGCACAGGGACTGGACTGGACCCTCCTATCGATGCTAAATCTTCATCGTCAGCACCGCTACTAATCTTTACAGGCTGAAGTCCCTTTTCGTATTCATCTCGAATAATGCGAACTTTACTTTTGCTTGACCAGTACACAGCATCATATGCCTTAAGCATATTGCCACATAACTTGCGTGTAAGCAAACTGGGCGAGCTGATACCTGTCTCTGACTTGAGCCGCTGTTGCTCTTGGTGCTGCATCAAAAGTTGCTGTGTCACATCGTGCAACAAGCTTTTTGACCACTGTTTAGACTCCGCAGCATGCCGCGCAAATCCACGGTATAACATCACGTAGTGCAGGTCGGTAAGCGACTCACCATGCTCGTGCATTGTAGGTAACATTCTAATCGCACTCTGGATGTCGCCTGCCTCGAGACAATAATATCCAAACATGGTTCCAAACGTGTACTTGTCTGGGTAAAACCTCATAGCATTTTGAACCTGGGAACGCTGTGCTTGCGAGTTCTTTCCTGATGTGAGATGCAGCACAAAATCAATCAAGCGCAGCTGATTCATTTGGTGTGATTCAGACGAAACGCCAGGCCCAACAGATTCCACTTTTTCAACCTGATGGGATGCTGACCGGCTCACTTGTAGGTTCTTTGGTTCTTGGGATAATATGGCAGAATATACACTCTCCGCACTTTCACGGTCGTTACAATTGGTAAGCGCTTTTAAAAGAACATTCATGACAACAATATCAACAACATAATTACGCGCGCACATTTCTTGATACAACTGCTTAACTTCATTCACACTCTTGCGTCGTCCAGCCTCTACTATTTCAATAAGGAAAGTAATACGGTCTGGTGCAATATTCCCATTACGCAAAGGCTGCGATGCCTGCGCAGCCAATTCTGTATCGTTGGTTTTGAGCGCAAACCGGTAAAGAATGTTGATGGTAGAAATGTCCTGATTATTTTTGTGCATTCCAATTTTTTTGTAAAGACTTAATAGACTTTCCAATGCTGGAGAAATGACTTTGTTTTGAGAAGAATCATCTGCGGTTTGTTCATTTTTAATATCGCCAACAAGTTGTTGCTGTTTTAAACCTTCAGATAACTTAACAACAAAATTTGGAGATTCAGTGCTTTGCTTCATCATCTTGCTGGTAAATGTCATGTCTTGGTAATATTCACGAATGGCCATGCCGAGAGCTGCATTCAGTTCGTGCTGTGATATAGGCATCCCTACCTGTTCAACTTGATCTAAAACGCGAGCAAAAATAGCTCGAGAAGCTTCAGTCTCGTCGCTAGGCCCCATAAGTGCCGATAAGAAGTCTTCTAAATGCTGTGGCAAAATATGTAATGGTTTGGGCGATGGCAACGCGTTGTAACTGTCGTATAGAGTCGAAATGCGGATCCGGCCGCCTTTGGGATACAGCTGCGTCAGAAACCAGTTATAATCTGCCAATGGAGGACGGTACCGAGGAACTTGGCGACGTTGTAGAGTAACTCTATGGTAATTATCATTGAGTACTTTTGCCAACCGCTTGATTGAAGCTGTGACAGGGTACGTGTCGTCCACAAGGTGTTGTAAATGATCTAACTGGGTCATAGTATCATCGTAGTCGGCTGGCTGTTCTGCTAAAAAGGCTTCAACTGCTGAAAGATTCTGAGAAACCAGATTGTTCAAAATCCGAGCATATTTGTTTTCAAGGTTTTCCTTCCTTCCTTCAGTCATGGCCAGGGCCACTGGCAAAGTGCTGTTTGATCGGGAATGAATTTGTAGAAATGAGCTGCGATATTTGATCTGCTGGCCCGCCAGAAAATTCCGCACAGGCTGTCTTATTCGACACCAAGCACAGACATACTCAGCTCCTTGGCCAAATCTCCTCAGAGCCATAGCGAATCTTGGTTAAAATGTTTGGTTAATGAAAGCGGGTCGTGTGCCGGTCGGATCTCATGTGTGATGTTGAAAAAAACAAGTAGACACAGGGTTAGGGTTTTTGCTATTGGTTAGCCAATCATCCGTGTGCGCATCCAAAATTTTTCACCACCAAACCACCAAAAACATTTTTTTTTTTCTCAGGCCCTCTCACCAATCTTGAGCCATCACCATCATCACCACCACCACAAAACCAATTTGCCTAAACTTCTGTCGCCATGAAGATTCAAGACAAAGCTACCTCCGTCCTCCAGCGAACGGCTCATTTGCTGCGAGCACAGAAATCCTCTTCCCGCCAGGCTGCTGCCGAGGTTTCCGAGCCCATTTGGTTCCGCGTCATTGCCCAAAACCCTCCCACTCAAAACTTTGCCTACAAGGCCCACAACCTCGAAAAGTACCAAGAAAAGAGCGCTGCTGAGAATTCGCCATCGCTCGAGGCTCACCCTCAGACCGGATTCTATAAGACCCGCAATTATATTAAGCGCAGCACAAATCCCCGCCATCTTTTTACTCCCCACAGCATTGACTACTTTGAGGATAAGATCAGAGCCCTGTTTTACGAGCAGCACCCTTGGGAGCTTGCACGCCCTAAGCTTGTTGTTGAAACCGACGGTAAGGATTCTTTGCGAACTGACTGGAGCAAGCTCGATCAAATTTCCAAGCGCCTGGATGGTGAATCGGTAGTCCAGCGCACCCTTTATCTGCTGGAGAATGATCCCAAATATAAGGAGACCGACTCCTGGTTGCCTGCTTATGACAAGGCACGTCTCGAATACTACAGACTTAGAATACGACAAGACACACGAACCCAGGTCGCAATGGAGGAGGCTACCATGTTTGGTGCTGTCTTTGGCAAGTCCGAGCTCCAGAAGGGCTTCGAAAAGGAAGAGCAGTACATTGAGAAGTGGAACAAGGAGGCCGTTGAAGAGACTAAGATCAGAATGGCCCGGATGGCTACACCTGGCGGTGCAGCAGCTGCTTCGGAGTAAATAATTTAGATGAACCCCTTATTTTTTTTGTTGTATATTTCCTTGTTTTGTACATAACACCAGACTTTTACTACTTTTATTCCAAGGCATTTTCTATTCTAACAATTCTTTTAATTTTTCCCTTAAATTTGAATGTTTAGTATTATGTTGTTTTGATTAACAAATGCTCAAAAATTTCATTGTGGCACCAGAAATAATAATGGGCAATCCGGGCTTTGAGAAATATCCCACTTAACCACCATACTATTTATTCATTCGTTCATTTGTAAGATAGCCAGAGCTATAATGATGATTCAACATAAATGCAATTTTTTTTCTTTATCAATTACTCTATAAATGCTTTATATATACAATCAATAATATGCAGCCCATCCTATTCACAGTTAGTATCACTAGCCAGGTTTCAAAGATTAAAATACACATACCTCTAAACATCAGCGCCAAATTGTCGGGATCGCTTGCTTGATGAATCAAATTCCAAACTTCAGTCTCCACAGTTAACTCTTTTGACAGTTTCTTGCGAACTGCCCCTAAAACACGATCAAACTCTCCTCCTTCAATCGAGGCACCGTTACCCAAAAACTCATTGAACTCAATCTCATGGGCCTGGTTTTTCCCACCCTTAAACTTGCCTGGTCGGAAGGTCCTAGAAATAGTTAGAATAGTAAAAGATTTTAACTTCACAAAAAAAAAAACTTACCAGCTATGTAGAGGATCATGACGAAGCACATTCAAAATGGTATCAAAACTCGAAATTTCATCTCGCAGAACACTTAAAGTAAAATTGCAAGAACGAATAAATGGACCGTTGATTCCACACACTCCCATACCATCAATCCAATCAGGAGTCAATCGGAAAGGAACAATCTCTGGAATGGCCAACAGTTTCCCCTAAAATACATTAGTAAAAATGAAACAAATTAAACAAAAGAAAAAACAAACTAAATCGCTTACCGCATCAAATGCAATGCCCAAATCAATATGCACAACATCACCCGTCAACGTGTCTAGCAAAATATTGCCCATATGGCGGTCTCCAATACCAAGAACATGTCCTAGAATTGAGTTCGAGGCAGTAGAACGAATATAATTGGTTTTACTTGAAAACCACTTGTCGCAGGAGAAAAATCTCTCTAGGAAAAACATATGCATTACTGGATGAATGCGAGCAACGACTTCTCGATAAACACGGATTCGGTTTTCTCGAGTTCCGCTAACAGCCTCTGCAATGGCACTCCGAGCATCGCGTTCTGAAATGTCCTTCGGCCAGTAACGTCGATGAGCATTGCTCAAAAAGTCAGTTGATGCCACTGTATTCTCCACAAACTCAATGATACCAGCACTTTTCCCTAGAGGAATGACCTTATATGTTCTGATTGACAAGTTTCTCTTGCGAGTCTCTTCATATTTCTTAAACAAAGTGTTGATTTGCTCAAAAACCTGTTCCATGATGGAATCTTGTCGCATGTCGTCATTACCACCTTTGAGCAAAATCTTAGAAATTTGCCCATTACTCAAATAAAGTTTGATAATCTTGGGTCGACTTAAACCAGAAGCAAGCACAACAGCATCATCCGCGCTCGTCATTAAAGGCAATGCAGGCTCCCGACTATAATTGCAATCCACACGTGGAGTAATGTGCAATGTAGGCGATGGAATATTCAATTTTCCTAGCTCACGTTTCCACCAAAACTTAGATTTGCTTAAAGAGTTGAGAGAACACTGGTTCAATTTACCTGGCTTGACTGTAGCCACATGAATGGCATTTAAAATAAATTTATCAACGTTTGCAAACAGTGAACCAACCCTAGCATTGGAAATCATCAAATTCCAAAGCTCTTGGCCTGCTGCAACTCGAGATACTTCCTCTGGGCTCATTCCAGGTGACAATCTGGTTTTGCCAAAATCAACAGATAAAGATCTGAGTGGATAAACAATATGATAAGGATGATATTCACACAAAGATTGAACAATCATGCGCACATTCATTTGATACGGCTCCGAAGTATTTGAATCTAGCCGGGAAGTCAGTTGGTTAACCCATGGAACAAAAAGGATGGGTGCTAAGAAGTTGGCTTGTTGAGTGAGCACTTTGTTCAAACCTTCATTTTCAATGTCTCCAAACCAAATAGACATGAACTTTGCAACGTCTTCACCGTTTCGACCATCTGTAATCGCAGCAAGTAAATAAAGACTCCCACTAGACTCAAGATAGTACTGAATGTAGTTCTTAATTTCTTCGGATTCTTGTTTATCGTTCACTATTATTTTTTGGTAGCGATTCAAGGTAATGGATTCGTTGGTCTCCAGTTTTTGTCGCTTAAGAGACCGGACTTGGTTGTCTTTGACATCAATTTGCTTTTCAAGTAAGTCAAGACGATCCCATTTCTCCTTGTCTTGATATTGTTTGTTGCAAAACTCAGCAAGCGTATGCAAAATTCCAGCCTTGATTCGGCTGTCTAATGCTAATTTCTGGATATCACCAATTGCAGGTCTTAGATAAAGATCAGTGACTTTAGAAGATAAGTCAAAACCAGAGTCATTAAACCATTCAATCAACTTAGATCGGATCATGAGTTTCCATTCTTGCTCAAGAAACGGTAGCAGAGTAAACGCTTCGAGACCACGCAAAAGATTAATAGCATAGCTTTTCTCACCCACTTGCCACATTACTTTCGCCTTTTCCATTTGTGAAATCAACATAATCTTTTGAGCATTATCAGAGTTCTTTAGGTGCTTAAATCTATCATAAAGATAATCTAGCTCAGATGAACCGTTGATGGCTTTTTGCAAGGCTTTCTTTTCAAGAGCCACTTCACAATATTGCGATATAGAAAAAGCAAGAGCACAGGGTTCAAACCCGTTATCCGAGTTGTAAAGACCATCAGCCATAAAACCACCCAAGTTTCGGTAGCAGTTTTGTGTAAATATATCCTTAAACTTCCAAGACAAGTTTCTAGCAAGTAAAAGGTCTTCCACCTCTTCAAAGCTTGAATCATGGGTAGAGTCCAAACCCAAATTCAATGTCAATAAATTTTTCGAAGCTTGTTCAATAGAGGTGGGTATACGAGCGCAGTAAATTTCGTTGCACTCTTCAATTATTTGAAGTGTTTGAAGCACTTCCTTAGTTTGATTTCGGTCATAAATGAGAGAAATTGTAGACTTTCGCGCATCATCAAGGGTCTGAAAACAATTTTGATAATCGTCGTGAAGCTTCTTCATAATGTTGTACATTATTTCACCTCTGGATTTAGGTGTGGAAACTTCTGGAAGATCCCATTGATCTAGCTTCCATGCATATGAATAGACTTCAGCGTCATTTTCAAAAACAGTGTTGTTAGAAAGCAACTTTGAAACACCTTCCAATCCGTACTTTTGAAGAGTTTCCGGAATAAGAGGGGAGCTGCTTTGATCGTATCCAGCAGACATTGCTGCTGATTGAAACTGCAGCAACTTGCCATAATCTTTTTCATGAGAAAATCGCTTCAAAGTATCCCAAAAGTTGTATGAATTTTGACGAGCATAAAACATGTCGAGGAAGTTGATGGACTCGTAGATTTGATTGGCAATTAAATAGTTGTAGTTATAAGTATCTTCAAACTTGTCTGCGGACCATTGAAGTTCCAGAATCATATAAGCCTTTTCATAAAGACCAGCTCTAATTAGGGCCTGCAACATTAATGTAAAGTCAATAGACAGGTGAAGGGTCCCTCCATTTTGTCCATAGTTTTGCATTTTACGCAAAAATAAATATGCGTTAGTAATGCAGTCAATGATTTTGACATGAGTAGATGGGTCAGTCAAGGCTTCCGAAAATGCTTGATTAAGATCATCAGAAAGCTCCCTATCAGGAATTGTAGAAAGGTAAATGCTAACCAGATAAGGGAAAATGGATTCACAGAACTTTTGATCAGAAGTAATAAGAGGCGCCAATGAAACAAAACCATGGATGACTTTAGTCATCTTTTCAATCAGAATCACTTGCAAAGAAATCAGCCATTGACTGGGGGTTTCCAAAAAAAACTTGAGTTTTTCTAAAGAATAGTTTGGAAGAGGAATAGAATTTGCACGAGGCAAATAAGAAAAAATTACAAAGTACTTTTGATCCAGCGATCCGTCCAAAAGGGCGGAGTAATTGGAAATAATTTTTTCCACATCCTGATAATAAATCAAATGACGTAAACAATACTCAGCTTTGCTGATAATGTCAAGATTGTCAAAATGGATTCTATCCTGAACCATGTCAAAAATAAACTTAAAAGAGTCGTCCAAGGTGACTGCTGCAAAATCAGTGGGATCTTCAGTAAAGAAAGTGTTCATGGATTTGACACCATCTTTTTTGCAACGATCACCAATAAGACGAGCAACCCAATAAATAAACTGATCGGATGCTTTTCCAGAAGCAATGAAATCGAGTAGTAAGTTAACAACAGGCTTTATGTCAACATCCTTCAAAAGAAGATAAGTAACACTGGGCTGCATTTCGGCTTGACAAGAAATTATTTGAAGAAACGCTTTTTTTGCCGAAGCTGTGTTTTCTGGATCAAGTAAAAATTGGTACTCAAAATGCATTGTGTCTTTAACTTCTTTGTTTAAAAGCCAGTCAAGAATGATATCTAAGAGCACAGCGTGCTTGTTAAGTCTAATAAGCTCCTGTTGCAACCAACTAACTCGGTCAAATATTTCTGAATAGGAAAGCTTGTTTTTGGTTTTCAAAATAAAAATGTTTTCCACAATCTTGAACAGCAACGGAATGTAAAGACAAGACTCATCAATAGTAAGCACGCCATTAAAGCATTTGAGAAAATATCTGATAGTGACATCAATTTCTTTTTCCATCTCAGGCAAGTCCCAAAAATAGTTTGAAAACAAAATGATGCTACCAAGGGTCATTTTTAGTAAGTAGCTACTAAAAGACACATCGGAATAACATATGAAAAACACAAGGCGTCGAAAGTTAAGCAAGCGTTCCACAGGATTGATACTATTGTGAATTCTGTCAATGAGAGTGCGGGATAAAAGCGAATATATTCTGGCTTCGCCAATAAGGCATTTAATATCAGAGTCTCCAGTAATATTTTGAATTATAAAATTAAATTGTTCAGGACACAAATAAAATGCATCTAAGGGAGCAATCGGAGTGGGAACAACACTACCATAAACCGGTAACATCGTTTGAAAAAAGTAGTTGGGAGCTATACCTTGACTCTCATCATAGCCATAAACATCAATATTTTGAATGGTTTTTAAAAAAATGTCCAACGCTTGACTAGATACTAAGTTTGAAACCTCGTATTCTGGTAGCCATAAATTAAAAACTTCAAAAGGAGAGTTTTTGGGAGGAATCTCTTCAGAAGACAGCAAACTTCCAACGAATAAGGAAGAAAACTTTTGCACCAAGATTTTGTTAATGTCAAGTCCAGCAGCTATTACAGTACTCTCAATTCTGTCCTTACAATCGTCGTAAAGCTTTAAAGTCCAAATAATAGAATCATCAATACAAATAAATAGAAAATCTAACAATGTTTTGATTCCTAGCATATAAAACGGAAATTTAAAGATTCGAGGCGACTCATCAATAGCTTCATTCGTCAAATATTTTCCATTAGTCATTTTCTCCTTTTCATATTCAAAGCACCAATGAAACAATATAGCGTTTGAAAACTTGACAAAAAGATTTTGAGGTTTAGGGAAGTTATATTTGGCAGCAATCTTTTGTATGGCGACACTTGGGAAAGCACTGTTCGCTATATTGTCTGTCTGAAAGACTCCAAAGCTTAAAATGTCGTAAAGCGAAAGAGAGAGAATGTTGCTAGAATGTAAAGAGGACTGCAAAATTGTGTATATGCAAAAAACGAGATTGTCATGTCTACCTTTGGGAAAGTTGGGCCGGATTGCTTGCTGATAAATCTCATAATGATTGTAAAAGGGAATAGCAGTGAAAATATCTCCCAAAAAAGAGGTTCCATAAAACTGGGCAATGCGGGTTGAGTGAAAAACTTCAGCAAACTTTGAAATCACATTGACGCCATCTTTTGGAAGCAAGAATAAATGGTCATGGCGAATGACACTAGCTAAAAATGATAACATGGCAAACTGGACTTGAACACCATTAACGTTTTTAGCCAGCCTAAAAAGAGCATCTATGATATCATAAACTGGAGACTTTTTAAGTTCTAAAACAATCCAAAGTGAAATGTATCTCTCCAAAACTTGAAAAAACAAAATCAATGTAGACTCAGCGTTGAAAAGAGATCCTTTGCAAATCAATCTAGCATAGGCAAAATCTAAAATTGTAAGGAATTGTTTTAAATCATGATCATTTTCAGAAGACAAGTTGTGTATCGGACAATTTAAAATGCCAAGATTGTGGAAAATAAATAAGGGATCATGGCTAGCAATCATTGAAGCATTTATTTCGTCTAAAACAGCCCCAGGTGGCTCTCCGGGAGGACGAATGCATTTGACCTTGATCTTTAAAATTGTAAAAATACGAAAAACATGGATTTCCAAATTGGTTTCATTACTGTGCCAATGATGAATTTGGGAAAGAGTGGGAAAGTTTTTAAATCCCAAAAGCTCAAAGTCTGTAAACTTATTGTTGTTCTCTGCACGTTTATCTATATCATTTTCGTCAACATGATTGGTAGACTGCTTTTTTTCAATAGCCTTGACAAAAATTTTTAATATTTTGGTTAACATTGATGAGTAGGCGTTTAAATGAGATCTTTCCTGGCTCAAGTACGGAAAAATTTGAAAAAAATTATCAACACCAAGTAGAATATTGGAAAAATGTTCTTGTTGTAAATTTTCTCCTTCTAACAGCATTTGAAGCTCGGAAACTAAGGTGATAACGAGTGAAACACACTCATCACAAATACCGCTAGCATCTTTGTAACGGTCAGAAATTCTGGAAACAATTAAAAAAAAGGAGGCATAACATTCAATAATATGCTTTAAAGACAACGGGGTAGCTAAAAAGCGTTTCCAAATTTCAGGAGTTTTTAATTTGCTTTGCAAGACTGCAGCTGTAGCTTTGGTGTGCTTTAGGATTTTGGTAACTTCTTCTAAAGGCAGCTCAAATTCATTGAAATGTGCAAAGGGTATTGGCTTCGAGCTGACTATTTTGTCCTGGTTTTCTTTTTTCCATGACTCGTAAATATATTTTTCTGAAGCAAGATGGTTGCGAAAGAGTATTTGAAAGGCTGGAATGTTTCCGTAATAGCAAGGATCTTTGTCCAATTCAGTTGGAGTTTCCAATTTAATACCACAAAGAGCTAAAAATACCGACGCAGCAGACAACGGGCTGACGTGGTAAAAACGCTCTATATGGCCTGGAGAGGTGTTTATAACTTGGCTAATGGCCCAGAAAATTAAACTCTCTCTAGCATCACTTTGCACTTGGGAAAAGGTAGGCATTTTAATTAAAACATCATAAACGAGATTAATGGTGGGTGAGCTAAGCTTAGGGCCGGTGGTATTAAAGGTTGAAATAACTTTTTCGACATGAAGCTTATGTTGTGTCGGAGAGTATCTTTTCCCAGATAAAACATTTTTGATAAATTGGCAGCCAACAGGACCAAACTCTTGAGTGTGGAGGCGTTGAAAAACAATTCCCCATAGGTTATCTAATAAAGAAGAGGAAAAGTCATGGTTGGGGAACCGCTGCAAAAGAAGATTGATTCCAAGAAGAGACCATGAAGAAAGTTCGAGATTGTCTTCATAAACCCATTCGCACAAACTTTGAAAAATTAAATCACAGGAGGTTTCTTTAATATCAGTATCGTTGCAATAGAACAAAAAAAACTGGACATGATGAGTGCATTGATCAATGCTTGACAAGGGGGAAGATAATATTTTGATAATGTGTCGATCAAGGGTTTTGTCAGAGTCATCGTCATTTTCTTCATATTGTTCAATTTGATTAGAAGAAAAAGAACTAAATGTGCTGGAGGGAGTGAATGGTGAAGCAGCTAAACGAGGGCGTTTGCGATTAAAACAAAATTTTGATTTGTTGATGATTGCATAAAAGTAACAGACTGAATAGTATGCAGCACTTGAAATCCACGAAAGAACGTTTGCCGTTGACTTGAGACGAAATGTATCAGTTTTAAACCACTCAGAAGTTTCACTGTTTTTATTGATATCGTCACTGACTATTTCAATTTCGCAAATGTTTAAAGGATGCTCTTCTTTCATAAATTGGTGAAGGGAGGTTACAGATTGATAAAACAAGGATTGGTCACGTTCACTAGCAGAATCAAATGAAAGTGCAGTTTCAAGCATCAAGGGTAAAGAGACTCGAAGAAATACCAGAATCAATTCCTTAAGAGCATGTGTTTTTGTTTCCCACATAGTTGGAAGATATTTATAAACTCTAACAGCGATAACAGAGCATAATTCGCTCTGTATACTTAGGGTATGGTAGAACAGCATGATTGAAGCTTTGAGAGCCAACATTTGATTAAAACGCTCTTTGGAGTAATAAAAATAACGGTTGATTGACACCCATGCATTTTGGAGGTACTTTTCCTTGAAAACAATTGGTAGTTCAAGAATGTAAATCATACACTCGAGAAAGTCGGTTAGATAATGAGGAAATGTTTTGAAAACACCTGTTGATTGTGAGTGCCGGCGGTGTACATATTCGTCATCATCGTCTTCGGGAACAACTAGGGCCGATTCGATGGTTTCCGAAATAAAATCCAAAAGTCTGGGTCCACTGTGATTATGTTTTTGGGAATAGGACTCCAAGTGTTTTTTGTGGCGAAAAATCTCAAATAAAACTTTGCCATAGTTTCCGGCCAGTTGTTTAAAACTGTCATCGTCAATCACCGTCTTTGGGAATGTTTTTGTGATGGTTTCTATGATTGATATGAATTTGTCAGGAGTTTGAGAAGGTGCTGTATTTTTGACTATTTCCTTAAGGCATGCTGAAGCATCTAAGATTCGTTTAGAAGGAAGTCCTGCCTTTAATAAACATTCGGAAATGAGAAGAGAACTAAGGCCTTGAAGAATCGCTGTTGTGTTTTTGGGTAAATAAGCTCGGCTTTTAGAGCCCGGCTGAAGCAGAAGCTGGACTTCCTTTAGCCCCGATCCTCTATCAACTAATTTAGAAGAGCCCAAAAGTTCTAACAAGTCAGTATTAAAAGAACAAGAAAAAAAGACAAAGAAAATATGGAAACTTACGACATGTTCTGTTTATATCAACGAGCTCTGCCATATTATTCGGATAAGACGCGTAATTCTGAGTTCAGACTAGACCATTAGTATACATTGGGATTCAAGGTAGCAAAATGTCAATTACAAACCTGAATTTATAACGAAATCCGCGTCAAATCAAGAAATTTAGAAATATTTGTAAAAGTGAAAATTCAAAGAAGTTCATAAAAAATGATTATTTTTTTTTTTAGAAAAAATGTGTCTATGAATGGTAGAGATTCTAAACTTCGTTTGGTTGGACATCGGGAAGAAAATATGTTTAATGGGTAATTTTTATTTAATAACTCAGCATAGTTACAACGTTTTCTTGAAGTGTTACAATATTAAAACAATTGTAACAAAAATCAATTTTTTTTTCGTTTCTGCCAAACTCCCCAAACACGACGGCTGTTCAAAGTTTTTGCCGTCGAGTTTAACTTTTCATCTTTCTTTTTCCTTCATATTTTATATACTCTTACTTCATTTCCATATTGCAACTCAGTAAATAGACGAAAATGAGTGCACATAATGGATTCCATCATGATAATTTGAATATACATAAAGATGGACCTTCTCATGGTCAGCCACCATCACCACCACCTCCGCCTCGCCATACACATGTTCCCAGCAGACCACCACCGCCACCACCTTACAGCAATTCTTCATACGGTCCCCCGTACGGATCTAATCCGACCTATCCGAATCGTCGAAATAACGGATCTTATGGAAGTCAAGGAGTACCTCCTTCTTACGGATATCGTGATTATAACCACGAACGCGAGTTCAGGGATCACAGAAACCCTGACCATGGTCCAAATCATCACGCCTACCCTTCTTATCACAGCAATCCTAACAGCAGCAATAATAGCCCTTACAGCACTCCCCGGCATCATCCAATCCAAAACCAACAACGTCAGCATCATTCACAGCTTCGGTCGTCTCGTTCACCTCCTTCAATAGAGAATTACAAACTACCCAAAAACAGATGGATTTATCCAAAAAAAGAGCTTGCAATCTTATCTCCCAGTGTTTTAGACGGCATGCCATACCATGAAGAGCAGCTCTATCGCAAAAAAGGCATCATATTTATAATTTCAGTTGCAGGCCTACTGAAACTTAATGCTATGGTGATTTACGCAGCTTCAGTTTTTTTTCATCGGTTTTATTTGAGAAAATCATTGAAACGTTATCACCACTATGTAAGCATCGAGAAAAAAAAATACTTTTTTCATCAATTTTATTAACCGTTTAGAATACCGCTGCCACTGCTCTCTTTCTTGCTACAAAGGTAGAAGAGTCTACAAGAAAGCTTAGAGACGTTACTATTGCTTGCACTAAGGTTGCTTCTAAGAATCCTAAATTAGTGGTTGATGAGCAGCTCCGAGATTTTTGGCAGTGGAAAGACACTATTCTCGCCAATGAGGAAGTTTTACTTGAAGCCTTAACTTTTGATTTGACTTTGGAATCACCTTTTGAAATGCTTTCTCATGCCTCCGATGCTTTACAACTACAAACAGAAATTAGAAAATCGGCCTGGGCATTTGTCAATGATTCATGCCAAACATCATTGTGCATTATGTTTCCAACTAAGGTCATCCTAGCTGCAGCCATTCAATGGGCGCTTAAATTTCGTCAAATGAAACTTCCAGAAATTAGAATCACAAACGAGGCTGGAGAAGAAAACTTAGTTGAGTGGACTGAACATCCGTCAGTTAAAGTTAGCGCGGAAGACCGTACAGCTGCAATGAATGTAATGACAGCTGTTTACGAGTCAGGCTCCAGTGCTGCCAGCATACCAAAGGCACCGGTGCCTGCTCCTGTTCCTGTGAACACACCTTTGCATAAGGAGACTAAACGTAAGCGGGATTCTGAAGATACAGATAGCAATGGTGCTAAAAAATCTAAAACTGAAATGTAAAGCATATATGAGTATATATATATATATTTTTTTTTTTCATAGAATCTGAAGATCTTTATTTTTAAGAGATTTTTTGGTATAAATATTGAGAGCTAGATCTAGTCTAAATTTCATATGACGTGCCAGAACACTAATAGCCACACTTGTAATTGTAACAAGTGGATAGGTTTTTTTTTTTTTCCTACATGCTGGGGCTGTTTATTTACTAAAAACTTGAACTATTTATTGAACCTTTAAAAAATCCCCTAGAAATGTCTGCAGATTTGGGGAAAAATGAGCCAGAAGTATCTGTAAGTTAGATTAATTAAATTATATTATATTATTGTGTATTGTTTATTTTCTAACAAGTCTTTTCAGGGAAACAATAACGATGTTCGTTCTGATGATGGCACCCAAACCCAGACCCAGACTCAGACTCAAACATCACAGCCATTTTCACAGGGATTAACACAAAATGACACAGCAGGATCTCCATTTAAATTTCCATTTTCAAAAAAAACAACCTTTGCCATAAAAATCAATGGAGGAGCTATGTCTGATCCCAAGCCTGAGCGATTTAAAAGTGGTGGAATCAAAGTCCGCTCAGGGGGAGCATCAACAAACTTTACTGATGTGCCAACAGACCATTTTACCCAAAACAGTTCACAACCTTTGGAAGATTCTACTCAAAATGATTATGCTGCAACTCAGGAACTTACACAAGCATCTCAGAAACATCACCCTCATTTTACCCAGCCATCGCCTCCTAAGCCACTAACTATCATCCAAGAAGAACACGAAAGCTTTCTTTCCATCCTGTCCATAAACAGTAAACCTTTAATCATTGAAAGAAAATCAACAATACAACACAACCCAAGGCTTTTTTTACCACCTGAGCCAGAAGATCGGCTAGAGGATGAAACTCAAGCACTTAATGATAACGACAATATTATTATTCCAGCAACACAACCTACTAATGACTCTCCAACAAGAGGAACCGAAGACACCCCCCAACCAAAATCAAGCCCAGTTCATGAAAATCAAACCCAAGATGTTGAAGATAATGGAAACAAATTATATATGCAATCATCTCCCATAGTTATTCCCAATACACCACTTTCGGCATCCCAGGCAGGTATTTCGCCAATTCCAACTCCAAGTTCTTTTGGTCGTTTTACGAAAAACGGACATGACAACCATGGATACCCTAACAATTTTTCAACTCCAGCTATTAAAAGATTTCAAACTACCCAGCAAGTAGCAGAAACACAGGCTCTGGATGATGATGAACCTTCGTGTGATTCTATTAAATATACTCCAACAATTGGCGAATTCAATTCAATAAGAAAAAAACAAGACAGCGGCGAATCCGTTGATACCACTGCATCATATTATAAGTACACTGAAGATTCACAAACTATTATTCGCAAAAGGTCTACCAAACACACTGAAAAAAGTGGCAATGAAGATCTCCAGTCGTGTGCATCTGAAAGTATCTCCACTTCTAGAGAAACTGAAAAGTCTGCCAGCAGTAACATTTTCCCAGAAACTCAAGCCATGGATAACCATATCACTATTCCAGAAACTCAAGCTACAGATAATCATTTTGTTCCTGAGACCCAAGCAACATATAATCATTTTACACCTGAAACTCAATCAACAGATCACCGATTTTTTGTACCTGAAACCCAGCCTCTTTCGAGTCCAATTCAAAGCCAGCGTCATTATCATCAGGAAACTCAACTTTTACAATACGAGCCTGAAAATACCATACAATCCTTAAATGATGAAAACAAATCACTCAAGCATCTGAATGAAAGCTTACCGGAACACCAAGAAACGAATTCACCCAAACACCTAGAAAAATCACTCAGCCCATTACAAGAAACTTCTCCACAAGAACACATCAGTGATATCATAGGTATTCAGGAATTAGATGAGAATAGTCAGAGAGGGTTTTTAGAAGAAGCAACACAGAGGTTGAAAAAGCCTGAACCTGAACCTGAACCTGAGTCAACTAATGAATTTCGTATTTCTAGCTCCGGTTCAGTAACATCTCCACAGCGTTCAATGGAAATTTCTGAGCCATCCAATAGCTTTAAGAACAAAAACGAAGAAATGAATTCCAAACAAAATATGGTTTTAAAGAAGAGTTCAGCTCAACAAACTGACTCTGGAATGTCTCAAAATCCAATTATAGGCTCACGTCAAACTAGGCGAAAGTTGATCAATTGTGAAGATAGCGAATATGATAATTCCAAATCTCTTGCAAGTGGGTCTTCTAAGACAAACTCTAACTTAACTCGTTCTCTAAAACGCATAAAGCCAAATGAAACTACACCTGATCAACAAAAAGCTTCAAAAAATGATACCAATGCAGTGCCACAAACACCTCCGTCACCATCTGTATCGCCAATTAGCAGAATGTCCAAATCGCCTTCTGTAACACAACCTAATGATTTCAAGTGCAGGACACCAGAAACTGATCAGGACATGGATAGCATAGTTGCATTACGATCCGAATTCCCTACCCCTGTCATCCCAAATTCTAAGCGAAATCCCATTGACTCTATCAAAAGTTCGTGGATTCGTGATAAAGAACGATATTACCCTGCAATGCTGATGGTAGAAAATTCTAGTATTTCTTCTTCTGAGTTAAAAGCTGTATTTAAAGATGGTTTCGACTTTGTTATTCAGAAAAAAGATCTTATTCCCCTTAATCTCGGAATTGATCAGCAGATAAAATGTCTTAATAACAGCAAAGTTATCTATACTATTGTGGAGTTATTTGATTCAACAACCGAAGAAGGAGAAAAGCGTTTGAAAGAACTTAAACTGTTGAAATCCCAACTGCCAGCTATTACAAAATCAAATCGCTCTAAACGAGCTAAATCAGGGAATCAATCAGAAGAACCAAATCAAGGTGATAAACAGGAAGATTTGGTGAAAATTGTTGATAACTCTGGAAATGATTATGCTGTACTGAAAGAAGCTTCTTCGACTGGTCGCAAGGCGTCAAACAAGAATAATCAAATCAGCAGCGAGCTGGTTCTTGCTAAGATTTCTGAATTATATTTGACTCGCAAGCTGGGCTTAAAGTATATCAAGGAAATGCAGCCAGTTCAAGAATCGTTTGCTTCATTTGATTCAGCACATATTTTTAATCTTTATCAAGTCCGTGCCGAGTCCACTACAACAGAAGAAATGCCCATGTCTAGCATTTATTTTCAAAACCCTAAGCGTAAATCTGCACGAATTTCTGAAGGAACCTACTATGAAAGTCCTGACGAGGATGAGCCAAGCAGATTTTCTGTTGAAGATGATTTGCAATCATTTTCTTCAAGCACTCGTAGCATTCCTTCTAATTCTGTGCCAGTTTTAGAGAGGCTGGAATCTGTATATTCTGGAATTTTTTCTGGTTGTATTTTCACTATTACTCACACAGAAAAAAATCAAAAGGATATGAAGGAAGAAGAAAAGTACGTCAATAATTTAGAGAAGAAAATCCAGAAACAAGGTGGTATTGTTTTAGTCAAAGGGTTTAAAGAAATTCTGGATATTAACGAAAAAGAATTTCGTATATCATGGGCAAAACGCAAGAAGCCATCAAATTCTCGCAAAGGCTCAACTGATTTGCCTTTGATGCAAGCTTCAGTGTACGGGCTTCGGGGGAGCCGTATGCTAGAGCGTAGCAAATCTCTTCCCGGACGCTCAGCCAACCGCCAGTCAGCTCCTTCCACTCTTGTTGACACTGAAAGTGAAGAAGATCCAACTCTCGCAATAAATCCTGGGTATAGGTTTGCTGCTGTTTTGGCAAATGAGGCCACAAGAACCCTCAAATATATGGAAGGGCTGGCTCTAGGAATACCCTGTTTATCATGGCAATATGTTGAAGATTGCATTACTGATCAACGATTAATTGAAAACTGGGTCGATTATGTTCTCGCAGCTGGTGGCTCCTCAGTGCTTGGTGGTGTGCAAAAGAGTCTAAACGTTTCCAATTTCCGTAACATATGGCTTCAAAACCGATCTCTGTATTACCAGTTTTTGCATCGGAAACCACTTTTTAACAAACTCAATACACCCATTTACCTCATCGAAGATCTGAACCTAGCCCTCCAACTTCATCAAAGAGGTACAGATAGCTTGTCAAATAATGTAAATGACGTCTTAGATCGCTCGCGCTCAGGATCCACCACCAAATCTGCAGCCAGTTGTACCGAGCCAAATAAAGTTTTTCGGTCGCTGTTACTAATGCTTGGATGTGAGTCGCGCAACATATCTGTGGCTTCCAAAATTAATGACATCTCGGTGGATGAAAAGGAAGGTGCCATTGTTATTTTTAACTGCGCTGAAGAAAAGCTGGGAAAGTATTCTCAAACGACTAAGCGTGAACATGTAAACGCTCTGAATCAAAAGAAAAGTCTAGATGGTGCTGTGCTTTTTTTTAATCGCGAATGGATTCTTCAGAGTATTATCAATCAGCGTATAGTGTAATTGGAAGACAATACATTGGAATTTTGATTTTTTTAAATAAAATTTTTTGAATATAATTTTAAATATCTTATTTTGCTAGACTAAAAACAATTATGATGATTTTGGCTTTCGGCCACGAGTGGCGCGCTTCTTGGGAGGTTCTGGTCCAGGTTCGGTCCCAGGTGCCGAAGCTGATTTTGCTGATCGAGGTCTGCCACGCTTAGGCTTTGGCTTTTCAACTTCAGTTTCAGGCACAGGTTCGGGTTGGGGCTCAGGCTGATTTTTTTCGTCTACCACCTTAATGATTACTTCGCTGTCTTCGGGGTTAGGTGCGGGTTTGGTAGATTTGGCAGACTTGGCAGGTTTGGCTTTTGTTGTTTTAGAAGAAGGACGGCCTCGTTTTTTAGGGGTGACGGAAGGTTCCACAGATTCATTAACAGGCTCTATAACAGGTTCGACAAGTTCAACAAGTTCGACAGGTTCAACAGGTTCGACAGGTTCAACAGGTTCAACAGGTTCAACAGGTTCGACAGGTTCGACAGGTTCAACAGGTTCAACAGGTTCGACAGGTTCGACAGGTTCGACAGGTTCGACAGGTTCGACAGGTTCGACAGGTTCGACAGGTTCGACAGGTTCGACAGGTTCGACAGGTTCGACAGGTTCGACAGGTTCGACAGGTTCGACAGGTTCGACAGGTTCGACAGGTTTGACAAGTTTGACAGGTTCGACAGGTTCGACAGGTTCGACAGGTTTAACAGGTTCAACAGATTCCAAAGTTTCCGTTTGAAGCTTGGAAGCTGGTTGTTCTGAAGCAATTTCTGAAATTGGTTCTGAAAGAGATGCCTTTTTAGGCTTAGTCACAGGCTTAGGTTCCTGTGCAAATTCTTCAACAGGTTCCAATGCTGTTTTAACAATGGGAGTGTCGGCTCCTGTTTTAGAAATTTCTTTTTCCTTCTCAGAAGATTCTAAATCAAATTCATTTTTTTCATTTTGTTCAGAAGCTTTCTCCTCCTGCTGTTCAATCTCTTTCAGATCCTTCTTGTTCTCAGAGGAAGATTTCTCTTGTGGTTTAGGTGGTAGTTTTGGTGGAACAGAAGTCTTCTTTTCTGTAGACTGTGATGGTGATGGAGGCGGTGGAGGTTGTTTTTTAGGAAGTGGTGGTGGAGGCAAACTTCCAGGAAGAGAATACTTTTTCAAAGCTGGAGGATGAGAAGGCTCTGCAGAAGGATGAAAATGAGAGCCGCGGTCTTCTCTAGAGTCAAATCGGCTTTCTCTAGAATCATAACGACTTTCTCTAGAATCAAACCGACTTCCTCTAGAGTCATACCGATTTCCTCTGGAATCATAACGACTTTCTCTGGAATCATACCGACTTCCTCTAGAATCATACCTGCGGTCTGGGCTTCGGCTGCGCTCGCGTCGAGACGAAGACCGCGGAGGAGGAGAAGAACTTCGACTATCTGAGTGTCGTTTTCTTCCTTTAGTATCTCCATCGTAATCTAAAGCCTTTGGCATGTAATCACGGGATCTATCAGGCTTTCGAGGTCGGTAGCTACTTCCTTCATTTTTGTCCCGGTAGTCGTTATACTGTACACTTCGGGGTGAACCGCGGCTCCGTTGATAGCTCCTTTTATCTTCAACATCTTCATTTCGAACAGGACTCAAACTTCGTTCACGATGGTGGCGCCGGTGGCGCTCTCTCTTTTCGGAATCAAACGCATCTCTTATTCTTTCGTTTTCACGCGCTTTAGCTGAAACTAAATTGTGAATGTCATGTGTCTTATATTTCCTTCTTTCGCCATCTTCTAAATCTTCATTCTTAAATGAACCGTGCTGCCTTTGAAAACGAGCTTCTCTTTTGTTTCCTTCTTCCTCTCGTTGTTTAAGCTTTGTGCGTAGGGCTGCAACCTTCTCCTCAATCTCGTCGTCTGTCATTAAATCTTTCTTAGGCTTACCTGCTGCTTGGGCCTCTTCACGTTCATTTTCTAAGTAAACTTGTAACTCTACACATTGAGCTTCAATTTTTCGCTTTCTCTCGTGTTCAATGATGCCGTCATCAATTTTTCTGTTAGAAAAGTTTCGTGCGTCGAAAGCTTTTTTGCGCTTCTCTTCTTCGCGTGCTAACTCCTGGCGACGTTCATAGCTGCGATATTGGCGGCTGGCACTAATAGATGACGCATTTTTTTGAATATAACCACTTGTACCCGTACCTCTAGGGGTGGGAAGACCAATGCCGTTATATGACATTGATGGTTGAATAGCCTTGGTTTGATGGAAGTTGATTGTATCAATAAAAAAAAATAAACAAAGTCGTGTCGAACGTCAAAATTTGAGGAGGTTCGCTCAGGGTTAGGGTCAGTCAACCCAGCAAAATTAAAAAAAATATTTTAAGCACTCACTGCTTTGGGTTTATTTTTTAATCGCCTTTGTAGAACTTAAACAATTTTTCATAGAAATAGTCTTTTTTTTATTTAACTCAAATAATACGGAATCTAAAGCATCTTTCTGAAATTTTAACTTAAAGGTTATTTAATGTAATTATAAAATTGAAAAAAAAAAAAAAAAACAGTGGGACCTTTTTTTTTAAAAAATTTATCTCCAAATATCATGGACAGATTCGTTATTGTCTAAATCGATAAGTGACCCCATAGTTCCCAGGGGTGTTGGTTTTAGAGAATCACCAAGTTCGCCAATTTGGGAAACGTCTTCTCTAAAAATACATGCCATTGATCCAATTTCATTATTAAAGCTGTTGATGCTTACACTTTGACCATGCGAATTTTCGGTGTTAGGATCAGATTTGACAGGAGTAAACATGATTGGGGCGCTGTAAGCCAACTTATTTACATCAGAAACAAGGGCCGGGCTTTTAATAGGGGCGGATTCCGCTTGCATTACAATTGCCAGACTGCTTGGTACTTTGACATTGGAAGTGTTATTAGTAATATCACGGATTTTAGCAACAAGTTTGCTGTCAGGAGGCTGCACTGGGATTGGAGAAATGGGCTTAAGTATATTCGGATTTAATAACTGTTTATTCGAAGCCAAGCTAAAGTTTGGGTGATGATCAATTGTTGAATTTGTTTCGCTAATATCAACAAGTCTTTGATCTAAATCTTGATGAGATATCTGTGAAGAGCTTTGGTTCTGAGAAGATTTTAAAATACTTCTTGGCGTGGACCCTGTTGAAGAAGAAAGACAAGTACTTCCTTTGACACTACTAGCGACTGTTGGTGCTTTAGATCCAATATGTGCCGTACGTTTTTCAGAACTGTTAAATGAGTTTTCACCGACTTGAATCATTTGTGTTGTTTCGTCACAAGCAGTTGTAGGCTGAATTCCTTTTCCGCCACAACAGTTTAGACACGAAAATCTATGCTTTCGAGCTCGAAAAGAAACGATTGGAATCGAAGTTGTAGTGGCAGTAATTCCATCTTCACGTTCTTGAATAGATTGGGGAAATTGAGGTGAAGAGGAGTGTTCGTCTGAAGGGCTGAACGGAGGTCTTCCAATTTCGTCAGGCTGTGCAAAAGCAGCAGCAGCGGCACTTAATCTTTGTTCCTTCACCAATTTGACTTTCATTTTATTGTCTGATTTTTCAATAATATCAGAGTAAGTTGGATTTGAACGAAAGGAATCTCGCAATGCTTGGTCTAATAGAGAAGTAGGATCTGGGTCTAAATGAAGTTAGTTGAATGATTATATAAAACAAAAGGCAAAAATAGTATACGTCTAAACCGATGACAGAGTTTCAAGTGATCTAGATAGGCAGTCCAATTTGATGGGTTTTTTTTAGTTGTTATGTCTTTACTTGAACAAGTTGACATTTACAGAATAGTAAGAAAAATAAATAAAAAAAGAAGAAATAATTTATAAACAATGTATTAACAACAAGCAACAAGTAACAATAAATTTTTGCTCAATAACTATTTTTTATTTTTTAAAGAAAGACATAAGGGATTCTTGACGAGAATGGTTATTATTCTTCTTTTTATGTTTAAGCGCTCCAACGGGAGGAAGTGTCCGAAGCTTTGGTTTTTCTACCGGTTTAGCTTCTTCTTCTGATTCAGAGCAAGATTCCCAAACTTCTTCAGTATGTGTAATCAAGTATCCTAATTCATCAAGCTTGGTGGTTCGCTTCAAAACCTTTTTCATTTTTCGGCCTTTGGTAGTTGCAGGAGGTGGAGGTGTAGGCTCTTTAGGTACAGGAGCAGGCGAGGGCAAATCGCCCATTTCAACATCACCGTCCTCATCCTTCTCGTTTTCACTTTGGTCCGTCATACCCTCATCTTCGCTTTGAATATCAGGGGTTGCAGATGCATTGTTTTCGACGTCGGCAAACATATTTTTAAGTTCCTCACTAATTTCAACACTATTTTGTTTGTCCTTTTCTTTAGTTTCCTTTCCCTTTTTCTTTTCTTTTTCCTTTTCTCTTGTCATCTTTTCTCTTTCGACTTCTTTCTTTTCTTCCTTTGGCTCATTTATGATATTTTCATCTACAGAAAACGTTTCTGTTGATTTTAAATTCTTTCCAGATTTTTCTTCTACCGTATCTTCAAGAGTTTTTTGTCTGGTGGAGGTTTTAACCGGCTTTTTCCCAAAAAATGTTTGACTAAGAGTAGGTTGTTTTCTCGGATCTTTAGAATTTGAGCCCTTTGAAGTCGAAAAACTTTTTGCTGCTTTTGCTGATCCTGTGGTTGATGAAGCCGAGGGTTCTTTTACAGCCTCTTTTACCACATTTATAGTCCGCTTTTCTTGCTTTACAGGTACTGTTTCAACTCTAGCTGCAGGCTGATATTTGTAAGCTGATCCAACCTTAGTTGGAGTTTCAATTGTTTTTGGAACAACGATTAAATTCTTGAAAATAATTTTTTAGTATAAATGAAAAAAATAAAGAATTGGAACAATACATACCTTGTCTATTAAAGGGTTAATAACCACGCCATACTTGGAAGACAATTGACCAACATTAGTTTCTAATTCGCAATCTATCAGCTTAGTCTCTTGAAGAGCTTCTGTGAGAAGAGTAATATCCTAGTTAACGTTAGTCAAAGTTTTATGATGTGTTGAAAAAAAGAAAAAAAACATACATTAGAAACGGCAGATCCTATACTGTAAATATGAACAGAGGTAACCTTTTCAAGACTATTTATTTTGTCTAAATTGTTAGTTCCTAGTTTGTGTAAAAGTTTTTTGTAGACTTACCATTTAGTTTTTCTTCAGGAACTTTACAAATAACTCGCTCCAAACGTTCTGACGATTCTTCTTTAGTCGCAGGTCGGTAAGAATCTCTTATAGAAACAACTTGAAATTGATTTTGCGTAGAATTTGAATTAGTAACAGGTCCTTGGACGTTGATTTTTTCGTATCCGGAAACAATATAGGTTGTATGAAACTTTTCTGTGGTTTTTTGCTGAAACTCATAAAGATACTTTTTGGCCTTGTTTACATGGACTCCGAGTTTTCTGCTGAGAAGCTGATAAGTCATCTAAAAAAAATTAGCAAATCGCTTTATAATATGAATAACTATATATACATACTACTCGACCTTCAGCAAAAATTTCCGTCCGTATCACAGTCTCATAATCTGGTGTTTGATCTGACATGTTTTGATTTGGTTAGTGGTAATCTTTGTTGATTTGGCGGCAAGGTGGTAAAAAAAATAATACTTATAAGGTTCAGGTAAACAAAAAAAATCACGCGTCAATAGCGTGAACCTTTCGTGACGCGTTTTTTTGTTACATTTTTATGACATTTCTGTTACACTAAATTTTTCAACCAGCCAACCAACCACCACCACCGCTTTTTTTTCATCGCTGAGAAATTTTTTATACCCACCACCCCAGTCCGGATTTACATTATCAACAAGGGCTTTTCCAGCAAACACAAGCAACCATGGTTTACAGAAAACTTAACAGGTATTTTGGATATTAGAATGTCTATTGAAATTATAGTTTTTTTAACAATTTCTTCAGAACATCATCACACCGCAAGGCCACTTTACGTAGTTTGGTCACACATCTAATTGAGCACGAGTCTATCACAACAACTCACGCCAAGGCCAAAGAAGCACAGACTGCAACTGAAAGATTAATACAATTAGCCAAAAACCGTTCGCCGAACTTGGATGATGCTAAAACGCGAGCTCTGCAGTACATTTACGTAAGTTTAGACTTTACAGATATAGATCTTAGCCCACTAACACTTATTTCAGAAACCCACAGAGACCCTTCCTAAACTTTTTGGCGAGCTTTCCGAAAGATATGGCAACAGAGCCGGTGGTTACACCCGTGTGTTGAAGCTTGAGCCTCGTCTCGGTGATAATGCTCCCCAATCTATCCTTGAGCTGGTAGATGGAAAGCGCGATATGAAGTTTGCTCTTACTGCCCGTGCTGTTGCTCGTCTTGAGGCACAAGGCCAGGTTCTGGACAAGAAGACTAAAGAGTCTGTCAAGAAGATTTACCGATCCCGACCAAATGGTGAGGAGGAGTTTCAAAAAGAGGTTGCCGAGATGAAGGCTAGATTCTACAGCTCGGAGGAATCGCTTGCAAACCTGCCCACTCCAAAGCCTAAAAAACAGAAGGCTAGCCTTAAATTTGTTGAGAACCCTCTGCTGGCCAAGAAGGAGGCCGAGTCTTCATAAAGAATTCTGTTAAATAGCTGTTTCTTCATTTTCTGTAAATAATTTCATCGTGAAAGACTTTTTTTCATTTTTTTTGTCAGGGTAACTTTGTGATTTGATTTTTTTTTTATGATAAAAATTTTTTATTTTTTTTTTATTATGCTCATCTCTAACTTTCAACCATGGAACAGATTGATAATGGCACCATTAGGGCCATTCTAAACTCCGTGGAAGGCAATATCATTGATTCCAAAAATTTAGAATATGTTAGAAAGTATTTGGTTAAAACCAAGGGCCCTGTCATTTCTTCCGACAAGGAAACACAGAGGTACGTTTTTGATGTTTCTAGTATTAATGTTTTCTAACTTTTTTTCAGTATATTCATAGATCTTTATTCCCCTCTTTTGACCTCAACTTTGAAGTCTTACGGCATTGATTCTTCGCGCACTCTTACAACAGATAGTCTCAGCATTTGGCTTCAGCGAGCTGTCCAACTTACTTCATCTTCTGACAACTCTATTAACTTTGGCAAAATTGTTTCCGATGAAGATGCTCAAAATATTTTCACATTTGTTTGCGACTTTTGGACCGACTCAGGCGTAGCTTTTGGCAACTCTCTTAAAGAGCTTTTTATTAAAATCATTTCTTTAGTCACTATTTCTAGACCGACAGACTCCATTGTTTATCTTCAAAAATGGACCCAGCATATTCTCAGATTTTCCAGAAATCAAAGAGTACTTTATTTTATGCTTGAAATTCTTGCAAAAAAAGTTGGAGGTCAGTTTGTTCTAGACGATTGCCCTGAATTTTTATCTCAATCATTGGCCTTTATGGGTTCTAATGCTCTTGCCAATCCTATTGGAAAATCTTTGTTTGCCATTTACAGCTCAATCCTTACACAGTGGACTGGAGACGCGAAAAATAACATCACTTGCGACTCAGAAATAGCCGAAAAATGGACTCAACTTTGGTCCGAACCGACAAGATCTGCCTTGTTAAATGAAAAAACTCGTGAGCATGTTCAAACTTACTTTTTACCACAAATGTTTAAGCGACTCCCTCAGTCACTTGGGATTTTTATAAAGCCGATGACCAATATCAATTTCGATACCCCAGAAAATGAAATTTCTGTTTTGCTTGGTTGTATGAAACTTGGACATGAGCTCGGAATTTTGGATGTCTTTGAAGAAGGTAATAATGTCATTAGTGAAGAGTTTTTGGAAAGTTTATTTCATCATGAGTCACCAGTTTTGCGTATTGGCGCTCTTTCTCTTGTCTCTATTTTTCAACAAACTACCAGACCCGTCGCCAAGTTTGTTTTTAAGGTTTTGGAGCGTTCTCTTGATGATTTTTTCGTTGAATCTGATCCTGGTTTTCGCAACCAATTTTACGGGTTTATACGCCAATTTATTTTTAGAGTCCGTGCCTCTTCGTACTCCATTAAAAAGGAAAGCAATAAAAAAGCAAAGAACGGAGACATTGAGCTTTCGACCAAGCTGGCTAAAGAAGTTGAATTCGTTAAAGAGTTTTTTGTTTGGCTAATTTCTTACCTCGAGCGGTGTCTTCGTCCCAGCGCACCTTACCAATATAGATTTACTGCTATGCTTTTGATTCAACTTCTCGCAAACTCTGGTCTTGATGATGAAATTCGTCCCGAATGCTATGAAAAACACCACGACTTTTTCCCCTTCAAAATTCCTGTATACAATGAAGAGATTGTTCGTCTGCTTATTGAAAATATTGCCAACAATTTTGAAGATGTTCGCGCAACAGCTGCTAAAATTATTGGAATTGCTAAACTTCCTCTCCCTTTAATTGAGTCTTATGAGCAAATTGAAACTCTTGCAAATCAATCATTAAGCACTTTATCTGGTATGAGGGGACGTGAGGGTGATGCCGGTGCTCGAGGTCTGGAGCTTGCGTTTAATCTTTACTTTAATTTCCCAGTTCCTGAATCTAATGCCAATTCCAATATTGAGCATGGTCTTTCACTTTTTGAAACCATCCTTTCCAAGCTTGAAGATGAGATTGAATTTGCCAACAAAAATATGGCTACTGCTGTCCGTGAGCATCCCATTCATGGTTATTATACTGCCCTTGCATTTATTCTTGGATCTATTGATTTTTACAAGTTTTCCAGCACACCAAAAGACGAAAAAAATTGGACTGAACTTATCAAGCGTCTCATAAAGAGCATGAATAATGTTTGGGAGAATGTGAAGGAAATTCTGTGCCACGATTCGCCCGAAGGTAATCTTCCCAAAGAATTTGAAGCCAATTTTGAGCCTGAACTTGAAGCTCAATATGGCCCAGCAACTCAAGTCATTTTGTCATATTCTTGGAGAGCCATCAAAGAGTCGACAGCAATGCTCAAGGTACTTTTTGACCGGGTGCCCTTGAAGGGGTCGACCAAAAAGAAGTCACCAGTTAAAATTCAAACAGAAATTTTCCCTCAAGATCTTATAGTTGAGATTGGAGAACTATTACTAACTCAATTGGCAACTGTGAGACACCGTGGTGCTTTTTCTTCTATCTACCCTGCGTTTGTGTCTTGCTGCAAGCGCTGCAACTTAACTCCTGGTATTGAAAATCAACCTGAAAAGTGGCTTTCTGAAAATATTAACCTCATTAAAATTAAAGCCCAGTATGTTACACGTCGTTCTGGGGGTCTCCCCTATTTGATTACTGCTGTTTTGACGGCTGAGCTTGAACCCACTCTTGATCTTATTACTTCAACTTTTGAAAAGCTGCTTACAATTGCTCAAATCCCGGCAGTTTCTTCAGGCTCTGACAAGATCGATCTTCCTCAAGTGCACGCGTTTAACTGTATTAAGGCTATGTTTGTTGAAACCAATCTTTCCAGCAGGTCAGCCTATTTCATTGAACCTTCTTTGGAGTTAGCCATCATGTCGTTTTCCAGTGAAATTTGGGCTATTCGCAACTGTGCTGTCATGTTATTCACAGCTCTGCAAAATAGACTTTTTGGTACTGCCAAACCTACCAAGTCTAAGCTAACAAATAGTACAATATCGGCTAAGATTTTTTTTAACAAGTACAAAACCATCCGTGAAACTTTGCTTCGTCTGCTTCAGCACTATGTTGACCACATGGATGAAACATCTTCAGGTGTGGAGATTGTTTTCCCTATTCTGTCACTTTTGTCAAGACTTGAAAGTACTGTGGGATACAATGGACTTGACGATTTCCGACCTTTGGCTGTTTCCTGTTTGGGAAGCAAGATCTGGAAAGTTCGTGAAATGACTGCCCGTGTTATCCCACCTCTGCTTGGTGATCAAGATACAATTAAGTTTTTGAGAGACCTGATTGATGATGCTTCACTTAAAAATCAGAATAAACTTCACGGTGTTTGTCTTGCCGGACTTAACATTGTTATTTCTAAGATCCAAGCCGGTGCTGACATTCCTCAAGATTTTATTGAATTTTTCTTTAAAAAGTTTGATGAATTTGTCATCTTTAATCCCTCGCCCGAGACTGCGTTGGCGTATTTGCGTATTATCAAAGAAATTTTCCTCGTTACTCCGGACAATCAAATTCTTGTACAGAAGCTTGTACCCAAGTGTGCCCACCTGTGGAAGAACCTTCCTGGTTCGGGTATGAGCTCTGCTCGCCGGGTGTTCCAGAGCGAGCTTGCTGAGATTTCACTCGTTAATGCTTTCAACATTAATGGTGACCCTCTTGCACTAGCAACTGAAATGGTTTTGTGCTATGAATCGTACGAGGTTCAGCTAATGGCCATTGAGCAGCTTAGTAACCGTGTTGATTATTTAACTGGTACCAACTCAGCACAGGTGCTGCAAGCACTGTGGGCCGTATTTGCCTCCCAAGCTTGGGATCAAGTTCGTGGACCTGCTGCTCGTCTCTTTTCACAAATATTTGCGAAGTTCGCTCAAGATGCATCAGCACAGTCTTTCCGTGATGATGTTCCCAAGTATTGGCAAGTCCTTTACTCTTCTGTCCGTCCCGGCGTAAACACAGAGGAGATCAATGAGTCGTGTTTGGAAGCATTGGGTATCTTTTCTGGGCAGTTGTACTGTCAAGAAGCTGATGACCGCGTAAACAAATGGCTTGAGCTTGTTTCCCGGTTTTCTGATGAGAACGAAGCATACCCTGCGCGTGACGCAGCTCTTACTTCTTTGCTGGCGTTTTTGTCGACAATCAAAATTAAACAGGGTGCTCCATACGCTGATGCTCTTCTTCAGTTGTTTTTCTTTTTGTCTGATGACGACGAAGATATCCGTGCAACAGCATCTGAATATGTGTCGCGGATGCTTGGGCTGCGGTTTTTAGCAACGAGTGCACATTGTGAGAATCAACTGCTTCGTGAACGTATTGTTAGCTGTGATTCTTCTGCTCATATTGCCCGACAGTTGTTTAGTTACCTTACCGAGAGACAGAAGTCTGCCACAGATCTACTGGCTGAAGCCCGTGCTGTTGACGATGCACTGTTCAATTATGAGAAACAGAATCTTTTTAGAGATGAGGTTGCCAAGTTTGAACAAGTTGGCGGGGCACTTTTGGATATTCTAAAGAACAATGACACTCTTTTGAGAGAGGAAATCGAGCAGTGGATAACTGACGCAGTGCCTGCTCTGAAGTCTACAATTGCGGAGCTTGGAGGCGATGAAACTCTGCTTATTTGGGGTAAAGACCCAAAGATTACAAAGGAAGTTTCGCGCATTATTATTGTTGCACGCATCTACGAAGCTTTAGAGGGTGTTGTTGTAATTGAACCCAGTGAAAGCATCAAAGCCATGCTTATTAGAATTTAGATTATTTTTTTTACTCTTTTTTTTTCCTTTTTATTAAAACAAAAACATTAAAAACACAAAAACTAAGCCACAACTGATTCGTTCTTGTTGAGAGCCTGAGCAAGAATCTGGTTTGATCGGAAGGTAAGGCCCTTTGTCTTTTCAATGACTTGCTGATAGACGGAAGTGACGGGGTGGTTCATTATAACAGTGCCATCAGACTCGTTAATCTTGGCATCCATCTTGGTGTCCTTGATAAGGTTAGCGATCCACTTCTCACCCTGCTCAGGAGAGAGATTGAGACGAGCAGAGAGCTGCTTAACATCGATGCGCTGGTGGATTCTGCAGTAAAGCTCGGAAACCAAGTGTCTGGCCGAGTCAAGGAAGGAGTCGGTGAGGTTGTGAAGGAAGAAGTCGTTTGCGAGGATAGACTCAGCCTCGAGAAGCTTAGATTGAGCTTCAGCAAAGTCGTAGTCAATGTAGAGAGCACGAACAAAGTCTGTGATGGGGTCCTGGTACTCGTACAACTCCTGGCCGACAACACGGACAAGGTCCTTGAGTCTGCGCTGGTTGCTGGAGTTGTTGCGGCCCTTGGTGTTGAGAGAGATGACGGCAGCGGCAAGGTAGCGGATAATCCAGGGGCAGGCAGCTTGGATAGTGGAAATATAAGAGGCGGAGAAGAAAAGGTCGACAAGGCCTTCCTTGTTGAAATTGGGGTTCTGGAGGAGGAAAAGAGACCAGTGGATGATCCAGGTACGGTTATGAAGCTGAGTCAAGGGGTCGGCAAATGAACGTTGGTCGACAATGTCACGGAGAGACTGCTGGTCCTCAAGGGCAGCCTCGGTCTCGCCGGCGAGCAGGTCGGAGGCAAACTTACCCCAGTGGGCTGATGCAATGAGCTTAGCATCAGTGGAGAGCAGCAGGAACTGGTGGAGCTTGCGGGAGGCAGCAGCGTAGTCTCCACAGCTAAAGTTAGCCTTACCAAAGAAGTAGAAAGAGTTGATGAGGTCGACAGTAATGTTGTACTTTTCCAGCATGCGCAGGTTCTGAACCTTGTCAGCCTTGAGGTTGGCCTGGACCTCAGGGTTTTCAAAGGCCTCCGAGACAGTAGTGAGGTCGCGCTCATAGGTAGCAATGCGAGCATCAAGATCAGCCCTGCGGTCATCAAGAGATAAGGCAGACTCACTAGGATTCAGCTTCTTCCAGAGATCATTGATAAAGTCAAACATGCACGAATCTTTGAAGAGATCGTACTGTAGTTGGTCGAGGGCCTTGCTGCTGTAAATGCCCTTCTTGCCCAGGAACTCCGCAATGGGGTAGACAAGGTGCGGATCCAAAAAAGGAATGATCGTTTGCGTAAGATCGTACTTACGGGCGAGCTCGAGCGCCTCAGGAGATGTCTTGGCCGTGGACATTGTTGGATGTGCTGTTCAATGGACTGGTGGTGGTGATGGTGAGAATTTTGGTGATTTTTTTTTTTCGTTTTGGGAGGTTTGGAGTGAAATTTTTTCAGCGTGCGCAGATGTGAGTCCTGCGAAAAAATTAGTCTTGTGGGTTAGGGTAGCACCGAATGAGAGGAGAGCCCGATTAATACTCACGCGACCCGATGTTCAAATAAATGGGTTAAGAAGATCGGGTCACAAACTTAATTGGTGGTTTAAATGATCCGGGAGTTCCGGTGATATTGATTACTATCATCTGAAAGGTTCGTGTAAGCCAGATTTCTATTTTCTTTCTTTTACCTTCTACCTCTCCGCCCCACCCACCACTGAGCCACAACAGTTTCTTTCCTAATTAACTCTATCGCCTTAACTGGGGGATTTTCTTATCGCCAAACCAGCCAACTTAGCAATCACAAACTACAAAAAAAAAATACATATGGAACTTGATCGCAAGTACGTTCCACCTTGGAAAGAGCCATATATTATTGCGCTGGCCGGATCTTCCGGTAGCGGCAAGACTTCTATTGCTCAGACTATTATTAAACGCCTTAATGTTCCTTGGACCATCTTGCTCTCCATGGATAACTTTTACAAGCCACTCGAGCCTGCGCAGATCCAACTGGCTTTTGAAAGCCGCTACGATTTTGACGCTCCAGAAGCTATTGACTTGGACTTATTTGTCGAAGTTCTTACAAGTTTGAAACGCGGGTGAGTAGAAACTTCTTTTTTGCCTTTTTTTAATCCGCTAATCTCTTAATAGTGAGCGCGCGAGAATCCCAAATTATTCCTTTGCACACCACAACCGAACAGACTATTGGACGACTGTGTATGGTGCAAATGTAATCATTATTGAAGGCATCTATGCATTACATGATGAGCGCGTTCTTGCGCTTACAGACCTGCGCATTTTTGTTGATACGGCCCTAGACGTATGTCTTGCACGCCGTCTGTCGCGCGACATTGTATATCGAGGCCGTGAAATTGCGCTGTCTGTTGTCCAGTGGCAGCGCTTTGTCAAGCCCAACTTTGAGCAGCATGTGCGCCACACTATGTACAAGGCTGACGTTCGAATTCCACGCGGAATCAATAACGTTGTAGCACTAGACATGCTTGTTGCCCATATTCAGCGGCAACTGGCAAAAAAGTCTGCTAAGCATCTCAACCATTTTCTCGCACTTTCTGGACAGCGCCGGGGATCAACAGCATCAGATCTCAGCGAACCTTTGGAGGAGCCTCTTCCACATAATGTGGTTTTAATTGACCAGACACCACAGGTCCGTGGTATGCATACTATTCTGTTGGCATCAGCCACGGATGACAATCACTCACGGGCCGACTTTATTTTTTATTTTGACCGAATTGCGTCTCTGATCGTGACACGAGCACTTGATGAGTTTGCATATGGAGAAAGTGACATTGTTACCCCGACAGGCCACAGTGTACGTGGGGTCGTTCCCATTTCTCTGCCTGCAGCCGTGGAACTTATCCGTGGAGGACAATGCTTTGAGCGAAGTATCCGTAAAACACTTCAAGCAATACCTATTGGCAAGATCCTAATTCAATCAGACGCAAAGACTGGTGAACCACACTTGCATGCACTTAAATTACCACCGTGTCTTGATCCACGCCTAGAAGTTTTGCCTTCAAGTGCTGAATCTTCTGTCCCCTCTTCTTCATCTTCAGCTTTGACTCCTTTCCATATGACTACACCTTTATCTGCAACATCCAGTCGTAGTGGATGCTCCATCAATGAAGATGATCTTGCAGTGCAAGCCCAAACCAAAATCCTACTATGTGAGGCGCAAATGGCCTCTGGTGCAGCGGTTACCATGTCTGTTGCTATCTTGAAAGATCATGGCGTGCGTGAAGAAAACATCATTGTTATTGCATACCTTGCATCTGAAATTGCTGTGCGCAGAATCAGCGTTGCATTCCCTCTTGTAACCATAGTGGTGGGCCTGGTTACACCAAAGATATACCCTAGATTTGTTGATAATGCATACTTTGGCACCATGTAAAGAAAAAAAAATTAATCATTATTATTAAAAAAAAAACTACACTGTTTCAAACTACTTTGTAGATCATTAATATCCTAAACTTCTCATGATGAGATAACCCAGAGTTACAATGATAAGATAGGCCAGAATAGAGGCTGGGACACCACGCGAAATAAAGTTCCCAACGGTAAGGTAAGGTCTGCCAAACTCATCTACCATGCAAATTGCAGTGACGTTGGGGAAGCCGGAAGTTGGAAGACCCATGGCTGCTGAGCACAAAAAGGCGGCGCCCATAACAAGCAAACGTGGGTGTGGATCATCCATACGGGCACCAATAGAAGAAATGAGAGGGAGGATGATGAGAGCAGCGACAGTATGGGAAACAAAAGTGGCGACAATAAGAATCAAAAATCCAAAGACAACAAGGACACCAAAGACACCGAGACCCTTGATAACGTGTTGTTCAATGCCGTGAGCAACAGTAGTCAAAAGGCCCGAGGTGGAGACGGCCTTTCCAAGGGCAATACCACCCATGGCAAGAGCAATAATAGTCCACAAAAAGTTGTTGAAATCGTCCGAGGAAAGAATCTTGGAACCAAAGAAAATGACAATTGGGAAGAGGGCCAAAACGCCCATTTCACCAACATAAGGTTCGAGCTGGTGGGAAAAGCACCAGAGGATAATGGTGATAATTGTAACAATGGAAATAAACCATTGAGTAAAGCCAAAAGTCTCATTGACAATACGAATGGGGGCCGTGACCTTGACATTCTTGCCAGGTTTAAATGTAATTACAAGAAGGGCCCAAATGAGAATGTTGGAAATGATGCAGACAGGGATGGCAACGGCAAACCATTGTCCCCATGTAGGAGCAGGGGTCATGTTTTCCAGAGCAATAATGTTTTGGGGAGAAGCAATAGGAGAAGCCATGCCACCCACATTGGAAGCAAGAGCAATACCCAGAATGATGCCCTTTGCAAATTTGGAGCCTGTGGGGAGTGTGCGTAAAAGGGGTTGTGCGATAGAGAAACAAAGCACGGGGGCAGCAACATTGGAGATCCACATGGACAAAAAGGTTGAGACAAACATAAGGGCAAGAAGCACCACTTTAGGGTTAGTACCTGCACGCGAGAGAATAAAGGTTGCAAGCATCTTGGCAATATTGTACTTCGAAAGAGCAGCAGCCAGGGTAAAGCCACCGAGCAAAAGCATGATAACAGAAGACCACATTTGGGAAAAGATGAATTTAGAGGCATCCGAAGCTGTCATGGGGTTTCCATCAGCATCGCAGGGGATTCTAAGGCAAATGACAAGTAGGGGGACCAAAAGAGAAGTAACAAAGAGTGGCATAGCTTCTGTAGCCCAAAGAAGTGAGGCAGTGACAACAACAGCCAGACAGCGGTTTTGTGGAACAGAATCAAGGGTATTGGTATTAAGAAGGGCAAAGAAGATAATGCCAATAACAAAAAGTTTGATGGCCGAGGCGTTAAAGATCCAGCTTGGGACCTGGTGGCCCAGAATGGTATAGTAAACGACCTTGTCTTCATCATTGTCGGTTTCTCCCTGAAGTTTCACGTCTTTCACAACAGGAGTTGCATGGGCGATACGGTTAATTTCCATTTGGTCACGCCAGACAGTGTTGCGGTCAAAGACAACGCGTTCACGGAGATGGGCCTGGAGCTGGACAAGGCCAGCAGCATCATCACCGTCAGTGACGAGGTTAGAATAGATGGAAACAACCTCTCGAATGCGAACATTTAAGTGTTCCTCAGTACCTAAGCTAAAGACATAAGTTTTGGAGAGGATCTGGTCAAGGTAGCGTTGACGCAGAGACGTGTTGAGAGTCTTGTCAAACTTTTTGAGGGCTTTTGAAAAACCAGTCTTGTTAAGCTGGACGTAGGATCTAAGTTCAGAGAGTGAAACAAAAAGGTTTGTGGCACGAATTTTAAGAGAAATGGCTGTATCGTCAGGCCAATGGGGTGCATCTGGGAGGCTATTTCCAAAGCCAAAGACGGAGAAGGAGCGTTGGCGAGAGCCAGTGCGGTTTCCTGCGCCGGTTGAGACTGATAAGGATCTGCGGTTCCCTGGAGAGACTGAGGAAGAGGAGTTTGAAGGGAGTCTTACGCGTGAGGTAAAGTCAGTTTCGTCTACCGAGTGGGTTCGTGAGTGATGGTGAGAGCGATAGGCTCGGACAGGGGAAGTTGCACGGGAGCCATCATAGGAAGAACGTCGAGTATAAGATCCGGCAAAAGTTCCTGGAGAGGCCGAGAGGACAGAGTTTGCTGAGGAAGGTGGAATGCCAAGCTGGGATGCCTGGCGAGAGAATGGAGGTCGTACTGTTGCTCCTGTGGCAGTGGTTGGAGTACCTGGAGTACCAGAAGAAGCCGCGGTAGCCCCCGAGGCTCCAGAAGCAATGGCGATGGCAGCAGGGTGGTGATGGTTAAGTTCAAGATCGTCATCAGAGTCATCAGAGAGTTCCTTATGGGGATCGGCAAGTTCATCGAGGTAATGCTGATGGTCTTCAATGAGTTGGTCCAAATCGCTGAAAAATTTTTCTTCAGTGTCGGTGTAAAACTCGTTAATTTTGTGGAGCTCAGTGTCGAGACGGCGTGTAAAAGTTTGCGATGGATCAAAGTCGGTTGTTGCAGAGCCTGAGGGACCGTGAATGAGAGCAGTGTGTTCGGTATCATCAGAACCCTGCATTCTACGGACCGACAGCTTCTCAAGAGAATAGATTCTAGGCAAGGTAGTTAGATGGATGTTTCTTTTATTTATTTTTTTTCAAGGGCATATTATTATTATTATTATTATACTTACAATCTCTTGAGAGCAGAGTAATCAATGTACTTTGCAGTCCATTCTGGGACTGTATTATATCTGAGAGACTCGTCGAAACGCATTGTCGGGAGATCAATCAGAGGGATGTCGTTGGTGAAATCTTCTAGTGGCACTTTTAGGTGGGATTAAAGGTTGTTAGATGGGAAGTGTTTAAAAAGTGCGCACTGGTGATGGTGATGGTGGTGGTGGTGATGATGTTGGATTGGAAGATATTATAATAATAATAATAATAATTATATGTCCGATTTGAAGTATTTTTTTTAAAGAAAAAATAAAATAAAATAAATTCCAAAGAAATTAAAAAAATTTCAACTTTTTTTATATTCATTAATATATATATATTGGCATGAATTTGATCTTTTTCCATTAATTGCCCGAGTTCCGTGCATGAAATGACCCGAAAACTCGTGTTTGATGCTCCGGTCATAGAAACGTGCAACTACATGCGCGGGTACTTATAAGTCTGTAAGCGTATATTTCAGTCCTTTACCTTATATACAGCCATTGTATAAATTTATATTTATTTATTTATTTATTAAATACTTAGCATTTATTACTTAAAAAAAAAAAAAACCTCCTCCAGCAAGATTTCTTTTCCCTCCCACATAAAAAAAACCACTCGCGAGTTGATTTTGTAAATCTCCACCATACGGAAATTCAACAATTAGTTTCTTTCCATAATAATATCGCAGATGACTGTCATTGTCGCCTCAATGTGAGTTCGTCGTCATGCGGAATTCGAATTTAATGCTAACAAAAACCTCAGATTTCTTCCGTATACAGTCAGGTTTGACCTCTCGCAATGCGCGACGGCACCGGCGTCGTCCTCGTCTGGGCCATCATCTTCCTCCACTACACATATGGCCCCGCCTGTTTCTCCGGGACTCGTAAACACAGGTGGAACCATTCATAACCATGGATTTCATGCCCCAAACATTACCCAAGATACATTTGCTCCAGTTACAGCTCCCGATGAAGGTTCTCCAATTCTCTCGGTGGCTCCTGCATCCATCACCACACCAGTTTTGGCCCCTACTTCTTCTGCACCTACCAATACTACCCCGTTAGAAGAAAAACGTTCTGTAGCCAAAGCTTTAATCCCAGATATTGTCCAGTCAATGGACAGCAGTAATCCCCTAGCAGCGAAAAAGGAACTGAAACCAACGCTTGCTCAAGAGCTTTTCTTTGGTCCCATAGTCGACACAAAAGACGCTCCTGAAAGTGTAACAAGCGACCCAAATCGTCGCAGAGGTGAACTCCCAAAGGCAAAAGATCCATCAGCACCACCAGCACTTTCTCCCCATGACCCAGTTGATCCTATTGAGTCTGCAGATCCACCAAACCCATCTTCTGGTGCAATGTGTGTTCCAATTGAACTCTCACAGCCGCAACAGCAAAACCAACCTCTTTTCAACAATGCATCATCTTCCCTCTCTTCTACATTATCCTCTCAATCAATGGCCCGTACTCTGCTGCTTGAAAAAATGTCTATACATTCTGCAAGAGCCCGCTCTCGTAAACACACCTCATCCGCAGACTTAGCTGCTACCCTAGAAAAAGTCCCCTGGAACGTCGAACTACAGCGAGCAGGTAATGGTGGCCTCAAAAATGCCATTCGCCGCTCTCTCGCAAAGGACTGCATCGATTCAGTTCGATGGGTAGGTTCTCCCAATCTCCCCCTCGAGTCAATCACCCCTAAAACTAGAGAAGCAATTTCTGAAAAACTCTTAAATTCCTACGACTCTGTTCCAGTATTCGTCCCTGAAGATACCTTTGAAGGAGCCTATGCTACATACTGCAAAAAAGTCCTCTGGCCAACCTTTCACTACCAAGTCCCTGAAGATGCAATTCTCCAAACAGCAAGTGATAAGTCTTGGGAACACTACCAGCAATTTAACAGAGCCATCGCAGATGGGATCCTCAGTATTTATAAAGACGGAGATGTCATCTTTGTCAATGACTACCACCTTCTTCTCGTCCCCCAAATGCTCCGTGAAAAACTCCCAAATGCCAAAATTGGCTTTTTCCTTCACGTTGCATTTCCCTCCTCTGAGGTCTTTAGGGTTCTCGCTGCCCGGCGAGAAATTCTTGAAGGTCTAATTGCCGCAAATTCCATTGGCTTTCAAATCGACGAATATGCCCGTCACTTTATGCAAACATGTAACCGCATTCTCATGGTCGATACAACCCCGTCAGGAATCCGCATGAATAACCGCTTTATCTCTGTTAATGTTAATCCCATTGGCATGGACTCTGAAAACTTAGAATCTTATCTCACTAATCCTGACGTCACAAACTTTATCACTTCTATTCGTAGAACTTTTGGCCACTTTGACCACATTTTTGTCGCCCGAGATAAGCTCGACCCTGTTCGAGGTGTCAAGGAAAAGCTTGAAGCTTATGAGCTATTTCTTCAAGAGCACCCTGAAATGATTGACAAGTGTGTTCTTATCCAAGTGTGTCTAATGAACAAGGCTAATCCAGAACTCGAACGCTCTGTTAATGTTATTGTTGACCGCATTAACTCTCTTAGAACAAACTTTGGTGCAATGAGCCCAATAGTGTTTCTGCATCAAGATATTGAGTTCTCCAGGTACATTGCTCTTCTCTACGAAGCCACTGGATTTGCTGTCACCTCTTCTAGAGAAGGCATGAATCTTACATGTCACGAATACATTTTCTGCAACGACCGCTATGGCCCTCTCATTCTTTCTGAGTTTACCGGTGCTGCTTCTGAACTCCAGGACGGTGCAATTACTGTCAACCCTTGGGACAAACGCGAAATGGCAAATGCTTTTTATCTCGCAGCAACCATGGATAATGAGTCCAGACGCCAAAACTGGGAGCGTTGCTACGAACACGTTATTCGCCATACTTGTGTAGACTGGATCATGGGGGTTCTCAATGACCTAGACGCTGCTTGGAACGAGGAACAACGTCGCGCCGCTCAACATGTCCCGCTTCTTGATACACTCAAGCTTATTGAAGATTACCAAGGCCACCCCAATAAAAAACGCATTTTTTTCCTCGACATGGACTCGGCCATTGCCGCTCTGCCGCCGCCTGCACCTGCCACCGCTGCTGCCGCTGCTACGGCTGCTGCTACTTCTGCCAGTCCAAGCTCTCAAAACTTGTCGGCTTTGCTGACCCGGCCACATATTCGCCGCACTTCCAGTACGGTTTCACTTTTCGACAAGATCGAGCCTGAGCTACCAACAATGGGGTCTTTTAAGCGGTCCCGCGAAAATTCAAAATCCGTCACCAATATCGTGGACCTTATCAACCTAGACCCATCATCTTCTTCCTCCTCCCCCTCCTTGCGCAGACTAAAACCACCCCTTATTAATCGTTTCAGCAGCTTTGAAGGACGCGCCCTCCCCGATGCTTCTTCTTCTGTTAGCAGTGTTGCGGCTGGGGATTTCAAACCCTCAAAAGCATTTTTATCTCCTCAACGCAAAATTTCAGCTCTTTACGAGCTTGTCAACGACCCTCGTAATGTGGTCTACGTTATCTCTAGTGATTCCAGATCTTCGCTTGCACGTCTCTTTCGCCGCGTCCCTCGCATTGGCCTTATTGCTGAGGATGGTGCCTACATGCGCCGCTTCGATCAAGATAATCCCTCATGGGCATGGCTCAAGGGCTCCACCAACCCTGAAGAGCCAGAAGACGATTGGGTTGAACTTATTGATTGGGACAATGTAAATGAGTGGAAAAAAATGATGCTTAGCATGCTTAAAGATGCTCGAGAACGTCTGCCCAGTATGGATATTGAGGAACAGGATACTAAAATTATTCTCAACCTTGCCCGTGCTTTACCTAACACACCCTCTGCCTCCTCTCCTCCAATCAGAAAACTGGTCCAGCTTGGAGCCGGCCTGGAGCCGCGTTCCGAGGCAGAAGAGCGAGTTTTCCAAGTTATTGGCGAAGTTGTTTCCCATGTCAATGACGTCTTTGAGTCTAGCTATAATGTCCACGCCCGTTTTGACAATGCCTCCAAAACGGTTGAAATTTCAAGCGAGTCTGCATCAAAGCTAGGTGCCATTAAACGTGCGTTTTATGAAGAAGTTTCCCGGGCCGCTGGCGAGTCCTATGTTACTTCTACTACACTTGAAGACTCTTCTCATGAAGATTTGTTTTCTCCAGCAAGTTGTCAAGGCCCTACGCGCCTAGCCCATAGTCATTCCATGGGCCACATGCACAAACCTCATTCTCTTGGCCACGTTCTCAGCCATAATGGATACTACTCAGCACGAGGAAGCATCTCTGCCGGATCTGGTGTTGGTTCATCTATATTCACCACACCATTGTCGGCACCGATTAACCCCGGATCGGCACCAGATACGCCTCTTTCGGCAGCTAGCGGGACAAGCGAACCAAAAGAGGTTTTTGAGCTGGTTTTCATTGCGGCTGAAGGCGGTGACCAGGAAAACGATATGGTTTTGGAGTGGGGCAACAGTCTACGGAACGGGTTTGGCTTGACCGATGGTGCAAAGGCTGGGAGTGGAACGGGTGCCGGTGGTCCGAGCAACTCTGATGTTTTCGGTACCCCATCCAGTGCTGCTACGGCGGGTGGGAGTGCCTGGGGGACCCACTCCGCGGCGAGTGTTCTTTCACCTTCTCCTCGTGCTTATAGTGTCTCATCGCCTTTTGGGCTTCTTGCGCTTGATAATTCGGATATCAACTTGGCAGGCCAAGCACAACAGCACCAACAAACTGAGCAAGCAGCGACCCAGCCTTCGGCATCTTCTTCCGGGTATGTTTCGACTCCTTTGTCAACGTTGCAAGAAGGCTTTACTATATCTGGTACTCCAGAAGAATCATCCCCACAATCAGCAATAGGGTCTGTTCTTCCATTCCCTTCATTCCCACCACCTCCACCACAAGCATCGTCTTCTGTTTCCTCGCAGTATACTTCTGGCAGCTCGCCAAATGCACCTGCCATCAATCTAGGCAGTTCGGCCACACCGCCGCCGGCACCATTGCAAACAACACTAATGCGTCGCTCCTCGTCCATTGCCAGCCGTTCAACTGTTTTTGCAGCAGACTTGGGTCTGTCGCAGCAAACTTTTCACACAGAAACTCAGTCTCCTACATCCATGTCCCCGGCATCCCTGTCGCCAGCACACTCTGGGTCGCCTCCTTTTGGGCTTCAGCAACAGCCTAAGCTTACTCTCACCACAAGTGGAATTACTCGCGGGCGCCGAGGCACAGGTCTGGCCCCTCATCACTCTGGAACTAGTGGTGTTGGCGCCAGTACGTTGCTTGTATCTGAGCCTGCTGTTTACACTGTTTCCGTGGGCGGGACCGGAACCTATGCCGAAAGCGAGGTAGACGGTGTTAACGGATTGTTGACTGCCATTATTAACGCAGTTCGCGGCAGCATTGGCAGCGCCGGAAGTACAGGGAGCCTTGGGACTGGTTGGAGTGCTGGGGGTAGCTCCAGTGCAAGTGCAAGTGCAAGTGCTAGTGCCAGTGCCAGTGCTAGTGCTAGTGCAACGGTCAGTGCAGGAAGCGAGACAAGTTCTCGAGGAGGCGCTAGTAGCTCTCGAACTGCGGAAAGCCAAGAAGGCAAAGATCAGTACGTGTTTCCCGAGACTGGTGACGATTTCTGGGCTATTTGAAGTTGAATTATTATTTTAATTTTTAATGTTTTATTGAAATTATGAATTGGCGTTTTTTTTTCTTTTTTTTAATTTTTTTTTTTTTAATTTTATTCAAATTGAATTTTTTTTTTGTTTAACTTTACGCGCAGGTACAGAAACAAAATGCTCCTTCAACCTAAAACTTTCTTTAAGCATCGTTTCTACGCTTGATCTTACCAATGTTGGCATTATACTCTTCTTCCTTGAGAAACACTGTCACCACAGTTTCATTTGAATATTTGCTGTTGCCCAGCGTAAAGGCAACGTTGCTATCCATCAGGTATGTTCGAATTCCCTGTGATCCATGTCGAACTCCCTTGATAGGAACTACCTGGTGCGTGATGCGCTTTAGGCTATATGCAACAAGCTTTTTGTCCACAGGCAGTTCTGAGCCATAATAGTAAAATCCAGCTGTTACTTGGTCGTACTCGTTCCCTAGACATGCAATATGTTCTTGTTCCTTGGTTACTTCGCAAGCATTTCTCTTTTTCAATTCACGAGGAAACTTAAAAGCACTGGTGGCTAGACTAATAGGCTCCAACTTGGTGCTAATGACTCGCCGCCCTACCGCGAGGTAGTACGTTGTGTCATTGTAAGTGCACTCGACAAATGCTTCCGAGTGCAAAAATGTGAGCGGCGATGCAGCAACACGCGGTAAACATAAAACTGACCCGGCAGTAATTGGCTCCCGACCTGACCCAAATTCCAGTACGGAAAAGTTGCGTGTGACGGCCCCAGCCTCGATATCTTGGACTTTGGTACCGCGGTCTGTATGAATAATAAACTTGACAACTGCTTTCAAAATACCTTGAGATACACTGGAGCCTCTTGTAGAAGTTTCAAAAGGATGAGAAAAGTAAACAGAACCCATGGGAGTATTTTCCTGGGGGAACTTGGAAAGCAAGTGGTATGCAATATCTTGCTGGAAGTTTGAGTTTTCATTGGGTGTTTGGTGAGCTAAGCCAAAACTGCGAATTGGTCCAGATTGTTCGATAATGTCGACGAGATGGTACAGCATATGAAAATGAATATCTGCCACCGTTTTGGGTGCAGGGTGTCCAGGCAAAACATACTTTTCAAAAAGTGCAAGACCAGCACAAATCATTTTGTGGTAAACGGACAGATACTTTTGTTCAATCTCTTCGCCCATAAGAGCCTTGCAAACAATACTTAAGAGTAAAAAAGTAGTGCATATTTCTGTCATGTTTTCAAATTCCATGAACAGAATGGGGAAAAGATCCAAAAGATCGCGAAACATGGCAATATTCATGTCTTTTAAGTTTCCTTTCATGAAACTTTCCAAGGGGAGTTGAAATTGCGCCCGCAAAATGATTTTTTCCAAAATTCTTTTGTTTGAGTCATCCAACAAAGTCGAAGAACTTCCATAGCTGGGATCCAGAAATAAAGAAAACATTTTTTTAAAAATGTTTTCAAAAAAGAAAATGTCATCAATAGGTAAACAATAAGGTAAAATTGTAGAAAATAAGTTGTGGATTGGAGAAATAAAACCAATTTCTTGTTCTTTAGCATTTTTCAACCACTTTTTGTCTTTTCCAAGTCCGAAATCTCGGCTGGTTGTTGTTAAGCCCTCAGGCCCACACTGGACTTTACAAAAGTTGCAAGGCATTACTTGGGGCGCAAACCCACTTAGTGGGTTCCCACAAAAAAATGGTACAATGCACCTCACTTGGATCTCTGTTTTGGTGTACCCATCGTAGACTTGCACCCCATCCTGCGCCCAGCGTTTAAAATCATCCATCATTGGTTGCAAAAAGCTCTCTGAGGTCTGTTTAGAACTGTGGGGAACAGACATGAGGGGGATCACGAAAAATGGGTTAAGCCGTGTGCCTACCGGCAGATTGTGGATGACAGCGCTATAGAGAACAAAAGTACCGTGGCTTGAGGTGCAGACGCTGCTGTGGCAAGATAGGACAAGTTGCAACGAATCCTTTGACTTTTCAAAGTAGTGTGGCGCACCTTCTTTAGATTCATAGCGTCCTGTTTGAGAATTTTTGATTTTTATCTGGTGCTTGAATAAACTTTTGAAAAGTTGGCCGTCAAACACATCACGGATCTTTGAATCTTGAGAGTAAGCTGGTAAAAATCTCATAATTTTTGCAAACACTCGGTCCTTGAACAACTCCCGAATCCGTAACTCGGGCTTAAAGTAGTAATAGCAACAGTTAGGGTCCTTGGGGATTTGGCAAAGCGTACATTCCTTCAAATGAGAGTACGGCCCAGTAAAAGCCATGCATCCTTTAGAGCAAAAAGCTGTTTGTACCGAGTAGTTTTCAATTAAATTTCCCTTTTCTAAGTTTTTAAGAAAGTTTTTAAACCCCTGATAAGCGTCCCGATAATGGCCAACATCTTGGTGTTTTGATATAACCTGAGCACCATCACAGTGAACCTCCAGACACTGTTTGGAGAAAAAGGCATGGTCATTTTTTACCAAAGCAATAAAGACTTCTTTACATGAATCCATTATAATGTCACCCCTGTACTGAGTTTGTGAAATAGTTTTGAAGGGATTTGTAAGACTTGTCTTTTTAGTAGAGTTAGTCTGGGGGTGATTATGATACGTTGGTGGTTCCGGAGAAGGATTGTTCATTGGCAAACAAAGCTCTGAAATTCGAATAGCTCTGAAATTAGTTGGCGAAGGTATTGGTTCCTGACACTGCTTTAGTACCTTTTGAGGCAGCGGATGTCTAGCATTTTGTTTTTGATTTCCCTCATCATCTTCTGATTGCCATTTATTAGAGTCTTTTGGCAAAGACGATTCACAATATGTTAGCGAATTCATTTGAATTTTAGTTTATTCATTAAAATAAAGGGGTAAAAGTTAGAGTAAAAAAAAAAGATAAAAAAAACAACTTTTATTTAAAAAAAATGGATGATTTGCGCAACATATACTTTTTTACTTACAATATGCAACTCGCCTTAAAATCTTTCTTAGCAATTTGTTTTTTATTTATTTTTTTAACCTACAATTAAGTTTTCTTGTTGCCACATTTGCCCTTTTTGCCGCCTATGTACCTTTAGAAAAGAATATCATTGCACTTATATTTGGTTTGGAAAGGCTTGTATCTTTAACATAAAATTTTATTGAAGATAGGTAGCTTTGGTATTGAATAACATGATTTATAAAAAGTTATAAATATTCTTATAAATCCATAAATTAAAATTATATATGTATTTTTTTATTGTAAAGCGAACATTTATTGATATTAATATCAATAAATGCTCGCTTTTGAATATAAAAAAAAAGAATTTGAAATGTAAAATAGAATGTTTTAAATCCAAAAAGCGTATTTAAATTATTAGATTTGGCAGGTTTCTCCCTTCTATAATACTACAGTGAGTGAGACAAAGACCCCAATTGGTCCTAATTTCATTGAGTGGAAAATATAAATAAGTGGAATTAGAAAGGTTAATTAGTTTTGTTGCTCACAAACAATGAAATTGTATAATCTGATAAGACCTCTTTGCAATGGAGTCTCTTTACTAATCATATTCACATTTAATCTAGATTTTTTTTTGTTCTACATTTGAATGAATAAATTTTGTCTAAAATGTTTAAAAAAAAATTGTATTTATATACAATTTTCTTAAAAATCAATTAAGAGTAAACATAGCGCATTAAATGAATAACAGAATCAAAAAAAAAAAAAAATTAGACTAACTTTAATAACATTGTATATAGGACTATAGAATTTTAAAATATATATATTGAACTGATCATCAACTAAGTCATAAAAAAAATCATTTTGTTGCGGATAGTTTTCTAAACTTAACATTTTCAATTGGCCAAAATTAACCCTAACCACAATGTGAAAAAAAATTGCATGGAGAAAACAAAAATGGTTGCAACTTCATGTCATCACCAACTTGTTCATTTAAAGTTAAACATAAAAAAAAAAAGTGACATATAAATACCTTAGATAGCAACCACAACGGGATACTTTATTTTTTTTTATCAAATTAAAAAATTCAAAAGTTTGTAGAACAGGAAAACGTTTAATAAAATTATCAAAATATTAATATCAAGTTTCAATCTGAATAAGCGATAAAAAATACAAAAAAAACCTTTTTTTTTTTTTTTTTTTTTTTTTTCAAATATGAACAAGTAATAATAAGCGATCAAAGACATTATTAACACACCTACAATGGCTTCGGTTCCTTTTAACAATGGAGAGGGGGAGAGAAAATGATACAAAATGTGGTGGTATGATCGACATAATACAACCAGAAAAAAAAATAGAAACAATGAACATGATTTTGTAATAATCAGGGGGTTATAAGGAAAAAAAAAACCCTTTTTGAAGAGATAAATTCAAAAAAAAAAAAAAAATAAAAAACAATCAAAACGATTTTCTAACTCAAGAGTTCAATTTTAAAGCCAAATAATAGCCAGAGACTCATCTATCCACTTGCTGAACCAAATAACTTTGAATTCAAACACGGAACTTAAGTATCACAAGTTCACTGGAAGTTATGCTTTGCTTTGCTGCCAGCTGAACATCATTGGAACATTACCGATTAGAGCTGGTTTAGAAACTTTGAATCGTAGTTTAATCTTAAAGAACTTATTGCTTTATCTTAGTGTTATAGGTGCTCCTTGCTGCTGCGTTATAGCATGGAGCCACAATCCAACTCAATGCTCAAGTGTCGCGTTTCACATTTCGCGAGGACCAGTCCAGTGCCCTAACCACGCAGTACATGGTGCGGCTAGGGTTCCAGGATACACCTAGCGAACAACGAAACTAAGTCTATGGAGAAGGGGTACTACAATACTGACACATTTAGTTCTGATTCAAGTCTGTGAAATTTTGAGAATCTGACTGAAATTAAAATCATTACAAAGATTAGAATTAAAAAAAGATGGTTGTATGAATTTTTAAATCTTCATTAAGAGTTTATTCATATGATAATGTTGACTTACTAGTGCTGACAAATTACTTAAAGTCTTCAGTTTATATTAGTTTGTAGTAGTAATGTGAACACACTATAGTATTCTCCAGAGTAAAACCTAACAAGATATATTTTCATTTAGAATACTTTATGATAATGGCAATATCAAAATTTAATTTTAGATGCAATAATTGAATTCATAAGTTTAGCTATCAAAAGATATATTAAAATGCTTATCTATGTCTATTAAGTTTGTTTACTACTTAGGGGTATACTTGAGAGCCTCGTCACGGTATTTGTATGGAGTCTCGTAAATTTCGGAAAGGGGCTTTTCATTAATCACAGTGTCAAACCAGTTTTTGATTCCCTTGTGCTTGCTCAAAAACTCCTTGTCCCAGATAGTCTTGAAAGCAACTTCAAGCAGACCGACAGTCACGTAGTCAGCGACAGTTGCATGGTCACCGACAATGTAACTCTTGTTCTCGAGGTGAGCCTCGAAGTAGTCAACAAAACGAGCTGAAGCGGCAATGGCAGCTGCGTGAGTTTCAGGAGTGTAAGGAAGACGACCAACAAGGGGGAGAATAATTTCTCGGAGAGATCCCCAAAGATCGGAGTTGGCAAAAGAGATCCAGCGAAGAATATCAGCACGTTCTTTCAGAGTCTTGCCAATAAGCTTGCTTCCATCTTCAGAAAGACCAGCGACTAGAAACAGTGTTAACAAAATGAAAATAAATAAGGGTTAAAAAAATACATACGGTAGTAGGAAATGGCAATAAGCTCGTGGAGAGCAAATCCATCAGCACCAACAAAAGCAGGGATCTTGCTAAGAGGGAAGTTCTTCTTAAACTCTGGGTCCTCATCAGGGTTTGTGACAACCTTGACGTCAAGGTTAAGAGCCTTGATGATGGCGAGAGGAGCAGTCTTTCTGCCACTGCCCTGATTTAGAAGTTAGATCTGGTAATAAAGGAAAGGAAAGAATTAAATTAAGACATACTTCGCGAATGTAAAGAGTTCCAAGAGACATTTTTAAATTGAGTTAATTAAAAGAAATTAGGGGTATTAAGAAGGTTGATTTATATATGTATATAAAAATTGAGAATAGTATTAAGAGTGTTGAAATAAATAAGCTGATGAAGAAGAAAGAAAGAAAGAAAGAAAAAAAGGGAGAAAAAGAAGAATTGAAAAAAAAAAACAGGAATTTTAGCTTCCTTTTAAATCTTTTCTATGGTCAATTGAATTCTAAATACTCATGACCAATTGCACAAACGGTTGTTGTGATTTTTAAACAAACTGATGAGCTTTTTTTCAAAGCAATTTGCGCTATCGATGGCTAAAGTTTCACAAATCAAAAGCTAATGATGGATTTTTTTTATTATTATTTTGTATTTTTATTTTTAGAAAAGCATTTGATGGACCTCCGAGTGGTGCGGCTGATTGTTATGCAAGCCGCTCGCTTCCAGTAACTTTTTTTTTTTTTTTTCATCCTCAACGATTTATCAAATCATTTCTTTTAACTAAAAAAAAAACCCTCCAAGAAAAGAATCAATTTAAAAAGATTAATAAAAATATAATATATAAACTATAGAAATCTTCATATACTGTTTTAATTAAATAAAAATTATTCAGTCAAGCTTTATTAAAAAAAATAATCTTTTCAAAGTTGGTTTATTAAAATAAAAAAGTCCCCAGCCAATACTCATCATCATCATCATCATCTTCGGACTCCGTTAGTTACCCCATTTGTCAATCACATGTCATCATCATTCTCCTAATTATTTATATTTATTTATATTAAATTAAATAAATTAAACAAAAATTTCCAAAAATTACGTGCTTTCATTCCTTTTTATTAATCATCAATCTTTAGCATACCACTGAAGTCCATGCTAAAATCATTCTCCACTATTTCGCCCAACTCTTTATATGAAAAATACCTGTACCCAACCTCCGTGGCATCCTGGCCACTCTTCCAATAATCATGAAATGGTTTTGTCGGGTCATGAGTAAAGTCCACCAAACACTCGGCAAAAAAATTACTAATTTCGGTGTTATATTCAAAAGACAGTTGACGCCTTCCCTTTTGGATCGGGAACCCCAGTCTAGGGAGTGTAACAATATCGAAAAGGAAGCTCTGCTGGGGCAGCAGGGTCGAAATAAGAACTTTTTTGAATTTGTGAGTGCTGGGGTATTCTCCCTCAATCAGCTTGTGAAGAACGGAAGAAAAACAAGGCATTCCGTAATAATGGACATGAAAATGGGTGATGTGTTCCATAGATGCCATGGATTTCATATACAGTTCCACTGTTGATATATGACCGAAAAACTGGGTCGGAACAAAGGATTCATCGTAAAGTTTTACAAGTTTCGAAATATAACCCAAAAGCGACCAGTCCATCACGTTCTTGAGTTTGTCAAGATTTTCAGGCGATAGAGAAGAGAATGACGGTTTCTTGGAATTATATCGGTGGCCTGAAGTGGTCTGGATAAACTCGCTAGCAAGATCATAAAATTCCTTTACATCAGGAGGGGATAATTTTGGGTCGCGCTTGCTAGCAAGAGAATCAGAAAAATACCTGCTAAAATGGGATGATACCGCAGGACAATGATTAGGAACAAAAACCTCAAAAACACGGATTGTCTTCAAATTGTTTATAAAGTTCAAAAATGATGTATCGGGATCCAAGCTTATTTTGCCTTCGTTAAGCAGTATGGATACTCGAGTGATTGCAGATCCCACTTCACTAATGGTAGGGAAGCGAAAGACAGCAGCGCCAGGACCCAACTTGATAGCTTTAATATTGGGCATTTTGTAAACCTTAAAAAGGAGCTTAATATCAATCTCTGGATGGGCAATGTAAATGTCGGTAAATACTGTCATTGGCTTGGATTTATATAAATCATCTAAAGATTTCTCAACAAATCCAGTACTTTGGTGTGGCAGAAAATTTTGGAAAATGTTAAGTGAACCATTTTATAGGTTTTCAAGCTTAAGATCGGACAAATGTGAAAAGGATTCCAGCACGCTTATTTTGCTTTCTCCCACATGTTTGAAACTAAAGTATGCAGTTATGGCAAGCTCTTTGATGCTTTGAAGATTATTGATACATTTGATTATCTTCTCTGCCTCGCTTTCAGCAACACTGTTAATGCAAAAGCACAAAACAGTAAGCCTGTCCATATTTCCCGATAGATTTGGCAATGAATAGTATTGGCCAACTGACAGCATGTGGAAGTAGTTACGGTCAATGTTACAGGACTTTAAGTTTTCTCGGCCATGCTCCGTATCGTTGTCTCTATATCTGACATCACAGTAGATTGGAACAGGTCCTGCTTTGATGGATGAGAATAGTTTAGAATTATAAAATTGGTCATAGCAAACTGCAGGCAAAAATTTAAAGAAAATTTTCTTGAGATTGGGGAATTTAGAAAAGTCAAATGGGAATTGGAAAAAAGTATAACCAAACATTGCATGAATTTGGAATGGATTAAAGTATAATGTTTCAATAGATTCCGTAGGAAGCCAGCTGTACCTTTCAGGGAACAAGAGCGAAAGAATTGGGACTGAGCGCCGGGGACTGGAGGTGGATGGAGAATAACATATGACGACTACATGAGCCCAAGCCAATGGCTGATATATTTTTCTGAGAATATCGGAGGCCTTGCTGACAACAATCTTGTCATTGAGTCTGAGATACTCTGCAAGTTTGAGATGCAGGTCATAAGGGAGGTCAATTAAAGAGACAATTGTAAATGAAGGATTAAAGTCTAAGAAAACTGTGACACCGTAGTTCTGATGTTTATTTTAGTTATGAATTTATAATTTGAAATGATTAGACTCTATGTTCCCATCGACACGGGTTGTTTTCCCTTTAATAACTTCCTCCAAATGTGTTGTCTAGATATTAGTGGTGTTGGCAGTGGAATGTATTTAGTCCCTGTTATGTTTCATTGATCTGATACAGCTTGAAAATTGAAAAATTGAAAAATTGAAAAAAATATAAACAAACAAAAAATTTAATTACATTTTATTGTAACATTTATTGTAACACATTAGCCGCATGTGGCTTGTGATTACGCCAACACACGTGATTTACCCAAACACCGTTGGGCTTTATGGCTTGTTTGTTTTTGGACTACCGTCAGTGGGTCTCCCCCCAGCAGGCCAGCCAGCCAGCCTATATAAAACCGCCATTCCCACCAGCCTTTTATTTTGGTCCCATCCTTTTTCTTAATTTTTTAATTTTTTTTTAATATTATTCTATTCTTTTTTTTTTTTTCTAAAAATCTTTTTTTTTCACCTCATTTATAACTCCCAATATCCATTCTATCTTTTTAACTTCTAATCCTTATACCACTATGAGTGCCATTCTTAGACGTTCAATTGCTGTTGCTACTCGCGGACAGCTTCGCGCCACTTCTTCCCGCATTGCTCAACCCAGCCGCGTTCTCGGGTTCCGTTTCAACTCCACCTTCAAGCAAGAGAACCAGGTAAGTAATAATGTTGTTTAGATGCTCATGTTAGATTTTCAATCTCAATTTCAATTGGCTAATTTTTTTTTATTTAGCCTCGCATCAGAATTGGTTCTGAAGCTCCTAACTTCAAGGCCATCACTACCCAGGGTGAAATTGACTTCCATGACTGGATTGGCGATTCTTGGGCCGTTTTGTTTTCCCATCCCGCTGACTTTACCCCCGTCTGCACCACTGAGCTTGGTGCCTTTTCCCAGCTTGCTCCCGAGTTTGCCAAGCGCAACACCAAGCTGATTGGTCTTTCTGCCGACCCCTTGGAGGACCACGTTAAGTGGATCAAGGATATTGAGGATGTAGCAACCAACGGCTCGCCGTTCCAATTCCCTGTCATTGCCGACACTGACCGTAACGTTTCGTTTTTGTACGACATGGTTGACCAGGCCAACTTTGAGAAGCTCGACAAGGGAATTGCCTTCACTATCCGCAATGTCTTCATCATTGACCCTTCCAAGAAGGTCCGCCTGTTTTTGGTCTACCCTGCCTCCACTGGCAGAAATACCGCAGAGGTTCTCCGCGTTTTGGATGCTCTCCAACTCACTGATAAGGCTGGTGTCGTCACTCCTGCCAACTGGGCTCAAGGCCAGGATGTCATTATCCCTCCTAGCGTCTCCAACGCTGATGCAAAGGCCAAGTTTGGCGACTTTAAGGAGGTCAAGCCTTACCTCCGCTTCACCAAGGAGCCCACCGTCAAGTCCTCGTTTGCTGGCTCATCCGCAGGACCCACTGCTGGTTTCATTTTCGCTGCCGCTGCCGCTGCTGGTGCCTTTGCTCTGACTCAGGTTGACGACAAGGATCAGGCTAAGGTTGCTCAGCTTAAAGGTGTTTTTGAAAAGTAAGCAAAGAAAGAAAAATCTGTTTTTTATTATTATTATTACTATACATAAAATTTTTTTTTGTTTGAATGAATGAATAATGACTTATATATATATATATATTTTTTTTTTCTTTTTTTTCTTTTTTTTTTTTTCTTCTTCCAGATTGAAAAACCAAGAACCGGTTGATGTGGCCATGGAGTTAGGCACAAACGATCCAAAGTCCGAAGCCGAGTGGGACCGATTGTTCAAGCACCTCCGTGAAACCCCAGAGCTCGTTTATACACCGAAATCGCAATCACCAAAGAAATGAGCCCTAAGAAACTAAAAATTGGCAAAATATTCACGAGTTTGTTTCTCGCGGCCCAATCTCAATTGTTCTTGTTCTTGTCGTTGTTGGTGCTGGTGCTGGTGCTGGTGCTGGTGCTGGTGCTGGTGCTGCTGTTGTTTCAGTTGCTCTTCGCGTTGCTTTGCTCGAAGTTTCCGCTCCTGTTTCCGTCTAATGTTAGCCTCAGCTTGCTCATTCTGAGCTCGAAACAAGGCTTCAGTATCTTCGCCTTCTCCTCCATAATGTAAAACAATTGGTAATCTTCGTTCCTCAACTTGTAAACCTCTTCCTCCACCATCTTCTCTTTGCATAGCACATCCTCCAGTTACCCCGCTCATTTGCATCGTAGCAACCATCTCGGCCTCTGCTTGTTTAGCAGCAGCCGCTGCAGCTGCACGTTTGGCTGCCCGTTTTTTAGCAACTGCGCGTCGTCGCCGCTCTAGATCAGCGTCTTCTTCCTGTTCACGTTTTTCACGCTCTGCTTTTGTTTCACGTCGGTGTCGACCCAGACTCATAATTGATCGGATGCTATTCTTCTTCTTTAGTGTATCGCGTTTTTCCTTTTCTTTTTCCTTTTCTCGAGTAGAAGACTGCTGTTTTTTGTGGTCACTATGCTTTGTAGACTCATGATGATGGTGATGATTTTGTCGAGATGTATCGCGAGATGAATGATGTTTATGAGAATCTCCATCTCTGTGTCTTCTTTCAACTTTTTCTCCATCTCGGTGCCTTCTTTCGACTTTTTCTCCCTCAGATTGTCTTTTCTCCTTCTCTTTCTTCTTTATTTTCTCGTCTTCCTTCTTTTCTTCAACCTTGTCATCATCCTTCACCACAATATCAATCCCATGAAGCGACACACTGCCTACTCTTTTATGAGCACCAGGTCTACCCTTCATCATTATTGAGTTTCCAGAGATTCTACGACTTTCTGGTCGAGACTTTATAGCTGTTGTTGGCCTCTCAACTGCTGAAACAACAACGCTGGATCGCTGAGAATGGATACGTTCAAAGTGCTCCGGAATTTCATCTTCAAGCCGCACATATGCTTCCCATTTGGCACGCGGGCTTCCAACTTCTCCGCTGCTCACTGCTCTCTGGATAATTGGGGAACTGGATTTTGAAAAAACACCGTCCAAGTTGAGCTCAAGAATTTGTTCATCTTCATCTCCCTTTTCTTTTTTGTTAGGGGTTTCAATATCTTCTTGTTCCACAACTTCTTCCTCCATTTCGTGATTATCTTGTTTTCTCTCTTCTTCCTCTTCTTCCTCTTGTTCTTGTTCCTTTTCCTCTTGTTCTTGTTCTTGTTCTTGTTCCTTTTCCTCTTCCTCTTGTTCTTCGTCATCTTCGCCATCTTCCTCTTCATATTCATCGTCTTCATCGTAACCATAACTTCTTCCAAAATTCATTCTTCTTACTGTTTGGAAATCTTCCCCGTTATCCAATATAAACAGCTCTTCAACCTCTTCTGGTTGTGTTGGTATTGCCAATGTAGAATCACTCTCCACTCTTGAAAGATTGCCATTCCCTGGGTAATTTTCAACAGACTCGCCTTCTTTTTGATCAAGAATATCATTCCAATAGCTCAGTCTGTTGCGTGGAGTTTCAGAAAACGTAGAGGAACGTTCCCGTGTATTGGTATTGATAGGGGTATTGATAGTAGTGGTGGTAGCAATTGGAACAACAGAAACAGAAGCAACTGTCTCACCAGTAGGTGGCAAGTCTCTTGGACTTGATTCACAAACTAACCCAGCAGTTTGTGGTTTTTTGGATTGACTTTCAAAAGTTTCCACAACCTCCTCAACTTTCAAAGAACTCATATTCAAGAAACTAGCTGAAGATTGAGGCCGAGATTTCAATGACAGTTTAGAAATAGTTCGTCTAATTACCTTCTTCAATCTTGTTTTTTTTAACTTCTCATCTCCATCACCGTCTTCTTCCATTTTAATATTCTCTTCTTTTTTTTCTTCTACTTCTTCTTCTTCCTCCTTTTCTTCTGCTTTCACACTTTCCAACTCCCAGCTTTCAAGAATTCCATGACCTGGCCGTTCAGTCTCATCAAAAGCAGCCCTAATTTCTCGGTACGACGCCACACGGCCTTCTTTTTTATAAGCTTCACCGCCACCTCCGCTACCACCACCACCACCACTTTGAGAGTCTCTGGATGCTTCCACTGCAGACTTGCTTGTTGAACGATCCCCCTTCCGCCGCATCACTACCGTCATCCAGCGCCGCACTGCAACCATTGTCGTACGACGCGTTTGCTGTTCTTGATTTTGATTTTGATTTTGATTTTGATTTTGATTTTGATCTTGGCCCGTCACATTCTTCTTATCTTGACCTTCTCTTGTTGCTGTCATTTCCCTTTGCACCTTCTTGTACTCTCGAACCAAGGCCTGGAGTGCTTCAGACTGAGTAGTATTTTGATTTTCTCCTACCTTTTTCTTTCGTCTTCTTCGTCGTCCTCCTCGTTTGCCATCCCAGCCTTTGTCCTCACCAGCACTATCATCATCATTATCATCATCAAGCCAATCTTCATGATTCTTTAGTAACCGTAAAGGTACTCCATCAGGTGCAGCTTCCGCTGGCGCTTGGGCCAATCGATCCAAATCAATTCCAAAATGGTTCAGAAGGTACAGCATGTATTGAGTTGTTGTTTCATCTGCATGCTTTTGCCGATATTCTGTAGCCGCATCATGGTTTGCAATGTGCGCCTTAAAGCTTTCTACAACCTCCTGGTGCCGGTGAGCCCGTAGATCCTCGTACCGCTCTTGCATTTGCCCAGATGTTAGCACGGGCTCACCAACAACTCCGCGCTTGTTTTGGAAAAACTTTAGCGATGAGGATGTGCTAATTGTGGATCCTGACTTGACACTTGACGGTCGTTTGTGACGTTTGCGAGGCCCAAAGCTCGGGCCCATAACATACTCTGCAGATCCAGGATCTTCTCTTGTCGTTGTCACCACCGACTCAGTTTCAGTTTCAGTTTCAGTTTCTGACTGTTCTTCTTTTTCTTTTTCTTTTTTATTCTCATCTTCAAAACTTGCACATGCACCTTCTTCTTTAGTCACAGGTCGAGAAATCCTTCTTTCTGAGCTTGCACTAGCCGTGGTAGTCGACACAATAGCTGGGCTTTCATTTCCGTACCACGACGAGTCCTCAACCTCAATGGCTTCTCCTTGAACTTCTTCAGGTCTCGGCAGCACTTCATACGATCTCGTAAACCCCAAAAACAAGTTATCTAGCTGGTGGGCCTTTTTGCGCCTGCTCTTGCCCTTCATAAGTAACCTCCCCGTACCCTTATAACTGGCTGCATCATCAAACTTCCCCAGATCTTGTTTACCCGTCACGTCCGGTACCGCGCGCGTGTCAATTCGAGAGGCTACTGAGCGTTGTTGAATTTTTCGCTCTCCACGCGTTGCTGCCCCAACGTGTTTGAATCGTCGGTGCCTGGCCGAGGCCTCCGAGAGAGTACCGCTGCTGTTACTATGACTGTTACTGCTGCTGCTACTGCTGCTACTGCTGCTGTTGCTGCTGTTGTTAACTTCGTCGTCCTCGTCACTACTGCTGGTGTCACTACAACTGCCATTTTCATTTTTGTTAGCGTTGCCAACGTCCTTGTTGTTTCCACTTCCGTGATGTCCCAAATTGGCAAAGTTGCCCACGTCCACCATTCTTGAGTCCACGCCATCTACGCCGTTCATGCCTTTTTTGTTCTTGCTTAAAGATCCAACTGCACACTTTTCCGAAATGGTCCTTTTCCCGCCTCTAAACCCCTCGGATCGTGAATTAGGCCTTGCATCGGTAGAAGATATTGAAATTGATATTGATGGTGATGATGATGGAGTCAGTAGAAAGGGTGGTCGTACTGCTACCATACGGGCAGCTGAAGCTGGGCGACTTCCTGAAGAACTGGGCGGGGCGCTTCTATTGTAGTTGCCTGTAGAACTTGTTGCCGTTACGGTTGCTAGTGTTGGTGTTGCTTTTGTAGCTGTTGCTTTTATAGCTTCAGTTGCAGTTGCGGCTGTACCAGCTACGGATCGAATAATCGGCCCTTCATCGGTCCGTTTGTGTGGGGGGCTTTTCTCTTTGGGCTCCTCCGCATATCCGAAATCCCCCAACACAAACGGCTGCTGCTGCTGCTGTTGTTGCTGTTGCTGTTGCTGTTGCTGCTGCTGCTGCGTCGAGGGCGATGGCGGTGGAGCGTCCAGCCAGTCTTCAACAGCGCTGTTCGACTCGGCAATGGTTTTAGTTCCGAGCTCCGGTTGGCCGTTTTTATTGTTGGCTTTCATTGATGCATCTTTTACAAAACGGCCTTCGTTTACCGTTTCAAACCGTTTAAAGCCTTCCAATTCACTCTGCAGCTTTGGTTTCTGCACCTCTAAATTATTCAAATGCTTCATTTGGAACCCGGTATTCCCACCGGTAAGTCCTTCTGCCCCTACTGCACCTACTGCTGCTGCTGCTGCTGCTGCTGCTTCGTTGTCGTCGTCGGAATCGTCTAGTGACAATTCCAATCGAGTTGGCCTGAACGGTGTTCCTCTTGTAGCTGATGCTGTTACAACCATAGGAGTCGCCAGTCGTCCAGCGACGCTCCGGAACCCGGTTGTCGAGCTTCCAACACCTGAGTCTTCAAACGAGTACGGCGTGTTACCTGCTGCAGTTGTTGGAAATGATCCCGAGTAAGTAGAAGCTGAGTTTCTGTATAATAAAAAAAAGAAAAAAAGAAAAAAGAAAAAAAAGAAAAGAATTCAACCGTTAGAGAAAAATATTCAATCATGTTCAACACACTCAAAGTAGTGTTTTATTTTTTTATTTTTTTATTTTTTTTTTCTCCCTCCATCTTTTTGCCCTTTAGGAAGCCTAACTTACAACACTTGACTGCTATTGTTGCTATCGCTAACGTTGCTTGTACCCGTCAACTTGCCGCTATCATGGCCGTTAGAACTACCGCTATTCCCTGACCCTAAAAACGTTCTTCTTAAAGCATCACGTCGTCGTCGTCTTTTCCTTTGACTACTTGGGCTTTTAGACTGTCCACTATTGTTCCCATTTCTATCAATCTTCCTTAAGTTATTTTTTCCATTTGTTTGTTCTTTAGTATCATTACTGGAGGTGATAGCCCCAGACTTTGTTGTCATGATTGTTTTGGTTTCAATGGCTTCCTCGGTAGTTTCGGTGGTCTCCTCGGTTGTTTCGGTGAGATGCGTCGCCGATTGTTTTAGGCTATGTACTGACCCCACTATATTGTTCTTGGTTTGGGTCTTGTTGACTGTGGAGAAGGAAGAAAAAGAGGAGGCGGGGTTCATGTAGGGCTTCATTTCCCCATTCATATCCCCCCCGCTATTCTGGTTGATGAGTTTGGGATAAGGCGGTGGCTGTAATGGAGGAGCTGAAGATGAAGGAGCAATTTGGCTTGCTCGTGTTGCTGCTGGATTTGTATGGTCATTAGTGTTGTCTGAACAGCATGCCCAAGTAGGACATGAAAAAGAAGACATTATTTGAGACTTTTATAAGCAGTGTTGAATTTGGTGATTTTAATAGAAAAGAAGAAGAAAAAAAAGATTAAAAAATTGGAAGAAGAAGTAAAAAAAAAAAAAACAGAAAAAAACAGAAAAAAGAACTACTTTGGTGGAGTTTTACAAGTTGAGGCCATTCACAAAATACCAATTTAGGAAATATATGCAAACTTTATGACATGAATATATTAATTTTTACATAGTATACAGTATTACTTATACAAGAGAAAGAGAGAAAAAAAAAGACATTAAGATGCAAAGAAAAAACACACAAAAAAAAGAAGCAAAATGCAAATAAAGAAAATTTTAAGTCCAACTCAAGTAAACTTTTTGTTTGCCCAGTTACGCAAACGTTCTCCATAAATGTAGACAAAAATGGGGAAAGGTATGCCCAAGACAAAACAAAGAAGTCCACTAATTGTATTGGCCCAGCCATAGCCCAGCTTGTCATACATGGCTTTTCCAAAGAGCGGGAAACCAAAGCCTAAGAAAGATCTAAAAACCTGGGCAGATGCCATGGACGAAGCCGAGAAGCGCGGGTTCATATCAATCAGGTAGTTTTGAATACACTGAAACACAGCAACAATGCCAAAGGCAAAAATTCCAGTTCCTATGCATGGCATCAACCACATAATTTGGGCCTGAGCACTCCATCCATACCACAATAGTCCAATGCCTAGACATACACCACTTAAGGGAGCCATGGGGATACGGTACTCAGGCTTGGCCACGCCGCCGTTACGCTCAGTCAACTTGAGATAGGCCCATTGGATAATCCATGCCCAAAACCAGAGCCCTAAACAAAAGCCAATGCCCAGAGAAAGGTACATGAGGCCAGCAATGCCGAGGCTAAAGCCATATTTTTCGGTCCATAATGCGGGGAAAGTGACCAGCATCAGATACATAAATCCATACACAAACGCCATGTAAAGACCCAAACCTTGGACAACGGGGTGCATCATAAGTAAGCGCAGAGGCCGGGTTACTGCAGTGTAAAGCTGTTTGAGAAAGGGTTCCTTGGTGATTTCGAAAACTGTATGAAGGTGCTCATTACCTGTTTCTTTGCGTAGTCGAGCAGCTTTCCATTGGAGCAAAACTGGAGCATAAGTTTCACGATAAAAAATACACCCCAATACGGCAATGACACCATTGAAGATTGTCAGCACCCATAGAACCCATCTCCAAGTTGTATTTTCTGCAATGAAGCCTGAAATAATGGGTGCAACAACAGGGCCAACTGTTGGGCCTACAGCATACAAAGCCAATGCAGTATTGCGCTCTCTGTCGTTAAAAAGATCTGCCATGGTGCCTGCACCAATCGACAGAGGCGGGGCACCTGCGCAACCTGCCAAGAATCGGAAAACAAGCAACTGAGCAATATTTTGAGAAAGAGCACATGCCATGTTAAAGATAGTCATGAGAACAATGGCAATGTTAAGGACAACTCTGCGGCCAAAAACTTCAGAAAGCGGGGCCACAAATAATGGACAGATGGCCCAAGCAAGGACAAAAATGGAAACGGTAAGGGATTTTTCAATATCTTTTGTAACATGTAAGTTTTCAGACATGTTTGTGACTGCTGGAGCAATAATGGAAGATGCTAGGGGAGAAATAAAGGTGTATACTGCGACAATAATTGTTGTGACCCATTTTTTCTTTTTGGGCCAATTACGGGGGTTTTCCGGATCGTCGTCACCTTCCCAGGTGACTAACTCTGGATCAATATCGACAAACTGTTCACCATCATCGGGGAGCCCGTTTTCTGTTTCTTCTGGAACCACGTCGTCAATGTGACGATGGGTGGTGACACGGGACACGACTTGTTCGATTGTTTTGGCTCGCTCCAGGGCAATTTGTTCGTCCGGCGTGTCGCCATAAATGTCTCGTTTGCTGTACCCAGAGCGAGATGATCGGTAGCTTGCACGGGATAATGCTGGCGAAAGAGTTCCTGCACGGAACCTGTGGTAGTCATCGTCATCATCTTCTCTTTTTTCATCGTCAGTATCGGAAGATGAGAAGTTGGCTGGTGGTGTTGTTGTTGTTGTTGTTGTTGTTGGTTTTTCATCAAAGTAATTTTTTTTGTGAATGGACCCTGCTGGAGAAGCGTCTGGGACTGGAGTGAGATGTTCAAATTGTAATGGTGTTGGTTCAGAGATTGGATCTGAAGAAGAAGATGAGTGAGATTCTGTTCTGTTGATAGCAGCGGGACTTGCTGGTAGGTTTTCCGAGGAGGAGGACATTTGGGATATATATTTATAAAATATATAAAAAATAAATAATTGTTATATATAAGTCTATTGAAATTTATTAAAAAAGCAAGGTCAACGATACAATATTAAGAGTATGTTTTATAAAAGTAATAATAATAAATAAAAACTTGAGATTTTATTAATTATTATTATTATTATTATTATTTCATGAATTGAATATTGAAAAAAAAAAAAAAAAAAAACTTAATATATATATTATAAAATAAATAAACGTTTATTTGAATGAACTTATGAGAGAGTGTGTGTAAGAAAGAGAAAAATGGCCTGGGGGAATTTGTGCCATATTTATACTTTTGAGTCACAAAAAATAAAAAAATAAAATAAATCAAAATTTATAAAAATTTATAAAAAAAAAAAAAAATAAAAATAAAAAAAAACTCCCCCACGTAAACTTTTAAAAGAAAGAAAGAATCTTCTCTCTCTCCCCCCATCTTTTGATGACTGACTGATTAAATTTATTAGTAAAATTTTATTAGTAAAAAATTAATTTAATAATTTTAATTTAATTATTTTTTTATTTAATTTTTTAAGCACGACATTTCATTCTGGAATTCCACCTACAAATAAAAAAAAAAAAATATTTGCAACAACAAATAAATAAAAACAATCAATTTAATTAAAATTAAAAAAAATAAAATAAAATAAATAAATAAAAAATAAAATAAAATTTCTTTCAAATTAATTTTTTTTTCATAAATATAAATATAAAAATAATAATTAATAATTATTGTTAAAAGAATTAAAAAAAAAATAAATTAAATTTCACTCTACATACTCTTTCACTCACTCACTCACTCACTCACTCTAAAAAAAAAAAAAATTAGTTTCGGATATTTGTTTAACCCCCTCTTTTTTTTTTTTTTCTCTGTGGCTAAAACTACCATATTCGGAAATCTCTGCAAGGCTATTGCCGGGGGTTAAAACGGTGCAATTTCCCTCTCATAGCCGGATTGCTGCATACATACATACATACATACATACAAACAACAACAACACACAAAAACATAAACTTCTCGCTCACCCAGCCATTTTTCTGTTTTTCTTTTTCTTTCTATCTCTCACAAGACCTCCTTCTAAAACCTTTTCTAGGACAAAAGTCTTAAGTTATATGTTACATGTCGTATTTATATAAATAAAATAATAATAATAATAATAATAATAATAATAATAATAATAATAATAATAATAATAATAATAATAATAATAATAATAACTACAACTTATTTATGTCTTGGGTCCAAGTAACCCCCTCTTCTCACCACTATTCCCACTATTATTATCATCATCATCATCATCCTCTGACTCTTCTTCTTCTTCTTCTTCTTCTTCAGAAGACTCCTCTTCTTCCTCAGAAGACTCTTCCTCCTCAGAAGACTCTTCTTCTTCTTCTGACGATGACTCTTCCTCTTCTTCAGAAGACTCATCTTCTTCTTCTTCCTCTTCATCAGTAGCATCCGCGAAAAATTCATCCAATGTCTGCTCCTTAAACTTGCGACCTCCATTCGCATGCACTGGCAATGTCGCATTGCTAGAAAATGACGAAGATGAAGAAGATGCCTTCATCGGTAACGCTCGGTGTCTAGTACCAACCCCTGCAATGTTCTGCATGCTAGTCACTTCTCCACGACCATACCGTAAATTGCTACCACTTCCACCAAAACCTCCACTACCCCCTCTTTCTTCAACTTTGGGTTCATCTCGAACAGATGGATCGACAAGCAATGGCTGGTCTTCTGGTGTCCACTCAGGTAGTTGCTGGAATCCATCAACAGGGTGACCCACTACCAACGCCGCAGATCCCAATGTCAATCGTGCAATAGGCGTCGTGCCGTTCGCAGTGGGCAAACCTTCATCTTCTTCTTCATCTTCATTATCTTCTTCTTCCTCCTCACCATCCTCCTCTTCCTCTTCTCCGTCAGCTGCCTTTGTCTTACCTTTTCCACCTCTCTTCACCCCCAAAGTAATACCCTCTTTCTTACCAGTTCCTGCCAAAATATCCCTAAGAGAAGTCACTGGCGATCCCTTAGGCGCCTGCAATAAAAGTGTCGCAAGCTCTGTATTCTCCCCGCTCAAAAGAGAATTAAACATCCGAGCTCGATCCCTAGTATCATAATCACTATCATACCGTGCAAGTTGCATCACATACCCAAAAAGTTCGGTAATCCTCTTACTCTCAGGCTCTGGCTCTTCTCTTCCCTCCTTCTTCTCTCGATCCAAAGAATAAGAATAAACCTTGGCCGCAAGAACAACCACCTGGTACCTCACACTAGTGGTCTCCTGTACAAAATTCTGTAAGCTTTTACGTAGCACATCCGGTGCAATCCCAGGTGCCACTCCAGCAAACTCACCCACAAGCCAAATCAAGCAACTGCGTGCCTCAGGCACAGTCACCTGGTCCAGCAGCCGCGCAAGTCGTCCCACAGTTTCAATATGGTGGGTTGGATCGCGCAGTACCAAATATCGAATCACATTCAGTGACTCGCTCACCAGCGCCGCATTCTTCGACGCAACCTGCCGTAACAACCATGTCAGAATCCGTGACGAGCTGTCCGTAGCTCCAGTCACACATCGCCCAATCGCCTGCACTGCCTCTGAAATCGTAGCCTGGTCTGTCACCGTCAGCGCGTAGTACTTAAGCTCTGGAACAATCACATTAACATTCTCAGGGTTGCACAGCAGCGCCAAAATCTCAAGCTTCAGCTTTGAAATCATAAATAACTCTCGTGGTAGCAAGAAAAACCGCTTCAAGTAAGGTAAAAATGAAGATGCTCGCGAAAGAGTCATAATCTTAATATTCGTCAGTGCAATCTGCTGCACAGCGAGATCCCCTCGCAGAAGTTCCACCATGTGGCTTGCCACATTAAAGTCATCAAAGGTTTTTTGAATCCCCAAATAAAAGTAAATTTTGGCTGCTGAAACAACAACAGTACCGTTCCGACTAAACAATAACGGGTATGCTGCATTAAAAAGCAGGTCTAGGTCTGGGTCAAAAGAAATATGCGTCGGGTGGTCAGACTCAACCATTAGCGAGTCTGTGAAATCAACCTTGATTTGAGCGTTTTCCGGGTACTCGTCATCTCCTTCATCACCTTCCTCAAATGCTGTATAGTCACTCTTTACACCGACATCCACAGGAGAACTCTTCTTAAGCACTTCCGGACGACGCAAGTAAACACGGGCATATCGCAACAGCACATCAAGCGCTGCAGATTGCCCCCACTCGTCCATCCCAGGAAGCTGTCCACACAGCTTGCGATATACACTATGCAGTAAATCAATCCGGTCAGGGAACGAGCGTAGTAATGTCTGCATGGCAGCACCGGCCACTCTCGGACTGCGGTCCGACAGCAATTGTTTGAGGTTCTCCAGCAGTGCTGGTCCATTGGCTGCGTCTAGCTCGTAGCACTTTGTAATTGCAGTGGCCGCAGCACGGCGCACAATGGCCGCCGGGTCGGTCGTACACTTTTTAATTCCAAGACAAATGATTTGGACAATCGCATCTACCCGGATCCCGGAAATTATGCGCAGCGCCATCGCCCGGATCGCAGGGTTATCATCTGTTAAAGATTTTTGAATCGAGTTGATGGACAAAAGTGCAAGGTCTTGCTCGTACGCCGCATATCGTACAAGGTAAATGTACACGAGCTTGCGGATCTCGTAGTTGGACGATGCCACGTTCTTAATTACGTCTGTGAAAAACGGCATCGCATTTTTGCCTTTGCACATGAGCTATTAAAAGTTAGTTAATGACTTGTTTTCAATTCCTATCAACTTACATTGATGACTTCACGCATTCCGGCAAGGCGTTTGCTATCGCTGCGACTATTAAGAGACTGAGTAATGTCCGCATGCTGAATAGGTGCCTCGTCCATCAGACGAGCTGCAACTGAATTGGCAGCCTCAAGAGTTAGCTCACGAGCAGACTGTAGTACCGACCCGAGGTTTGAAAGGTCGGTCATTGTTTATTCTATTATGTGTAGTGTTGTTATTTACTGTTATTGGTGGTGGTGGTGGTGGTGATGATGTGGAATATTTTCAGGTGGTGGTGCCAAAACAAAAACAAAAAAAAAAAAAAAGGTTTAAAAAAGCCGCCACCATACTTTCATTCATACAAAAAACATCTCAATGTTCTCAATGATCTCAATGATCTCAATGATCTCAATGATACCCAATAATTTGTTTTGACTAAATAAATTATATGTTTAAATAAATAATAAGCCATGACCTGCAAGGCTTATAAAAAGGTCTTACAATATCCCTTTTAATTATTTGGAAATACCGCATGAACCATCGGTATTGAAAGCAACGGTCTTGCCACCAGAGCACGACGCGTCGCTATAGATGGTATAAGTACCACTGCTACTGGATGGGCAAGCAATAAGTGACGAACTTCCAGGTGCAATGTAGTCACCAGAAGAAACCCAAGTGGTTCCGGAACCCCCACCAACTTGCAAAGCACCGTTGCCATTGATAGCCACAGAACCGCTATTAAACCCAGGAGTGCTGCAAATGAGCGAGCTGCCCTGCAAATTGAAGCTAAAGGGCGAGCCAGTGCTTGAACCAATAGTCAAGAGACCGCCAGATGTCACATACACTGGCACAACGTTAAAGTTGGACGCAAAGTTGGACTGGTAGTTTTGGTTAAGACCAACGTTGGTATTGCCATTAGTGTTGCCGTTGGTATTGCCGTTAGTATTAACATTGGTGTTAGGGTTATTATTAGTGTTGGTGTTGTCATTGGTATTATTGTTGTTGTTAGTATTGTTGTTATTGTTCGTGTTGTTGCTCGTGTTATTGTTAGTCACAGAGTTGTTGCTCGTGTTATTGTTGTTGCTATTGGTAGTAGTAGTGGTGCCACCGCCGCCAGTAGTGGTGGTGGTAGTGGTACCGGAACCGCCAGTGCCGCCAGAGCCACCGCCAGTAGTGGTTGTGGTAGTACCCGAGCCACCAGTGCCGCCAGTGGTTCCAGATGTTCCGCCAGTAGTACCTGATGTGCCTCCAGTAGTACCAGATGTGCCTCCAGTAGTACCAGATGTACCCCCAGTGGTTCCAGTAGTACCAGTGGTGCCTCCAGTGGACCCGGTAGTACCACTAGTGCCTCCAGTAATACCTGTAATACCACTAGTGCCGCCAGTGATACCTTTAATACCGGTGATACCAGTGATGCCAGTGATGCCAGTGATGCCAGTGCCTCCCGAAATAACACGGCAGGTTGTGCAAGAGCCAGAGCTACCATAGCCACTGCTGTGTAATCCTGCTTCAGGTCTTGCATCAGCCTCAGCAATGGGAGCTGCCATGGTATAGGCAGCGAAAAGAGTTACAGAGAGTGTAGAAAATTTCATTGTTAAAAAGAGTGTATGTTGAAAGTAAAGGGTTGAAGTTAAACCTGTAGAAAAGGGAAAGGTAATTAATTGAAATGATTGAAGAAATACAAAGAAAAAGAATGTTTGTGATGATGAAAAAAAAAAAAAAGGAAAAAAAATTGGAATTTGAAAGAAATTCATTCTCTTTTTATAGGTTTTTTCTGTTCAATCATCAATTCATGGGATATAATTTTTTTTTAAAAAAAAATTATGAATATACTTATGGCTTTACTAACTCTCTGATAAAATCTATTATTTTTTTTACTAGTTCCCTGGCAAAGACATCAAGTTAGGAATAAAATTAACCTAATTCAGAAACATTCAAAAATGTGAAAAGGAGGTACAAAAACTCAAAGATCAGATCTAAATACTATTCTTTGACAAAAATTAAAACTTGGACCCTGAAATTTTACTTAAATTCGTGTGTCATTTTGAAAAAAAAAAAAAAAAAAAAAGGAAGTCTCTTAAATCTTAGAACCAGTCAAACATTGTTTTGAAACCAGATTCTTGTCAAGATTTGAAGTTGCAACTTATTAAACTCATCTTTCAAAATTAAAAACTTTAGTCGATTTAATTGAATCCCAAAATATGTAGGTTAGTGTCCAGTATTTTTTTTCCCCCCCGTTGATAATTATACTGTTTTTTCAATGGCCCCAGTTTTGCGGCTGGTGATTGTTTCTCATCTCAAACATGTCAAAGATTTTGGTTTTTTTTTTATTTTTTGATAAAAAAGAAATCTCTATTTAATTTTTCATTTGCTTTTTTTTTTTTTGACTCAAATCCCACTGACTCTAAAAACTTTTGATTCTTTTTTTTTTTTTTAAATCTCTTTCTAAAAAAAAACTAGAGTTTTAATTCCAAATGGAATTCTAAAATTTACCTGAAAAGGCTAAATGATAGATATCAATTTTTCTCAAATTTCTAAGCCTTTTTCGTACCTCCCCATTATCTTAAATGCTCTTTTGAATCATAAAAAATGAAGATCATTTTTTTTTTCATCGAGAGATCAAAAACATGCGTTCAGTTTTAGACTCTCTTGAAAAAAAAATAATGATAAATGATTTTCCTTTAATATTGAATCAATTCAATTAAAATGGGTCCTCATATGGATCCTCTTCATCATAATCATCTTCCTTTTCAAACTCATAAATAATGGCACCGCCTCGTGCACCACCTTGTCCCACTTCTTGTGCTTGCAAAAACGGTAGTTCCACCTTATCTCTAGCCTCACGTTGTTTGGAAGTGGTTGTCAAATTAAACGTAGTCAAGCCCTTCAAAACCTCCTCTGCATCCTCAGAAACATCCTCCTCATCAGCCCCATTCCGTCGCTCAGGTACATAATCTATCCGCCCTTCATCGCTATTCACTAAATATGTAGCTTCCAGTCCGCGGCCCGACTTGCGCCGATGAATCAGGTCGACGCGGAAAATAGGGCGGTTACAGCTTGCTGGTAAAACAAGCGTCGATACCTGCTGTAAAAACTCTTCTTCTTCATTGATATCAGGTTCTATCAGCTGTGAGGTGTTGCTGCCGTCAGTGCTCAGCTTCCCGCCGTAGTGAGACACGCTTAGTATAGATGTTGCAAAATAATTAAGCAAAGTGCTGGCAGGAGGGTATGATGATGGAAATCCCGGAGCAATTATAAACTCGCTCAGTGGAACGTCTGTGTGATAAATGGCTGTGATGGTACTGTGGGGGGCCATGAGCGGAATCAGAAATAAAGAAAACTTGTCTGGTGGGATATATGAAATGGAATCAATCAAGATTAAATTTTCTACCAAAAGTCAGTAAAGTTCTATAATAATAATTAAAAACTCACTTTTTTCTACTACAAGGGCCTTGCTAATATTTTCTCGCAGATTTTCTAAAGACTTGAACTCTGAGGCATCCAAAACGCGGTCGGCGCGTTCGGGCGCGTCGACTGTTTCAAACGAAACAAAAACTACATTTGTATCTTTGGGAATGCGGCGCAGAAGCTCCTTCACCAAATATGAGCCTGTCTGTGCAATAGTATCTTTTATAAGAATAAATGGCGAGTGATCACGTAGACCTAGCAGCCGAGAAAGAAGAACCGCATTTTGTTGGTGGTGAATCATCGTTTTGTGAGTTGGAAAGAATTTTTGGTGGAGCAATAAAAAAAAGTTTTTTAATTTTTTTTTTTTTTTTTTAATTAATAAAATGCGGGTAACGCTTGATTGATGGCAAAAGTTGGTCAAAAGTTGGTTGCTAAAAAAAATAAAACCTTACATCAGAGAACCCAAACCATTATTGCTAACTACAACTTATAACCAGCATCTTCGCAACCATGGGTGTTCGAGGATTATGGGAGATTGTGGCGCCGGCAGCACATCCCGTGAACCTCGAAAACATTTCTGGGTACCGCCTAGCCATCGATGCGTCTATTTGGATTTATCACTTTCTTAAAGCCATGCGCGACTCACAGGGCAAGGTTCTACGATATGCCCATATTGTGGGGTTTTTCCGGCGCATTTGTAAACTCATTTTTTTTGGAATTAAGCCAGTGTTTGTATTTGATGGTGGTGCTCCGATTCTTAAGCGCAACACGATTTTGAACCGAAGGGAACGACGCAAGGTGCGCAAGGAAACCGCTTCGTCCATTGCAGCCAAAATCTTGACCCTGCAGCTTCACAAACATGCCGCCGAACAGGTGAAAAAAAAGAAAAAGGCAACAGAGCGGGTCGTGTCGTATCTACAGCTCAGCGATGATGACGAATCGTCAGATCATGAAAAGTCCGGGGAAATTGCGTATCTTGATGAGGTCTCGGTGGATAAAGATAAGCGAACTAATGTCTTTAAAATCAAGCCGGCTGACGTATCTCAAAACACAACTCACGACCCTTACTTTTTGCCAGAGATTGACGAGGAGTAAGTTTTATTATGTTTTATTAATTGATGTGCTCTAACTTTTTTTTGTAGAGCTATTAGCAATAACGTAAACCACGACCCTCGTCTATTATCCCATGAAGACTTTGAAGAATATGCTGATCATGTTCAAACTCAGCTACAGAGCGGGATCTATGATCAGGAGGAAATGGATTATGAATCACCTGAATTTAAAGCCTTACCGCTGGCTACTCAGTACCAGATAGTTTCCACAGCTCGTTTAAGATCTAGACTGAGAATGGGGTTGACAGTTGACCAGTTGGAGACACAGTTCCCAGATCGGTTAGCTTTTTCAAAGTTCCAGATTAACCGGGTTAAGCAGAGAAACTATTTGACTCAGAAGTTAATGAATATGGCCAACGTCGATGGTGATGGAACAGCACCTGCTGGGGTCAAAACACAGGTGGGAAGAATTGCGAGTCAGCGAGGCCGCGAATATGTACTGCAAAAGAGCGAAAATGGCTGGACCTTGGCTCTGGAGAATGAAGAAATGAAATCAAATCTCATCAATATTGATGTGGATGACACAGAGATTCGTGATGATGATTTGAAACGCAAGAATTTAGAGAAGGAAGAAATCAATGATGATGAAGAAGATGATGAAGAACAAGATGAAGAAGATGACGACGATGAAGATGATGTGGAATGGGAAGATGTAGATGTATCCAAAAGTGCACCTTCAGTCATCACTGCCCCTGAGACTAACCCAGATTACATGAGCCAGCTACCAAAATCCCTTAGTGGATTTGAGACAGCTCTCCAGCGTGAAAAGTTGTACGAGTCCCTGCGCAAAAAGGCACAACAAGGAAACGACCCGAAATCTGCAGCTTCTAAAAGTAAATCAAAAAATGAGAATGCATTTATTTTGGAAGATGATAGTGGTGATGAGCATCCTACGCAATCGGAACCGTCAAAGGTAGAGAAGCCAACAGATGCACTGGAAAAGCCAAGACCCCAGGAAAAGCAAGAAACAAGTTCTGGGTTTGGACAGAAACTTTCCTTTAGCAAGTCGCTGTTTGCACGCGCGGCCAAGAACTCTGCTAGTGATGCGACATTGAACACCACTGCATCTGCAAAAGCTTCGGAGACTGAATCAGAAAAGAAGAAAGAGGATACATATGTCCCACCCTGGTTTAATTCTGATACAGTTGCCGGTTTGACAAAAAAGCAAGCATCGCCTAGCCAAGAGCAGGCTCCATTTGCTATATCTTCATCAGGTGAGGAGGAGGAGGAGGAGGAGGGAGAGGAAAAAGATGAGAATGAAGAAGATGAAGAAGATAAGGATGAGCTTGTTTCATACAGTTCAGTGCTGAATCGTCGTCAAAGACAACTTTATCAAGAGGAACCTTTGAAAATTAACGACGGAATGGTTATTGATATTGATGAAGAAGAGAGCAGTGATGCAGATGAGTTTGACGACAGTATTCAAATTTTGAATCCAGATGAGTTTAACAAACCAAAGGACGGTACTACGGCGGTTTCCGCGGCAGTAACCACGGCACCTTCAACAACGGCAATGACGGTGACATCGACAGCGACAGTAACTACAGCAGCAAATATTGATGAGAAAGACAATGATGCTCCAGAACAGAGTTTGGGTGGAGTCGTGAAACTTGCATCAGATGTAACGGAATTAAATAAGGTTTCCCCAACCAAGAGGCCCACAGACGAGGAAATATTCAAACCTGCGAATTATAGTAAAGAACACGAAGACGAGCTTGCTCGATTGGAAGAAGAGTACGGAGAACAAGAGGATGAGGAGCTGATGGAACAGCTAGAGAAGGAAATTGAAGAGACTCATCGGTTTACAGAGTCTTTTAAAGCGGCACAACCGGCCCCGCAGGCGGCTATGGCACGGTTTGCTTCAACATCAACAGAACCTCCAGTTGAGTTTCAATCAATTGAGTCGTATGATGATGAAATACGAGCTCTGCGTCAACAGGCCCACAAGGGGATGCGAGATGCAGACGAGGTGACACCAGAGATGGTTGAGGAATGTCAGGAGCTTCTTAAACGATTTGGGATTCCATTTATTACAGCTCCAATGGAAGCTGAGGCGCAGTGCGCAACACTCATGTCTATGGGGCTTGTTGATGGGATTGTAACAGATGATAGCGATTGCTTTTTGTTTGGTGGAACCAAGGTGTTTAAAAACATGTTTAGCCAGGTGAATAAGTATGTTGAATGCTACGATGCTAATGATATCAAGCGGGAGTTTGGTCTGGACCAGCATAAACTTATTAACTTGGCATATTTATTGGGTAGTGACTACACGGATGGGGTTACAGGGGTTGGACCTGTTACAGCTATGGAGATTCTGGCCAATTTTGATACACCTGATGGGTTGATTCGATTTCGAGACTGGTGGAAGGACGTGCAATTGAAGGGTGCAGATAAGGGCAAGAGTGTTGATTCTAATAAGCCGGAGACTGAGTTTGAGCGTAAGTTCAAGCGGAATGCGGCGAAAATATTTTTGAGTGAAGATTTCCCATTAAAGGAGGTTGAGCAGGCTTATTTGCACCCTGAGGTGGACACAGACCCAACGCCGTTCAAGTGGGGCGTGCCGGATCTGGACGCATTGCGGACGTTTTTGCACAAGCGCGTTGGGTGGCCTGAGGCCAAGACAGATGAGCTGTTAGTGCCTGTAATCAAAGCCATGAACAAGAAGCTGACGGAAGCTAGTACTCGACAAACGCTACTGAAAGACTTTTTCTTGAATTTAGGTGGGAATGGTATTAATAGTAATGGAACATTGACGGGCTCTGGAGCCGCTGCGCCAGGCCGCAGTAGCCGGATGACCAAAGCGATTTCAGCAATGAGCGGACGAATGCGCCGGAGAGAAGAGGCTGATTTGGAGAGTTCTTCTGATGAAGAAAAAGAACAGGAAATGAAGACTAAAGACTCGAATGGGTCTACTACAGAAAGAGTTTTGAGTACTACGGAAGAAGAACCTGTGGATGGTGTTAAGACTACAAAGAAGCAGAAGCAGAATAATAGCTCAAAGGCCGTGCGACCACTTAGAAAAAAGCCCAAACAAAAAAAGTAAATTGAATAGAATAGAAAAAAAAAAAAAAAAAAAGAGCACGCAATATTGCGAAAGTTGAAGAAGAAGAAGAAGAAGAAAAGGATTTTTTTTGTTTTAAACAAAAATTTATCTAAAGCAGTTATTAAACTTTTATAAAAATTTACATTAATGATATTAGAAATGTGTACTGGTATGGTCTGGACATATATAGTAGCAGTTGTTGACTAGCTAGTCCCAATTAGGGGGGGTTCACAGCCCTGAATTTTGGGATTTTAAGCTTTTTTCTTTTTTTTTTTGTATTGCTCTTATTTATGATTTAAAAACCCTTGAAAGATAACGTTAAAAATGCGATGGAGCTGGAAGAAAAAACATAAAGGAATGATTGATATTAAGGATTGGATATGACAATATGAAATCAAAATCTATTATGTATTTAATTTATATATATATATATATATATATATATATATGTGTTCTAATCAGGAATTTCTTCATGATGGATAGATTTCCTTTTGTGTTGTTTAATTTTTCTTTTTTTTTAAATATCAACTTTAAACTCAAATGTAGTTCGCTGAGCTTCCTTTGTTCTCTTGCACCTAATAACTAGCTGATTTTGGAGATCAAAAGCTAATGTAACAGTAATATATATATATATAATAAGTATCATGATGATCATGACAAAGAAGAAAAATAATTGATCAAAGGTTAGTTAGTATATAGTACTTTATGATGACGTCCACTTTGGATATTCTTTATGTCTCGAATTCAGGTTCGACAAGCTGAATTCATTTATTTGTTTGTTTGTTTGTCAAAAATGCATTCTCGAATGAAGAGATTTTCTCGTTGTTTATTAGCAATTAACAATAAAAAATAAATAATAATAATAAAAAAACGCAACCATTATTCTTAAAAATACAATCAACAAAAAATATATTAAAGGAATTTTGAAAACGAAAATAAAAATAAAAATAAAAAATTTTTTAATTTATCCTTGTGGATAGAAATCTCCTCCCAATGGTTTTTTTTCCCCCTTTGAAGAGGAGTGGTGTAAATTATTATAGCTGTTCGTAAAGCTGAGGTTTATAGTTTTCAGTGACTGAATTTTCGCGTCCATACTGTCGTGCCCATTCGCTGAAGCCGCCCTGAAGAATGTAAATCTCTTGCTCCTGTTGCAACGGGGTACCGTAGATATGACGGAAGTAAGCTCCGGCACAGGAAGGCCCACGGACCTGGGACAGTTGGCAATGGAAAACGATGCGACGAGCTTGAGTTTGTTGGAGTTGGTCTGCGAGGTTTGGAATAGCTGAAATAAAAGTCGAGGAGGGGACATTGACCGAATTGCGGATATGACCCTATATAAAGAAAGAAACAAACAAACAAAAAATGAATGAATGAAGAATTGAAGATCAAAGAATGGAAATATAATGAAAGAAATGGGAATATGAAAAAAAATGAAATCATTTCCCAAGAAAAGAAAAAAATGAAAAGAAAGAAAAAAAAAATGAAAACCTCAGTTAGTGATTGTTTTTAAAAACAATAGAAAAAAATAACAACTACGTCTACGAAAACAAAATAAGATAGAAAGATTAACAGAAAAGAAACGCGTCCTCATAGACCATTGGTGATACCACCAATTGATATTTCTTTTGAAAAAAAGAAAAAATGGACGGAGAGATAAATTGAAAGTATTTCTCAAAGAAAAGAAGAGAACTTACACCGTATCGGTCTTCGTCTCGTACGTCGATGACAACCACCTTGAGCGTGGCCGAGGGCGAATCTAGCCAGCTTTTCAGTATTGCTGGAGAAATAACAGTAGGTTTTGACATGATTCTTTTGGTTTGTTTGTTTCTTTAATAAAAAATATATGGAAAGATCTAATTGCTGGTTTAGATATTTAAAGGGATCTTAGAAAGACAAAACGATTAAGAAACCAATGGATCTAATAATAATAATAATAATAATAGTAAAAAAAAAAACACACAAAAGTAGCAACTCTGACAGAATGTATAGGTTGTTAGTAAATATATATATCAAAGCAAAGATATAAGTTTTTATATAAAAAAAAAAAAAAAGGAAAAAAGACTGTTGATAGATGGAAGGAAGGAAGAAAGAAAGAAAGAAAGAAAGAAAAAAAAAAAAAAAAAAAGGTTGCAGTGGTTTTTTTATTTTTTTTTTTTTTAAAGTCCGAGGGCCGAAAGGGCAGCGGGAAAAAAAAAATAAAAAAAATTCAGGGCGCATTAGCTTATATAAGCTTATTCTAGTAACAATCTTTATAGACGCTAAATTAATATTACATAAAAAACCAGCCTTTTGGTCCCTTGTGTACCTGCGCCGCAAAAAGGGAAAGACAAATTTGATTTTTCAAAATCTCCCAAAGAAAATTTAAAAAAGCCATTCCAACCAACTCCTCTCATTCAATTGGCTTTTTAAAAAAAATAAAAATAACCGGGGAGGGGTGGGATTTGTTTTTTTGTTAAATAATAAAAAAAAAAAAAAACAGATTAAAGATTATTGAACTCAATGAATTATTATAATTATATTTATGGTGAAAAAAAAGCTCATTTCAAAAAAAAAACAATATATATAAACAAAGCCAAAATAAAATAAAAAAAAAAAAAGCCCTCAAACTTCACCAGGAGGTGAGTTAGGTGCAGACTTACGCGAAAGCCATCCTTTCACGGTGCCCACAACCGAGTGACCCGTGTACCCATTCACAAACTCAGTCACAGGCGAACTCTCACGTTTAAGGGGTGTCTTCCCCTCTTGCTCAGACTCATCCTCAGATTCCTCGGAAAAATCACCCTCAGACTCCACCGCAGTCGTGTTGTTGCTCTTGGTCTTGCCAGCAACTGCAGGAGTCGTAGACCCATCATCTTCAGGTGAAGACACTGCTGTGGTAGATGTAGCACCAGTCTTGTCTCCACCACCATTACTACTGCGACTGCTGCTGTTGCTGCTGCTGCTGTTACCGCCACCAGCCTTAGAATTAACAGAACGCCGGCGCTTCTTCTTACCAAGAGTATTGTTGATATAGGCGCGAATCTCCCCATATAAATCCTTGGAAGCATTCTCATAACGCGTTTTAAACGACTCCCGAAACTCCTGCACATGACGCTTCAAATCCAGCTCATTCTTCTTCAACCATGACACATTGAGCTCCTGGCGCGATGCACCCCGTGCAAAGTTGCGCATCAAGTACTTGTCATAATCCCGAATAATCTTCGTAATGATATCGGACGTCGAAATGCCCTCCGTGCGTTGCGTCGTTAAGAACTTGCCCTGCTCCTTAATTGGCTTGTAAATGTCGTCAGAGTCACCAGATGCATAGGGTAGATCATCGTGCGCAACGTAGTCAATCTTGTGCTCTTCCAAAAACTCCGGTGTCACACACCATGGAGCGTCCGGAATCACCTCGTCAACCCACTTGCAGTGTACAAGTGTGTCACATCGTTGCTTGTCGGTTAACACAGTTAAACCTTTGCGTCGATGAGTCTCCACGTCGCTTGGCACACCGCAAATCAGCGTCGCATTGGGAAGTGCCTTTTTGGCCTGCTCCAACTGTCGCATATGACCCAGATGGAACAAATCAAAAACACCATCCGCATAGATGCGCACTGGTCGGTCCTTGGGTGGCGGATTGAACTTGTATCCACAAGGCCGAAACTTGCGATACTGGGGCTCCAATTCCGCATCAAGCTCAGCTTCCCGCTTTTCAAATGCAATTTTTTCCTCCTCGCGCGCAATTTCATCAGGTGTCAACTGCTTTGTCTTGACCCGCTTGTTTTGGTGCCGCGAACTTAAACTCTCATCGTCCTCTTCAGTCCCTGCCCCTTCTCCCTCACGCTTTTGAGAATCCTCATCATCGTCATTGCTACTATGACCTTGAGTAATGTCTTCATCCTCATTTTCGCTAGGTGCGTTGGAATTGATGAATCCAAACAAAGCCCGTCGCTTACGCTTCTTACCATGAGGTGTTGAAGATGATGAACCTGGAGTTTCTGAAGATGCTGCATCAGAACCCGCATCTTTCCGAGATTTCTTGAAAAACGATGTGATGGATGTTGTCCGGTTCAAAGATGCTGTCTCAGCATCGTTCTCTTTATGCTGTTGTTGTTGTTGTTGTTGTTTTTCTTGGGAGCTCTTACGCTTAAGCTTCTTTCCTTTGGAAACCTGCTCGGAACTCTCCGAAACAGACTTGATGGGTTCAATCGTGGAATCCTTGTTCGTGGTATCAGAATCAGTCATTGTATAAGATAAAAAAAAGATGAGATGGAAAAGACCGATAAAGTTGGGCCCAACAGTTGCCTTTTTTTTTGTTTGTTTGTTTGCTTGCTTTGTTAATGATTAATGGTTTAATGTTACAAACAAAAACAAAAAAAAAGTTTATAAATTCGGTGGTAGTGAAGACAATTTTAAGCAATTCTGAGATTTTTTTGGAGAACTTTTAGAATTTTTGTTATAAAAAAAAAAAAACTTTTTTTTCACAAGGTTTTCACATAAAAAAAAAGACACCACAGCAGGAATTTTTTTCAGCCATACAAATTCAAGAATTATGCATCACGTGCGCATGATTCAGCTCTGACTAACCAATTATGCGGCTTCCCCTAAATCTGGGGTTTTTCATCGTAGCTGCCGCTTTAAAAAAAAAAAATTATTTTCATCTGAAAACGTTTAAATAAAATTATTATTCAAAAAAAAAAAAAATAGAAGAAAAGAAAAGAAAAAAAAGAAAAGCTTTTCTTTTCCTAAATTGTCTATTTAATGCTACTGCTGCAAATGCTGCTGTTGTTGTTGCTGTTGCTGCTGCTGCTGCTGCTGCTGCTGCTGATTGTCATCTTTCGAAGATGTGCTGGTATTCTTGCTCCGTCGACCACCGTTGGTTTGGTCCTCATGTCCAGACTTATTCGACTCTATTGTCCCGTGTCGCCGTTTCTGGTGCCCGTCACCACGGTGCTTCCGCGATAAGCTCTCCAAAATATGAGTCGAATCAAATATCTCAAACAAAAACCTCCGGATCGGAAGCCGGTATCGGTACTTACCAAGCAGTCCCATAATCTCAAGGAAAATCGCTGACGACTGAAACCGTGTTGTGTACTTTCGCGAAATTTGTACAAGTCTCTTGGACGCCTCATTCGCAAGAATCTGGTTGCTCAAATCGGATACTGCTTTAATAATGGCTCGGTTCACAATGTCATTATGGAAAACTGGGAATGCCTCCTCAATCATATCCTCTTCACTAATCTCCTCGCCTTGACCGTCTCCCGTGGCTCCAGGGTTTTCAGACAAAAACAACTGTTCAAGCACCCGTGGAATGCAAATCCCCGTCGACGTATCTAAAGACTTCATCACCGTTTCCCAACCATACCCGTCTAAAATCTCGGCACCTTCAACCGTCGAAGAAATCAGCCCAAGCACATAAAATGCTGTGCCCTTGACACTATAAATCTTCGACTCCTCCATTACCCTTATAATGTCCTTAGTGATGTCAGTTTCCTCCAAAAAGGGTGCACCCAGTGGATTCGATGATGCGTGACCTAAAGCCCACAAGCTTCCTTTGAGCTGAGTGATAATCTCGCTGTCATTAGTCACTAACCCGTACTTGCGCACAAAGTTACATAACTTTTCGTAATGACCCTTTTCACGCAGCAAATGGCAGCCCTCATCAGTCTGTGTAAGCTCACCATAGAAGTGTCGAGGAACCTCTTCAGTATAGGTTTGAAAAGATTGTTGAGTGGCTGAAGGTGTCTGCGACGTAGTGGGCTTGGAAAACGCATTCATCTTTTGAGACCGCTCCAAGTATTCCTCCACACGACCAACATAAACATCGTTTTGACCATAAAACCAGTTGTCCATCTCACTATGAATATAGTCAATATCTTTGAGATACTTGAACCCATGAGAAGTGGAAAGAAACATAAGCAGCAATGGATTCCCAATGTCACCAATATGGCTGAGTGAAGGTTGAAGAGACACAAAATACTCCAGGTTTTCAGTGTCCCTGCAAAACTCCTCAAGCACCTCCACCGCAAGCTTGCAAACCTCCAACTCAGGGTCAAATAGTTGGGTCGCCAGCAACCGAATTGCCCACTTTTGTGTCTCTTTGGGCGATTTGCACAGGTTGCGCAAGTGTGAGGTACAAAACAAGCGTACATTCTTTTGGCCCGTAGTAAGCACCTTGGACAAAATGATGCGCGGGTGGCCGTGTAAGTCGTAATTCATGTTGCACAAAAAGGCCTGCAGCAGATCCTCGCGGCTTCGCAACTCGCTAATGTGATAAAACATACTAAACATACGCCAGCGTTCCATCATCATCATGCCATTCGGGTCACCGCTTAATGTACCTAAAAGACTAAAGTAACCCCCAGTCAGGGTGTTTTCCAACCACCGTGTAGAAAACAAAGGGTCTTGAGAGGTGATACCACTCATGGGATCAATTTGTGCCAAACACTCTGCAATTTGACGTAACAGCTTGTTCTCCATAAGGTATCTGATACCCTCGTTAGTCTGAAGCAGTGTGTTGAACAACGCTTGACCAACCTTGACACACTTTTGATTAGCACGCGTATTTTTAATCGACGAAAATCGATACTTAAATGGCCTGTAAAACGACATCAAACGCTTCATAAATTTGGTGGTCTTAATGGCCTCTTCAAGCCTCTTTGGGTTCAGTAGTGGTCCCTGAATTAAAACAGTTAATGCCTCCCAGTTCCATTTGGCAAATGACTTTGTCGTTAGCACTTGCGTATCCATCAGTAACTGCTTGAACCCATTATCGTCAATCTGCACTCCAATCTCCTTTTTAACCTTTAAAGAAAGAGAATCAAGCCTGCTTGTCTCGTCTTCTCTGTCAATATGCATTGTTTGAAGATTTCGAAGTACCTTGTATATTTGGAAAATCAAGGTAGAGTGGTTAGCATAATTATAGTCAATCTGAGCTGCCGCTGAAGACGATCCACCAGCTGTTGGAATCAAAAGAGATGGTGAAGTTATTGATATTGGCGAAAATTTATCCATCTCCTTTAAATTATTATTATTACGTGCAAACAACAAGTCGGGAGAATTGCTATGAGGCCCGCTGCCGCCAGCAGCTGCAGGCACTGTGGCTGTTGCTTCCGATACAGTTAATAGTGAAGGCCTATGACGTGATATGGAAGACAAGTTGGACGAAGGCAATGTCCATAAGTCTGGCATGTCGACCAGCTGTGATAAGCTCTTGGTGGGCAAGAGTCGCGAGCCAAGATTCAGCATTTCTACCAATAGTAGTGAAGCTTTACGCGAATTGAACAAATCATTTTGATCATTTAAGACAATCAACAGGTTTTTGACAAGGCCACACTTAATTAAAATAACAAGAACCAGTGAAATATAGTGGTTGATAAACCTAGAGGTTGTTTCTTGGAGATCACCAGAAAATACCCCGGATTTGAAAAATGCTTTAAAGTCCGCCTGTGCCAATGTCGTCAACCGACGTCCAGCAAGATATGAAGGTGTCCAGGACCTGATTTTCACATGGAAAATTGAAAAAAATATATCCATTAGAGTTTCACGAATGAGTGAGTTGGGGTATTGAAAACTGCTGATTAGCGACTTCAAGTAGCCAAACTGGTCTCTAGAAAAAATGCATAGGCCAGGCCAGGTTTTCAAAAGTGCTGTTAAAACAGTCGCACAGCTCTGAAGTTTTTCAATATTACCATGACTTTTAGAAATATTGTCAGTGAATGGTGAAATCAAGCATTGTAGATCCTTGCCATTGCGAAGAATCTTTCGATTCTGTGGCTGTTCAATGACATAGGTAAATGCCATAGTTATAGACTTTGATAACTCAAATGGGCCGTCAACAATGGCTTGTAGTAAAACACGAATACCACCACCGTGATATATAAGAAATGGTTTTTGTACAAAAATCTCAGCAAGAGTTTCAAGAGACATGCTTCTTAATTTATCGTCGCTTTGCTCTGCAACAGAAACAAGTGCTTGTATCACACCAACAGGCATCTCATCAGGACCATTGGGCATGTCAAGAACCGTTCGCAAAAATTTGAGCGCGTGGATGCGTTCAAAGATGCACTTGGTGTCTTTAGTCATGGTTCGAATGATAAACAAGTCAATATTAATGTGTTTTAATGACTTGACTGAATTCATATCTGTAATTGTATAGCGTGCAATTCTATAACCAGCTGCAGCAACCTCGCTGTGCTCATGCAATAAAAGGAACCGGATGCGATCTATTATTTTGGGAGATGAAATGTCGTATTTTAAGTGCGGGTACTTTTGGAGCAGCGAAACAAGCTCGTTAGATTTGTCAATTATGAGTTTAACGTCGGCGTACTGTAGATCTTCAAGTGCCTGTAAAACATCGCTTAAAGACCAAATGGGGTTAGGTTCTGGGTCTGTCGACACAACGCTGTCGAGAGTTGTAGTAGAGTTACCATCAAGAGGAGTCAACTCATTGCTTTTTCTAAAATATGAGAATCCTTTATTAAGCTGTGAATGATAGTTGTCGTATTCTGTGACGCCTAATCCTGCAAGTTCTTGCTTGATGGATGTAATTTTTGTGTTTGCAGCGTTAAGCTCAGAGGTTGCTTGTAGCTTTCGTTCCTTTTTGTTTTCTCGATCATAAATCTTAAAAACTAGTTAGTAAATATTAAAAAAAAAATTTAAATAAAGAGAAAAGCTTGTTTAAACTTACTTTTAGCAGGTTTTCTGCTCCAGCCTTTATCTGATTTTCAATTTGTAGCTCGGCCAAGAGATTTTTAATTTTATTATTCTTTGCCGCCTCATTCAACGCCTCGAGATCATTATTGTCCATGGGATCAATCTTGGGGAACATGCGACTAGTACCTTTTCGGATATCATTGCGGAAATTTTCCAAATAAGCGCGGCTGCTCTGATTCGCACTGTCGCTGTCGTCGCTGTCATCACTTCCACCGCTTTCATCATCATCATCATCATCGTCATCTTCATCTTCACTAGCATCACTAGTATCACTAGATGCTTCCTCACTGCCATCATAGCTCTCATCACTTTCATCATTGATATCACTTAAATGATTCCGGTCACTGTCTTCATCATTGTCTGAGCCTTCGTCGCCGCTGTTGCTATCATTGCTGCCATCGCTCTCATTCTCTTGTGTGAAACTGAGATCTTCATCCCCCGAAAGGCCAATGCCATTACTGTCATCTGTGCTGGTCACACCTTCAGTTCCCATTGCATTGTGACCTTTACTAATACCATTCATATTATTTGCATCACTAATGCCATTTAGATAATTGATGTAGTTGACGTCGTCGCTCGCATCGCTGTCGTCGCTATAATCACTGTCTGTGTCACTGTCGTCTAACAAACTAATTCCTTCAATGCTATTAATGTTGCTGAGATTCAAGCTACCAAGTCTTCCAATTGCCTCAAGATCGCTAACTTGGTCCAAGCTTCCGGCCCCGTACAAAACGGCTGCAATGTCTTCGTCGCTAAAGTTGGTGTCGTCGTCGTCAAAACTGTCATCACTGTCGTAAATATCATAGCTATCATCATATTCGTCAAAAGCTCCGTGAGTATCGTTCAAAGATGAAATTTCGGGTAGAGCAGAACTCACTATAATAGGACTATGCTCAGAAGTACTGTTGCCAGGTTTGCTTTTGGAATCGCCATTTGACGGTACCGGAGGAGCAGTTGGGTGACCATCCAATATTGTGTCAGTACCAGGCTCCGCAGTCTGAGAATCCTGAAAGCTACCAGATCCCTGGTGCCGGGACTCTTGTCCCAGCAAGTTGTCAGATTCCATAGCTGTAAGTATTTGTATATATAATTTGAAAAATTTACTTTGTCAAAGACAATGAAGAGGGAAAAAAAAAAATAAGTCTGAATGTCCCATGAAGCGTCTGAGGGTTTAATGTGGGTTAGGTAGGGTAACTATTGAATTTTGTGGTATACCGGTTCCTGCAACTTTTTTCTTTAATTTTTTTTTTTTTTTTTTTTTTTTCAGCCAACCATTAATTGCTGAAAATCTCAACCCTGATCCATTTAATATACATATAAATTAGTCACTGAGGAGCATCCAATCTACTGCGCCAAAGAAAAATAGAAAAAAAGAGTTATGCTCCAGGCAGTCGCAGTATGCTAAAGTTTAGCCGTCAATTTAGTGGTAAAGTCTATCACTTGAAGTTTTTGGCTCGAGCAAATGTCGACTATTGGTCCTCGAGCCGTGATTTGCTCGCGCGATCAACAGTAGCAGCAGTAGCAACAGCTACAACAATAGCATCCTCAACTCAGACTCAGCATATTTCTCCAGCATTTAGCATAAGACATTTCAGTCATAGCTCAAGTAGGCAAAACGAGATTCAGCTTCCGGAAACTACTACTTCTCTTACTCCGCAATCCCAACCTGCTACAACACTTTTTACCAATGTCGCACATCAAATCAAACAAGACAATAGCATTGCACTACTTGATCCTTCAGATTCTTTAGTTGTAGACCTAGAAGCAACATACAATGTTCTCAAGCCACAAGTAAATGACGAAAATAACTTTGAGAGGCAATGGGTTCCGATGTTTAATCAAGTAAAAGATCTAAAGACCACTCAAACAAACCTAGTATCGCTCTTATTGTCTACAGGAAACCCGGTTGACAAGTTCAACGCTGCATATTTAATCAGTTGTCTTGTTTTACGGGCCACCAAAAAATACGCTGCTACAACTCTTCTCGACATTTGTGCTCAGCTGATAGCCGACGGGCACTTAGACCAATGCCGAAACATAATTGAATTTTGGAATATTTTCCATCTTCATCATCCTGTGGTCCCTGGAGGTGAGAGTAGTGACCTGAAAAAACATTTAGTAGAACGAGTTATTCGACAAGCATTCAAGACTGGTCAACATCTTTTTGCCGCAGAGGCATTGATTAGGTTTTACAAGCAAGATGTAAATCTGATATCACGACCTTTGGTTTCACAGGCAGTACGAATGCTTTTGATATACCGGCCATCTTTTTCGGCATACAATATTTTGGCACTGCAAAGACTATTTGAGGAGCTGCCACCGTCTTTAGTCCGGCTGACGGCGGACGAAAAACGCAAACTTGTTAATTTGGGGATGCGAGTGCAAACAAAGGGTGTTATCCCATCGTTTGCTAATGACGTTTACGACTTGGCCCTAAAAATTCCCGGAGAAAAGATTCCATTGGAGCCGGTCTGTTCGTTAATACGATTAAACATTCGCTACAACACAACTTCTCGTGCCTCTAGGCTTTTCCACGACCTGCGGAAACAAAGCAAGTCAGTCGTGGCCAATATGGATATTGAGACGCTGATACTTATGATTCGACATTTTTCACAACACCGAAAATATCTGCATCTAACGCGCGACATTGTGGAAATGATACCACCAGATATGTATTTGTCGGAAGGCCTCATAGAAACACTTTTATCATACTGCGCGCGGGTGCGAAACGAGGAGCTAGCCATGAAGCTTTATCAATCACTAGAGACTCCTATTGCACGAAGCGTGTTGACAGCTCTGTTGCATTTGCATATATCGTTTGATGACAATGATGGCGCAGAAAAGGTGCTTGCAGAGATCTCGCGACGCGGAGATTTTTTACGGCCCGTGGAGTTTTCAATGGTGACTGGGGCAGCATTGAAACACGGGAATCTGGAAAAGGCGCTGGAGCTGATTAAAGAGAATCCGCCACATGTTGCACAGATGGGATACGGGTTGGTGATGAATGCTGCTATTGAACGGTCTGATCTGACACTAGTGGACGAGGTACTGAAACTTGCAATGGAGAACTTGGAGATTGGTAATCCAGAGTGTAATACTATTTCGCACTTGATGATTAAGAAAATTAATAAGTTTGAAGGATGTGAGGCTGCACGCGTTCAATACTTAAAGTGGAAGATAATGAAGCGCGAGGTAGTAGCTAAGGTTCAAATGCCCGATCCTAAAACGCAACTGGTAGTTGTACGAACCATTTTAGACCAGGCCATCAAGGAAAAGAACCGAAGGGTACTGCGGTGGGGGTTGCATGAGCTGCGGCATCTGGGAGTGCATACCAAAGATATTTACAAGGAGATTTCACGAAGAAAAGGTCTCTCTGTGGATATTGTCAAAAAGATTTTCAGCGAAAAAGTTATACCTGAGCAGTTAAAAGTTTAAATCTTGTAAATAATAATATAATAGATTTTTGTTTTTTTTTAATTTTTTTTTTATTTACATTCTATATATACAGGTTTTTGGAAAGGGAAAGAAAAAAAAAAAAAAAAGGAATAGTATGAATTGTTTATTTCTTGGAAGAGCCACTGAAAGCCTGAGAAATGGAGTTTTCAAGTTGTTCAAGTTCAGGGTCCTCGGGAGCGTTGAGGTACTGAAGCTCCTTCTCGGCACCTCCCATGAGGGACTTCATTTTTATCGAAAAATCCTTGGCGGAAGAAATGCCGGTGATCCAAGCAAAACCAACTGCAGTGAAGGCAAACGTCGAAACAGTCATGGTGGTAGCAATACCGACTGCCACCGCAGCGTCCTTGACCAAATTAAAGTTGGGAGGTCTATTATTTGAGTCGAAAAGGAGAGGGACATCTGATGGGTTAAGTTAATGGTGTTATGTGATGATTCAATATGAGAAATTATACATACACTTTCTGGAAATGACCGACTTTCTACCCATGAGAGCAGTGGTGATTGAAAGAGAGCCTAAAGCCAGAAACCCAAGCATCTGCTTAGTTTGCAGAACGGTCTGTTGCTCTGGGGTAAGAGGCGCGATGGTGGCAGGCTTATATTGTGTGGCCATTGTTGACTGTATAGTTATGGATGTTTGAAAGTCCTAGAGACAACAGTTGGTGGTGATGCTTGAAAATTATGAGGTTGGTGATTTTTCAATGGGAGGTTTGACAATTTTTTTATTTTTTATTTTGTTTGAAGAGTTATTTTTATTATGTTAGTTAAATAGATGGTATATGTCATCTGTTGTTACACACCATGTTACAATTATAATCATCTCGGGTCTGACAGGAGGAACTGAATTCCGTTAGGTATGGTGATTTCCAAAGTCAAAATTCGGGCTTTCCTCTCACACCCCAAAATTTTCTTTCTTTTTAATTCTTTTGGAAATATAAAAAACTGCGAAATTTCCTCTTATCTTTGCCAAATACCAATAAACCCCCAATTTTTTTTCCCCCTTTATAAATCAAGTGATTCAAAATGCATCCCCAGTTTGACGAAAGACGTATTTCCAGTATGTATTCTCGATACCAATTATCAGTCTTTTAACTAACTTTATTCAGAATGCGGTAAACTTATCGAGGCTTTGGAAGAATGCCATAGACTCGGAATGATTGACAGAATATTTGGTGCATGCAACACTCAAAAGGAGGCCTTGGTTCTGTGTCTACGACAAGATCGTTATGACAGACAACGCGAACACCTGGAAAAGTCTCTTCAGCGCAACAAGGAAATGAAACAAAAATGGAAGAAGATCGATGAGGAGGAATATGGCCCCGGTGGCTATCTGCGAGAAGTCGAGCAGAAGAAGAGAGAAGGTACTACTGCTACTTCTTCAAATACCCAAGAGCAGTAAAAAAAAAAAGGATGATATTATGACGGGAGGATCATATTTTTCAACTACACTTTCCTTTTTCATGAATTTCTTTACGCGGTTTATTTAAATTTTTTTATTCGTTTTATTTGTATATATTAATAATAATGGTATCTTCATCATAATCATCATAATAGTTGGTTCACAGCTTTTTTTTTTGTCTAACCCCACAGTCTAATCTTGTCGAGTCTTGAGAAGTCGCTTAACGACCTTATCCTTGGTTCTATAAGAAAGATAGTTAGCAAGAAATATGGGCACTTTAAATGAATATACTTACACAACGTAAACCACAGCACCCCAGCCACTAAGCGCGTCGCGGTCAACTGCATTCAAGAGTGCTTGAGAAATGACTTCGAAAAGCTCTTCTGGTTCCAAATCTGGTTCCCAGAGCGACTCACACATGCCAAATAGTTGGTCGGATGCAGTGCCTGTAACTGCAAAGTCTTTTGAAAAGTCGATGCACCCGATCAGGTCGAACGAGCAGATGAATGGCTTGCCTGTCTTTGAGTTAATGCCGGCAACGACAGGTCCAATAAAGTATGGTCCAAAACGCTTTTGGTAGAGAGTCGAGGAAACGAGGTTGGCGAAAGTCTCTGGTTCAATGGGGTGATCCTCGCGCATCTTGTACATATTTGTTTTTAATCGGAAAACTTCACTAAGACTGATAACGTCTGTTGCGAGACCCGTCAGGCCCAAAAAGGTGTTGTCGTAGTTGAAGATTTTTTCAAAGTTGTTGGACACGCCGATTGACTGCATGCCCAGTCGGAGATCACAGGCAATGGCAAAACAGTCCTTACCCACCATTGCCACGCAGGAACCACCTGTTAAGAAAAAAAAAAGTTGTGTTAGCAAAGAATGTTTGTTGGATATAAGATAGAGATGAGTGGCAAATAGTTATTTGAACCTACCATTGATTTCTTGAGGATTAGACATTATTGTGAGTTAGTGTGTATGTTAAATGGAATTGAGGATCTTTACAAAAAAAAAATTCAGTAGATGGACGAAACACACACAACAGGGTTTATAGAAGGCTGGGATGTTGATGAATTGCTTAAACTTGTGTGATATATTTCAAAGGGCTGAAGGGGAGGTGATGATTGATGGCGATTGTGATATTGGGGGAGAGGGGAGGTGGATGAGCCGGGTGTTACAACGTATTGATGTTACAGAAATTATTTGTAACGGGATTTTGCCACACACTTGTTACAAACGGATCCGAACCGGGTTCTAGAATCTAATAGTTATTTTTGGGTAAGTATTTATTTACTGGGTAATTATATATAATTACATTTTAGTAACTTGTATTTTTTTTTTTATAAGAGGCCTTCAATAACGCACGCGCCACCAGAAACTTTGCTGGTTTGCCACCAGCCGGGTCCCCTTGAAAGGCCCTTTTTTTTATTTTTATTTTTATATTTTGTCAGCATTGGCTTAAATTCTTTAAGAGCAACAAATTTTTTTTAAGCGCTCAAAGTTATTTACGTGCTATATGCATATTGTATTCAATGCCACCAATTGATTAAATTGCTTAATTAAACGATCTCCATTGAGCCAGGATGGCATCTTGACTTTATGCTGGCAACTAATGCCCACTTAGCAATCTAATTCATGGGATTGGCCTTTTCTTTGAGGTGGTAAAATTTTTTTTTTTTATTTTTTTTTTCAAATGCTTTTTTTTTTGTATGTACAGCCGGACCGCTGCGCTGGCAACAAGCCGGACTGTCGCCCTCAAAAAATTTTTACTGGGTAAGGGTAACTTCCATAATAGGAAATTTACATCATCATTACATAATACTTTTAGATCACAGAAAAAATTTTTTGTTGGCCAACCGCCTATTAAAATTTTTTCATATATAAAACCAAAAGAATTTCCCACTTTTAGAATTTTTTTTTTTTTTTTTTCCCTTTTCCTTTCCTCAATATATATATTTCGAATATATATACCAGCATCTATTCCAGTAGATACCCCCAAACACCCATAATGGCCTCCTCCGAAGCTAAAGGTTCCATCGCCGTCCTGAGCGAGCTTTTCGCCAAGGTCAAGATTGCTTCTTCCCCTGAAGAAGTTGAGACTGCCGCTTCCAACCTTTCCTCCTTTGTCAACGGTCCCATTGAGGAGCACGATGCCCCCGTTGCTTTCTTCAAGGAGCTGAAGGAGGCTGCCTCCAACAAGAAGGATGTCAAGGCTAAGGTCAACGCTCTTGAGGCCATTTCCTTCATTGCCTCTTCCAAGGACTACTCCTCTGCCGTCGAGCCCTACATTATTGGTCTCACTTACACTGTTCTTGACGCTACTGCTGACAAGAGCAACGAAGTTCGCGCTGCCGGTGACAAGGCCATCAAGGCTATTGCCTCCAACGTCACTCCCCGTGCCGTCAAGGTCCTCGTCCCCTATCTTCTTGAGCGTGTTGAGAAGTCTAACAAGTGGACTGAGAAGGTTTCTGCTCTTGAGGCTATCTCCATCCTTGTCGATGTTGCTCAGGCCCAGATTGCTCTTCTTATGACCCAGCTTATCCCCGTCCTCTCTGAGGCCATGTGGGACACCAAGGCTGATGTCAAGAAGGCTGCTACTGCCACTATCACCAAGTCTACCGACACTATTGACAACAAGGATATTGAGAAGTTTATTCCTGCTCTTATCAAGTGTATCTCTGACCCTACTCTTGTTACTGAGACTGTCCACATTCTTGGTGCTACTACCTTTGTTGCTGAGGTTACCACTGCTACCCTCTCCATCATGGTTCCCCTTCTTTCCCGTGGTCTTGCTGAGCGTGACACTTCCATTAAGAGAAAGGCTGCCGTCATTGCTGACAATATGTGTAAGCTCGTCGACGATCCCCAGGTTGTTGCCCCCTTCTTGCCCAAGCTTTACCCTGCTCTTAAGAAGAACTACGAGATTATTGCCGACCCTGAGGCCCGTGATGTCACTCTTCGTGCTATCAACACCTTGAAGCGCGTTGGTGAGATTGGCGCTGACGACGTGATTCCTGAGGTCTCTACTGCCGGTGACATTTCTGTCAATCTTGTGTACGTTAACGAGATTCTTAACGGTAAGAATGTCGACTCTAAGTTTGCTCCCGTTCTTGAGTACATTGCTGCCATTTCTGGTCAACTCATTGACGAGCGCAACACCGACTCCAACGTCTGGGCTGAGTCTATCACTAGATTCTTCACTGTCTTTGCCCACGAGAAGGACTCCAAGGCTTACGTTGACGAGCTCCGCAACAAGGCTGTTGCCAATATTCCCGGTGCTTCCCACCTTGATGAGGAAGACGACGATGGTGAGGATCTCTGTAACTGTGAGTTCTCCCTTGCTTATGGTGCCAAGATTCTTCTTAACAGAACCCAGCTCCGTCTTAAGCGTGGTCGTCGTTACGGTCTTTGCGGCCCTAACGGTGCTGGTAAGTCCACTCTTATGAGAGCCATTGCCAATGGTCAGCTTGAGGGTTTCCCCTCCCCTGATGTCCTTAAGACTGTCTACGTCGAGCACGACATTGACGGTACCCACGCCGACACTGACGTTGTTTCTTACGTTCTTGCCACTGCTGGTGACATTGGCACCCGTGATGAGATTAAGAAGACTCTTGTTGAGTTCGGTTTCTCTGACACTATGATTAACGGTGCTATTTCTGCCCTTTCTGGTGGTTGGAAGATGAAGCTCGCTCTCGCTACTGCTGTCTTGAGAAAGGCTGATATTCTCCTTCTCGATGAGCCTACTAACCATTTGGATACTGTTAATGTTTCTTGGTTGGTCAACTACCTCACTACCTGCGGTATTACTTCTATCATTGTCTCCCACGACTCTGGTTTCCTTGACCGTGTCGTTGAGTACATTATCCACTACGAGAGATTTAAGCTTAGAAAGTACAAGGGCAATCTCTCTGAATTTGTCAAGAAGGTTCCCACTGCCAAGTCTTACTACGAGCTTGGTGCCTCTGAGATTTCCTTCCAGTTCCCTGAGCCTGGTTTCCTCGAGGGTGTCAAGACTAAGCAGAAGGCTATTGTCAAGGTCCAGAACGTTACCTTCCAGTACCCTGGTACCACTAAGCCCCAGATTAAAAACATTAACTTCCAGTGCTCTCTTTCCTCCCGTATTGCCGTCATTGGTCCCAACGGTGCTGGTAAGTCCACTCTTATCAATGTTTTGACTGGTGAGTTGCTTCCTACTGAGGGTGAGGTTTACGTCCACGAGAACTGCCGTATCGCTTACATTAAGCAGCACGCTTTCGCCCACATTGATAACCACTTGGACAAGACTCCTTCCGAGTACATTCAATGGCGTTTCCAGACTGGTGAGGATCGTGAGACTATGGATCGTGCCAACAGACAGATTAACGAGGATGACGAGAATGCCATGAACAAGATTTACAAGATTGAGGGTACTCCTCGTCGTGTTGTTGGTGTTCACGCCAGAAGAAAATTCAAGAACTCTTATGAGTACGAATGTTCTTTCACCCTTGGTGAGAACATTGGCATGAAGTCTGAGAGATGGACTCCTATGGGTTCTGTTGACAATGCCTGGATTCCCAGATCTGAGCTTATTGAGTCCCACGCCAAGCTTGTTGCTGAGGTTGATATGAAGGAGGCTCTTGCTTCTGGTCAGTTCCGTCCTCTTACTAGAAAGGAGATTGAGTCTCACTGCGCCATGTTGGGTCTTGAGGCTGAACTTGTTTCTCACTCGCGCATTCGCGGTCTTTCCGGTGGTCAGAAGGTCAAGCTTGTCCTTGCTGCCTGCACATGGCAACGTCCTCATTTGATTGTTCTTGATGAGCCTACCAACTATCTCGACAGAGACTCTCTTGGTGCTCTTTCCAAGGCTCTTAAGGACTTTGCTGGTGGTATTGTTATCATTACCCACTCTGCCGAGTTCACCAAGGATTTGACTGATGAAGTTTGGGCTGTTCTTGATGGTCAAATGACTCCTTCCGGCCACAACTGGGTTTCTGGTCAGGGTTCTGGTCCTCGTCTTGATAAGAAGGACGATGACGAGGAGGACAAGTTTGATGCCTTTGGCAACAAGATTGAGGTTAAGAAGAAAGTCAAGAAGCTTTCTGCTGCTGAGCTCAGAAAGAAGAAGAAGGAGAGAATGAAGAAGAAGAAGGAGCTTGGTGACGCTTACGTTTCTTCTGATGATGAGTTTTAAAAATAAAGCTTGTTTAAGAGGAATCGGGAAGAAGATGAAAAGATAATTCTCTTGTTTTAATTTTTTTTGGAACTCTAGTGTTTTTTTTAGCTTTCTAATCTTATAGTTGTATTTTTTGATAATAAAAAAAAATTTTAAAATAAAAATAAATGTAAAAAACTAAGGTCTTTTAAGGTCTTTTGAAAGAGTTGATTTTGGAGTTTTAGTAAATGAAGACTTAGATATGTGTATTATATATATGTGTTTATTATTATGGAGAGATATGATGATTGATTGAAATTTATTTTTTTTATTTTTTTTATTTATTTTAGTTTATATAAATACGTTAGTTGCATGATTTTTTGGCGGGGCTTTAAGAGCCGAGGAATTAAGGTCAGCAGACTTTACAGTATTACAATAACTAAATAAATAAAAATAAAAAAAAACTAGTCGATGATGCCGTTTATTTATTTATTATTCTAGAAAAAAAAAAAAAAAAAAAAAACAGCTTTAATGCTTGGAATTTAAAAGAAGGTTAAAAAAAAAAAATAAAGATTTTAAAAAAGACTACTGATGAATTATGATTTATGATAAATTATTTATGAATGAATATCAAAGTATTTAATTTTTTTTTTTTTTTTTTTTTTTTTCTAATTGTTGTTACTACTGCTTAGATAAGTTTGTAAAAGTCCAAAGACTATTTAAACGGTAAAAAATTCCCACCTGAATCGTTCCGCTTCTTTCCTCCCTACCCCCCCTTTATCCCCCTTCTTTAATCAATAACAACAACAACAACAACAACAATATCTTTTTTATATATACAGAATAAAAAAAAAAAAATTTTTTTTCTCTCTTCTTAACAACAACAACAACAACTATCACAACAGTTTTTTTTTTTTTTTCTTCTTTTTCTTCTAATACAAACTACATGAATACACTTTTTTCAATAATACCAACAGAGGTAGATACAGCCTTCAAGGTGACGGGCGGGCCCGGGTTCACCAACGACACCAATATGTATATTATACCTGAAGCACCTGAAGTGGTATTACAGATAAAGCCACCACTACTGCCATTTATTACGGATAATCATCTTGCACTTATTTTGCCCATCATTGTGTATTGGTCGATGGGACTGTTTTTCCACGTTTTAAACGAGCGAAACATGTTTGCACGGTACCGACTACATACACCAGAAGAACTAGAGAAGCGTAACAAATGTTCACTATGGCAAGTCTTACGGGCTGTATTTATTCAACACTCTTTGCAAACGATATCGGGTATTTTATTGGAAATGTTTGAACCCCATGAGACTACAGGCCATGAGGCGCGTGCACTTTGGGGGATTGAGCACTGGTTTTTGTTGAATGGGTTACTGAATGTAAAACTAAGCAAGGACATGTCATGGTTTGTATACTACGTGATTAAACCTGGATTTAAACTTGGAGTGGCATTTTTTATTATTGATACCTGGCAGTTTTTCTTACACCGATACATGCATATGAACAAATTTCTTTACAAGCACCTTCATTCAGTTCACCATCGATTGTTTGTGCCTTATGCTTTTGGGGCACTTTATAATAGTGTACTGGAGGGCTTTTTATTAGACACTTTGGGAACAGGAGTGGCACATTTGGTGACAGGGCTGACTGCACGGGAGTCTGTAATTTTATATGTTTTTTCAACTATGAAAACAGTAGATGATCATTGTGGGTATGCACTACCTTGGGATCCGTTCCAGTTACTTTTCCCCAACAATGCCATTTATCATGATATTCATCACCAACACTTTGGTATCAAAACCAACTTTTCACAACCATTCTTTATATTTTGGGATAAACTATTTGGTACACGGTATACTCAGATGGATGAGTATGTGGCTAAGCAGCATGAGATTCGCGAAGCCAAGTATAGAGAGCACTTGGAGCAGCAACGTGAGGAACGGGAAAAGAAGGAACAGTAAAAAAAAAAAAAAAAAAAAAAAAAAAAAAAAAGGCAGGAGAGGGGAGATGGATGGAGTCAAGATGAAGAAGTAATTCTTGAAGGGGAGTGTTTTTTTTTTTTTTATTATTTCTGAAAGAGGATGTTTTTTTTTTTATTTTACAATAATGTATAGTGTACAAAATTTTTATTACTTGTTTTTTTTTTTTAATAATTATGAATTTGTTTGATTCAAGTATATTGATTTGATTTAATTTGATTTTTTGCCTTGTTGAATCTCACAAAGTATTGTAATTGAGATATTGATTAGATGGAAAGAAATTAAAGAGAGTAGGCTGGTAGTGGTAATGAATTGGTGGTGGTGGATGATTTATTTTAAAAAGATTTCAACGGTTTTAAATTTTAAGATAAAAAAAAAAAGAAAAAAAAAACTTGATTCAAAATTTGAGACACTGGTTAAATAAATAAATAAATTATTTTCAGTTTATTTATTTTTTTTTTTTTTTTGTAAAATTTCTACTATATTCTAAGGATATTATTTTATACCTAAGAAAAAGTAATACGAGATGGTATTTTATTTGATATTTAGATAGATTTGAAGGCAGGTTTTATAGTGAATAAAACTATTAATACTAACAAAAAGGAAAGAAAACGAGAAAAAAACGAATATATAACAAGAAATCTTTTCAAAGTAATAAAAAAAAATAACTAAAAAGTTTAAACTAAGGGCTTTAAGTCTTTATATATATAAAGAGACATAAAGACCAGTATAGAAGAAGAAGAAGAAAAAAAAAAGATAATTTGGATATAATAAGAATTTTTTTTTTTTTTTTTTTTTGTTAAGAACAATAATGAAAGATTGAAATGTAAAGATAAAGATAAAGATAAAGAAAAAAAAAAGGAAGGGTAGTTTAAAAAGATATTTTGTTAGAGAAAAGTGTGTAGATGACGATATAATTTAAAAAGGGTATTTTATATTGGATTAGATTAGATTAGATTAGATTATAAAGTATCAAATAACAATAGTATTTTGTATAAAATAGGTGAGTCAATGTAGAGATGGATATACTTTTGGTGGTAACGAAATAAAAATAAATAAAAATAAATAAATAATAAATAAATAAAAGTCTGGTATATAAAGGTTGGTATTATTTATAATGACTATTAAGAAACAAAAGAAGATGATAAAGAGAAAAGAATATAAGGTATTATGAAAAAAAAAAAAAAAAAAAAAAAAAAAAACTTTTGGTAATTTTTGAAAATCATAGAATGGTAGAATTGTAGATTTTTTTTTTTCAAATGATAGTTGTTGAATGAAAGTTGAATTTCTAGAAAGAAAAGAAAGGAAAAAAAAAAAAAAGGAATTAAAAGTGAATTTAAATCCAAAGATTTTTAAACTCCATGGAGATGAGATATATATAAATATATAAATATATTTTTTTTTAACAGCCTTCTATTGTTATTGTTATATTTTTTTTTCTCTATTAAGAATTGTATGATTATAATGATTTTTGTAATTATTATTATAATAATTAATATTTTTAAGAATTTTTTAAAAGATTGAAATGTTTTTTTGCAAATTATAATTTTGATTATCATCACCACCATGTATATTTTTTTTTACAATACTTTATATATATAAACATGTGTAAATTTCATACTGATGTACTGATATATACTTAATATTGCACGTGCTTTGGTCGATTGGCAGCAAAGGGCAATGCCAAAATAAAAAAAAAAAAAAAAAAAATAAATAAATAAATTTTGGCTGCGCAGCCACTCAATCGGGAAAGGCCAAAGCTGTTTTATTTGAAAAAAAAAAAAAAAACACACGTGCAACAGCACCGCAACAAGACAGGCCAACTTTTAATATAAAATGTTTATTTATTTATTATTAATAAAGACATTGGAAGGAAGAACCGGCACAAAAATGTATTTTCAAAAAGTGATCAATTGAGCAGCAGCCTTCATTAATTATTTTATTTTATTTATTTATTTATTAAGGACCCTGAAAAAAAAATAAAAATAAAAAACTACGTGCTACTTTGTACTCTTGATGGTTGGCTGGTTGTTGTTGTTGTTGTTTTTTTTTTTTTTGTTTGAATAAAATGTCGTCGCGCCCAAAAAAAAAAAAATTAAAAAAATTAAAAAAAAAATTATTTGGCTGTTTTTGATACCTGAAAAAAAAAAAAAAAAAAAAATTACACACACATACACGCGGCAAACAGCAGCAGCAAGCAGGTAGGCAGGCAGGTAGGCAGCAGCGAAAAAGTGTAGCAGAAAAAGGCAGGCAGGCAAGTAGGCAAGTAGGCAAGTAGACAGGCAGCAGCAGCAGCAGCAGCAGCAGCAGCAAAAAAAAAAAAAAAAAGGCAGCCGTTGATCAAAAATTCTTAAATTTTGTTAAAAATCTCATCCTCTAATAGATTTTTTTAATTTTTTTAATTTTTTTAATTTTTTTAATTTTTTTTAATTTTTTTTAATTTTTTTAATTCTTTTAATTTTTTTTTCTTTATTTATTTCTTTATTTATTTCTTTCTTTCTTTCTTCTTACCAACAAACTTTATCATTTTCAATTCTTAAAAAAACAAAAAAAAAAACACCATCATCTTTTTTTTTTTTTTTTTTTTTAACTTTTTTAATCTTTGCTTAAAACCAACCTAACAATGAAGTTTGGTGAACAGCTCAAATCGTCTCTTATTAGGTATGATTTTATTTTTATTTTATTTTATTTTTATATTATTATTAGCCACTCTTTTTTTTTTTTTTTTAATTAAATACATATATCTAACTAGCCACAGAGACTACTATTATTACTACATCTCCTACGATGACCTAAAGGCTGACCTTAAAAAAACTCTTAAACAACACTCTTGGACTGAAAAAGATGAAGAACGCTTTGTTGGTCTCCTTGAAGCTGAACTTGACAAGGTCTATACTTTCCAAAAAGTTAAAAATGGTGAAATTGCTCGCAGAATTAAAGATGCTGAACGCGAAGTCAATGCTGTTGTCCATCAACTTGACCTTAATGACCCTCCCACTGAACAACAATTTGAAGACCTCGAAGAAGAACTCTCAGATATCATTGCTGATGTCCATGACTTGGCCAAATTTACCCGCCTTAATTATACTGGATTTCAAAAAATTATTAAAAAACACGACAAACAAACTAACTGGACTCTTAAACCAATCTTTTCTGTTCGCCTCAATGCTAAACCCTTCTTTAAAGATAATTACGATGTGGTTGTAGTCAAAATCTCAAAACTTTATGATTTGGTCCGTACAAGAGGTAACCCAGTCAGAGGTGACTCTGCAGCTGGTGGTGCCCAACAAAACTTTGTCCGCCAAACTACAAAATATTGGGTCCATCCTGATAATATCACGGAACTTAAGCTTATCATTCTTAAACATCTCCCTGTCCTTGTCTTTAACTCAAATAAGGAATTCGAGGTTGAAGACTCTGCAATTACCTCCATCTATTACGATAACCGTGACCTTGACCTTTACAAGGGCCGTCTCGAGAAAAATGAAGGTGCTGAAGCCCTCCGTCTTAGATGGTATGGTGGTATGAAATCTGACTTGATTTTCGTTGAACGTAAAACCCATCGTGAAGATTGGACTGGTGAAAAGTCTGTCAAGGCCCGTTTCCCCCTCAAGGAAAAACACGTCAATGACTTTATGGTTGGAAAATACACTGTTGCTCAAGCTTTTGAAAAGGCTCGTAAAGAGGGGAAAAAACCTCTCAAGGAAATTGAATCCCTTGAAGCCCTTGCCCGTGAAGTCCAATACTCTGTCCTTACCCGCCACCTTCGCCCAGTCATGCGCTCCTTCTACAATAGAACTGCCTTCCAACTCCCCGGTGATGCTCGTGTCCGTATCTCCCTTGATACTGAACTTACCATGGTCCGTGAAGACAATTTCGACGGATATGACCGTACCCACAGAAACTGGCGTCGTATGGACATTGGTGTCGATTGGCCCTTTAACCAACTCCCCCCCAAAGACGTTGAACGTTTCCCCTATGCAGTCCTTGAAGTTAAGCTCCAAACTCAAATGGGCCAAGAACCCCCACAATGGGTCCGTGAACTCGTCGCTTCCCACCTTGTTGAAGCTGTCCCCAAATTCTCAAAATTCATTCACGGTTGTGCTACCCTTCTCCCTGATATGGTTACCCAAATCCCCTTTTGGCTCCCCCAAATGGATGTCGATATTCGTAAACCCATCATGGCTCACTACGGTATTGAACACCCTGCCCACTACGGCTCTTCAATCTCTGGCGGCTCCGATGATGCCGGTTACTTTGACGAGGAAGAACTTGTTGGTGATGGCGTTGCTGCTGCCGCCGGATCTGTAGTCCGCTTCGACTCTGACGCAAATGCTCCCACCTCTTCCACCTCGGAAAATGCCCCCCTCTTGGCTCACTCCGTTCCTAAACCTAAAAATACCTTTTACAAGCCTGTCCATTTTGAAAACCTCCCCCCAGCTCTTGGCTCTACCTTCTCGGCCCTCTACAACCCTATTGCCAATTTCTTTTTTGACGTTTTCATCAAACAAGTTGATGTCTCTACCATCCCTGCTGGCACAGAATTTATTTCCGATATCAAGGTCCCCAAGGGTAAACGCATTTGTGTGCCTGTCCGTGTAGAGCCTAAGGTTTACTTTGCCAATGAACGTACCTTCCTCTCTTGGATGCACATTGCTATCTTTTTGTCCACCATTGCTGGTGGTCTCCTCAACTTTGGTCAGGGTGCCTCTCTCGAGGCCTCGCTTGGCTTCTTTCTCACCGCGGCTCTTACCATCATTTATGGTCTTTTCATGTACTTGTGGCGCAGATACCACATTCGCCACAAGGATGCCGTGCGTTATGATGATATGATTGGGCCTACCTTGATTTGTGGCGCTATTTTCCTCTCTACAGCCGCAAACTTTTACTTTAGATATACCCAGTCATGATTTTATCATTGAACTCTTTTGTTTTTTTTTCCTTTTTCTTCTTCTTCTTCTTCTTCTTCTTCTTCTTCTTATTTTGTTCATTATTATTATTTTTTTTTTTAAATTGTTGACTTTTAATAGTAGATGTAAATTATAATAATTCTAATACTTTTCATATCCAACAGCTTCCAAACGAGCTGTCTTCCCAAGAACCTCAGTCTCCATAGCCACATGGTACTCATCAATCTTAGTCTGGTACTCAGGCATAAAGGCTCCTAAAATACGAATGGCCAATAGCGCAGCATTGGTCGAGTTATTGATGGCAACCGTAGCTACAGGAATGCCACGAGGCATCTGCACAATCGAATGCAATGAGTCCACACCATCCAGAGTTGAGCCCTTAACAGGTACACCAACAACAGGAAGTGATGTCATAGCGGCAACCATTCCGGGCAAATGGGCAGCACCTCCGGCACCTGCAATCACAACACGGAGGCCTCTAGCGGCAGCCTCAGTAGCGTAACGGGTCATACGGTGTGGTGTGCGATGAGCAGAAACAATCTTAACTTCAAATGGAACACCAAACTTTTTAAGAATATTGCAACCAGCTGACATAACAGGTAAATCTGAATCAGAACCCATAATAACGCCAACTAAAGGTTGTGAACTTGTGCCAGCAACAGCATCCTCCTTCTCCTCAGATGATGATGATGATGATGGTTCGGGAACAACAGTCTTACCCAAAACTCGAGCAAGACGAGCCTCAGCTTGTGACATGGATCCAGCAATAATATTAATGTGACCCATCTTACGGTTGGGCCGAGTTGTCTTGCCATACAAATGAATAATGGTACCAGGAACTGTCAATGATCGCTTACAATCCTCCAGCTCGCCGTTAGGAGTGTCTGCACCTAGAATGTTGTACATAATAGCGACAGTATTAGGGGTAGCCATAGTTGCAAAGTCGCGGGCAAAAGGTAGACCGAGCACAGCACGCACGTGGGCCTCAAACTGGGATGTAACACATCCGTCAATGGTATAATGTCCAGAGTTATGGGGTCTGGGGGCAATTTCATTAAGCAGAATAGATCCATCACGGAGCAAAAACATTTCAACACCATAAATACCTGCACCTTGTGGCAACGAACTGATACACTTGTCTGCCAAAAACTGGGCTTTTGCTCGAATAGAATCTGCAACACGCGCCGGTGCATATACAGTCTCACAAATATTGTTACGCTGAACAGTCTCAACTGTAGGATAGGCATATGTAGTTCCATCAATAGCACGTACAACCATTACAGCAAGCTCATGAGTAAAGTCAGCAAACCGCTCAGCGTACAACGGCAGTCCCTGGAGTGCAGCCAGAGCTGCAGTATGGTCTGCCGCACTCTTGACCACATAGTTACCGCGCCCATCATACGCGTTAGTCCGACTCTTAAGCATGTAGGGGTACCCAAACTTGGTTCCAATTTCGGCAAGTGCCTGTTCAGTTGACTCTTCAACAACCTCGACATCTGCAGTAGCAACACCGTGTTTGATGAGGTGCAACTTCTGAGTGTACTTATCTTGGATAAGTTTAATTGTTGCAGGCGATGGGTGGACCTGAACCTTACCCTTTGCTTCAATCTGTGCCAATACATCTGCATTGACATGTTCAATTTCGACCGTCAAAACATCACATTGCTCTGCAAGTTCAAAAATGGCTTCGGAGTTTGTGAATGAGCCGTTAACATGCGAGTTTTGAGCATTGATTTGCTTTGCAGGTGAGTTTTCACCATCCAAAATCACCGTCTTGACATTCAATCTGTTTGCGGCCTCGACCATCATACGGCCAAGCTGACCACCGCCAAGAATTCCAAGCACTTTAGAGTCCATTTTGGTATTGTAGAATAAATATATTATATATGGTATTAAAAAAAAAAATAAAAAAAGACGAAAGACGAAAGACGAAATGTCCTTTTGGTGAAGGATCTTTTGGATTGGAAAAACGAATGCAGTCAAATTATGGGAGGACTTTAAAAAAAAATTTTTTTTTTTTTTTTTTTTTTTCGAGAACTGTTTGCTGTCACGTGGTGCGGCTTAACCAATTACTTCTTTCTGATCAAAAAAAAAAAGTCTTTGAGTCACCGATAGATTGTAAAAAAACATATATATTGAAAGAAAGTAGCTTTTAAAGTAAAGGCCTAAATTACTAAATGAGAAACTGAAAACTAAGAAACAAGAATTTTTTTGTCTTTGAAATGCTTGCAGGTTTAGTATATTTAATATATTGTAATGGTATTTTCAGATTTTTTTTCAGAACAAGTGTACGCTGGTAGAAGGTAGCACTCTAAACATTGTGAACTTCGATCCATAATCTAGCTGAGATATATTTCATTTGCTAAAAGGATCTAAAATGTCTACTATTTTATTTAAAAATGAAAAAAAAAATAAAATTTAAACCAATTTGAGTTGATTTTAAAGTTATTTATAAATAATTAAGGGGTGGAAAGTTTTGCTAATTACAAATAAATAAAAATAAATAAAAGTTTCCCTACCAAATTGGATTTTATTTTTTTAAAAAATCACTTTTTTTTTTTTTTTTTTTTTTAGATATTCATTAACAAACCTATTGGAATTCAACTGGTGTACCGTTTAAAAATGTTATAAAGTATTGAAAAAAAAAAAAAAAAAAAAAAAAAGCAATAGACTCTAATCAAATGCATGGACTACTACTTGTAGTAACTCAATAAGTTTTTAAGAGAAACAACCATGAATTCTGCATTTTTTTTTTCATTGCATCACATCCAACCAAGCTTAGCTCAGCTTAGCTTTTTTTTATTTTTTTTATAAACAAAAATCTACAACAAATACAAAGAGTGGGCTTCAATGTATGATAATTAAATAAAACTATAGAAACTCTTAAATTGATTTTATAAATTAAAAGGATTCAACTTGTGATTTACTGGTTCAATGGACAAAAGAACAATAAAAAAAATCTCTAAGTACAGTGAGGCAACACGACACAGGTGAAAAAAGTACTTGTGTAGCATATTTCTAAAAAGATAAATGAGCTCACTTGCTACAACATAAAGATTTCTTTTATAGTGATAGAATTGGTCGTAGTTTGGTCTCTACAAAGAGATTTGAGTTCTTTTATAACTCTACAAACGTCAAGAGAAAGCTCACTAATAAAATTTATTAATCTTAAAACTAATTTTCAAACCATTACTGTAAGCTTATGTCGTTGGGGTTCCTAAGTTACTTTTTTTTTTTTTTCACACACCCTCTTCGTGTAAACTTATTGTAAAAACCTTTGCACAAGTATTGCACAAGTATTGCTATAAAATTAGTGTCTGTTCATCAACGTAAAAAAAAAAAATTAAAACAATTGATTCAACGAAATTATTTTTAAAAATATTCACTAAAATAAGGATTGTTTTTTATTTTTCTATTAAAATTTTAAAATAATTATTTTAATCAATAAAATAAAAAGAAATTAAAAAAGATAATTAAGCCCTACGGGGGGCTCGAACCCCCAACCTTGAGATAAACTCTTATTAAGAGTCTCACGCTCTACCGATTGAGCTAGCAAGGCACTTAATTAAAAGTTTTAAATGAATGCCATTACAAAACAGCCATGTAATTAACCTATATTTTATAAAAATTTGTTTGTTTAGCAAATTTGGGAAAGGGCTGGATGGTGTAAAGGGTAACACGTTCGCTCGATAGCGGAAGATACTGGGTTCGATTCCCAGAATACCCCCTTTTCCTGAGGATGTGTACGGGAGTATACACCTAGACTGAAAACCATAGGCTACCCTGGTTACAGGAATGCCGACTCTTCCGTACAGTCTAAATAGCCTGCAAGTGATTGCGGACCGTATCTCTGACGGAAGAGATTAAGAAATACATGGGCGTCCGTGAAGATAAGTGGAAATGGGTTGGGAAGGTTTTGGGACCGACAGACTGGTTCTCCCTGTTCCTCGTAAGCTGGCATCAGGGCCCATCTTCCGGGCTACCGGAGACGCACAGAACAGAAACCACCCGTACTAAAAAGGTACAAATGAAAACCGGCAAGTCACATAGTCAGACAATAAAAGGATAGCGCAGATGCTGATGTTATATAGTTCTATAACCCTTGAATAAAAACAAACAAACAAGCAAATTTTACCATTTTTTTGTAAATTAGAATCTGAAACTATTCATGAATTGTTCAAGATGCAAATTTGAAGTCAAATCAAAAGTTTTATAATGAAAATGAAAAGATATATAGTAAGAACAAGAATGATGGCGCTGATGCTGATGTTATATAATTCTATAACCCTTGAATAAAAACAACCAATTTAGCAGGTTTACTGTTAAAAGTGAAATTGAAGAAAACATCAAAACCTTATGCAACATATAAGAAAAATGTTATAACTGGGCTGAATCAAGAATGACGAAAATTGATTTGGGTGATAAATTGGGGTTTATTTATTTTAAAAAAAATATGAAACATAAAGATGAAAAAGTGCAACTTATTTTACCTAATGGAGAACTTCATGAACACCAGAAGGAAGTTAAACCATTTAAAATTACTTTAAACAATTTGTTTGATTTTAAGCCTCATATTTTGAATAAAATCAATAAAGCAAGAAAAACTGTTGGTGCTAATTGGCATTTTGGTGGAGTACAAAAAGGTATGAGGGGGTCTGCAGTTAGATTATTTCACTTTGCTAGAGTGAGACCAATTGTGCAATATGGCCTATAAATTTGGAATCATAAAATATTGTAAGGAGAATTCCACAAGTTGGACGTAATTCAGAATATCACTTTGAAAAGAATTGTTGGTGTTTATTTTACAACTTTTATTGGGGTACTACAAAAAAAGTTGGTATTATTTCATATAGACTAAAATTTATGGTGGTACGAAAAGCTATTCATTTATACCAAAATTTTAGCAACACTTGTCCTATTAATGGTCAATGGTCACTTGTTAACATTGATTGAACAATCTCCTATTACAAAGCTAACCAAGCTTCACATGCTGGCAAAGAATAACAGATATTTTATAATAAAGAAGAATAAAAAAAGATGATGCAAAAGGATTGACCCTCTCACGCTGAAGCAGCAACATAATTAGATCATTTATATTCCGAAGAAACAGTCAATCAAAGAGTGGAAAGAAACACATTGCAATAGTCGGAATAATTGAAAAAATTTGTGGAATCATAATATATATACTGATAATTATTTATTATAATTATTTTTGTTACCGATTTAAATTGATAACCTGCCAAAAAAATTGTTTGTTTGTTTTTATTCAAGGGTTATAAAATTATAAAACATCAGCATCTGCGCTATCCTTCTTGTCCATACTATATATCTTTTCATTTTCATAATAAACTTTTAATTTTGGCTTTAACATTGCATCTCCAATAGCCCGAAAATAAGTCCTGATGTCAGCTTACGAGGAACAAGGGGTTAAAAATAACCAAACCTTCCCAACCTATCTCCACTTGTCTTCATCAACGCTGTAATTGTATTTCTTAATCCCTCCAAGCTGAGATAAATCTTACAATCTCTTGTAAGCCAGTTAAGCTGTTTAAGAGAGTCGACATGTCCATCTCTGGAGATATCTGTTTCAATCCTTTTCTTTCCTCTTCAAGCAAAGGACACTCAACCAGAATGTGATGAACTGTTTCCAGCTCTCCGAATTTAAGGTTTTAACTATCCTTTTTAATTTTAAATTGTTTAAACCATGCTTCAAAGTTTCCATGGCTTGTAACCTGCCAAAAAAACAAAATCCCATAAAATATAAAACGATATCATGGCTATGTTATAATGGCATTTATTTAAAACTTTTAATTAAGTGCCTTGCTAGCTCAATCGGTAGAGCGTGAGACTCTTAATAAGAGTTTATCTCAAGGTTGGGGGTTCGAGCCCCCCGTAGGGCTTAATTATCTTTTTTAATTTCTTTTTATTTTATTGATTAAAATAATTATTTTAAAATTTTAATAGAAAAATAAAAAACAATCCTTATTTTAGTGAATATTTTTAAAATTAATTTCATTGGATCAATTGTTTTAATTTTTCGTTAATAAACATTTCTAATATAAATGATATTTTATTGTTTTTTTCCTAAAGATAATGTAAAACCGTTGGTATGTCAAGTTGGTCTCCATGAATGGAATGAAGAAGAAGATTACGCTGATATTTGAATATATACCTACAATATTGTTTCCAATTAATTTCATGAAAGCTTAAATTACATATATAAAATAAGATATATCTTATTTTACTTATAATGAAATAAAATGAAAAAGATAGAATTCCAATGGTGTTTAAGGAAATAATTTCGCATAAAAGTATACATATGACACCTTGTTTTATAATTATCATATTAGATTGAAAGTAAATTAGAAATTCAAATAATTTACTATTTACTTTAAAAGAAAAAAAAAATAAAAATAAAAATAAAACGAATTCTTGAAAGTGTCGATTCAATAAACAGTTTAATCAATAATTAATTATATAATATGACATGATACATTTCACAGAAAAAATCACGGATTTCAAAAAAAATCAAGAACTTTACTAAATGGGGATTGAAGCTTATATTGTATTATATACCATAAAAAATATTTCATTGAAATGAGAAATGAATAAAAAACTCCTTTCCTAAATATAGAAAAAATGTATAAAAATTCCTTACAAAAATTTTGAACGTATTTTAAAAAAACGATGATAATGAACAATCTAAATAATTCAAATTGTTAAACAATTCATAAATTGCTTAAAAATAGGTTTTCTGTGGATTATGATAGCTTATTATGTTCCTCTAATCGTTATCTATTCATTAATATAAGTTTCATTGTTCTCCGATGAATATTTAGAGAGTTATGAATATTTAA